TGAGAAATCCAGAATTGGGTCCTGTATGAGTTTCACCATGTCTAATCGACTGTAAAATGCAGTAAAATCCCAAAATATTCGGACGGAAGAAAACGCCAGTTCTCATGCGCCTTGCGAAGGCCACTTAGTCTCAGTTGCGCTTTTTGGTCGTGATTATGACCTTCAAGTGAACGATCGCTCAGCATTGTCATTTGATCGCTTTGACAAACCTCCCGCAAGTCTTCGATACTAATCCGGTTGCACAATAAGATCGTCAAACAATCGTCATACCACTCACCGTTGTCGTTACCAAGGTGGACCAGGTTCGTTGCTCAAAGAGAGTTGAGAATGCGCGGTGCGGCGCGGATATTCAATCACATGATGATTGACTACGTATTGAAGCCCAGAGTCCAAATGCTTAATCGGTGAATTATTCTCAGATCATTTACAGACGACCTTGATGGTTTCCCGGCGGGGGAGGGAGCGGTCAGCCGGTTGCGTGGTAGGACCATGACCTCAACGACATTGCCTCAAGCGGTCAACGACACATGATCAAAGTTCCATCCGCTCTAATTTCCGACCAAAATTTCGGCTCAGGGAAAAAGACCGATCTCTGTTTAATTTAATAGCACTAAGTGTACTAAGGATGCTGGCAAAAGTCTCCCGCCGGCTCGTGGCATGATTTAGGTTGTCATGACTCTCGACGCAAGATACCATCCACTTAATCCTTCAGTTGAACATGTTATTATTTTAAGAGCATACCTTTGCTCGGAAACGTTGCACATTGAACTGACTACGAAGACTCATTACATACTGAATTAAGCTGGGTCATTGATATCAATGGGCACGACGACAGCGTATCTATCCGTCGGGACTGCGGCGGGGCGGAGTCGCTGAAGCTCTTGTCGACGCGACGAGTAGGGGCAGTCATCCACTGCTGATAGCCGCTAAGGCTCGATCTTCGATGAACCAGCTCTCGGGAAGAGGGGATCTCGTCCTTGAATAGCCGGTTGTTCCCAGGACTTCTTTTTAGACTGACCGACGTGATGCTCTAGGACTGGCGGCTTCGCAGTAACTAGCCAATAAATGATTGTACAGGCAGTAATGAAAAGATTGCCGGTATGACTCGACGTTGAGACATCACCAAGCAATCCATGCGACCCAGAAGCACGGTGTTGGTAACGACCCCCTATATCACACAGCAGCACGGCCGAAGCCATCCCGCCGGGCCAACTTAGCTCGTACCCCCACAATATTTCGAAAATGCCATCGAGGCTAGAAGTAAACTGCCAAGTTTGCCATATAGGGTACGGAGTACCGTCGCACGAATAATGAACAGTGGATTTTGCGATTTAATTTCAGTAAAGCATTGAAACAAATAGACTCTTTGCTTATCCGACGTCAATAGTAGCTGTGAAGCATGATTTGAGCCAGTGGACGTGGCCCCCATGGCTCAGGGCTCATGACATCTCACGGCAATGGCTCACTAGCGGGAGCAGTAACAATCATTTGGGCAGTGGTCGTCAAAGTCTATTGGCAATCGTTGGCGATAAACGAGCGCACCAGTCGAGAACTTCCATGGGAACTTAACTCCGTTTAAGAGGCCTCTCAGGGGTTTTCACTACTTGGTGTATACACTGATAGAGGAGAACAATCATGGACAATGGGTGGCAGGTATTGCAACAGACAGCAGATAGAAGCTGAAGATGACGATCAAGGCACTAGTTTCTTCTTTCCCTTTTTCTGCCTTAAGCATAGGCCATGCTCAGAACCGTTGAGAGATAAGCCGTCATCAAACGAAAGGAAAAGAAAGCTACGAGGAAGAACCGTACTTTTTACCAAGTGAGATGAATGCCCAGAACTAGTTTGAGCAGTACTTGGCTGTGAATCTGAAAGTATAATTTACTTGCAATAATCGAGAGACAATGCTTGAAAAGAAAGTAACAAGAAGAATATAGGAACCAAACAGTTCTGTCACAAGCCTGAGCCCCAGCGGAACCTTAAGCTTTCGGAAACTGTGCTCGCCATTAAGCCTTCTGAGTTGGGCCTCACCTGCCTTCGGTGGTGCATAAGCATAAGACAGTCCTAACTCAATCAGGTGCTAAGCCTGCCAGGTATCATAGAGGAGTTTTAAGGCTTTTGAAAGCGAAATTAATGTCCGATACTCTAATTCAACTGCAGATTGAGCTATCGGTAGTGGTACATCGCCGGCAGCCGTCCTCGGCGTCTTGCAATGATCGGACTCACAGTGAGAGAACCAAGTAGACGGTATGTAATACAGAAAGAAACTTCAGGTCTTGCCCGTGAGAAGTCCTACATGTGAGGTGCGAGAGAGTTGTCTGTCTGGAACCTATCGTACGTTTTGGTCGTGACCAATGACCATAGTGTTTCTTAAGGCTTTAAGGCTACTAATGGCTCGGGGAATAGACCACGCATAATCGGCATTTGCGCCATCATGGAAATACTCAGGGTGATCTGAATTCTCTCTGTAATCCTCACCCCTGTTTGGTTCTAATATGACGAGTTGTGAAAGCCTCTGCGCGGCCCATACCATGTGTAGGTGGATTTCGCTATGACTCAAATGTGTCGTGATGTGGGTGAAGTTGGGACCCTCGCAGACTGCTTTTATCCACCGCTGATTTTCTCGCAGTTTTTGAGCCTTGCTCAGACACGGTCTTATAGTGGAAGGAGTCAGCGGAGGTCGGGCTACTACGAAGTAGATCTTTTGAAACATTTGATGTCCGCATACTGAGTTTTCTTTACGGCGAAATTGCCCATCTTCCGTTTCTAATGTGAGGTATCAAGGCTGCGGTTTTCTCATTGATTTCCACTACTCGGTAATACCTCATTTCTGAAGCGGACGAGTCATTCTCCTTCAAGGGAGAAAAACTCAAATTGATTGATTTCATGGTACGGAACCCCAGCTGCCGTTCGTTACGCCTTCGACAGATTATAGCCAGAGCTATAAGTTAAGTGATGTACAATCATCGATCACAAGGCCTTTACTAGTACCTCAAAGCTTTCTACGACTTTACTTACTCTTGATCACTTACTTATCTGCTTTGACCGACCTATCTTACAATTAACAATGAAGGGAGGCATTTTCTTCACGATCATATCTCTGGTGGCGGCGGCTGCCGCTCTGGTGGCAGAAGACCCTTCCAAGGTTACCCGGGATCACCCCCATCCAGTTCGCGCTGCTCCCGATCAGTGTTGCTCGATGAGTATGGCAGGATGTGTAAGCTCTTCTGCCTCCATTTTACCATGCATCAACCAACCGCTAATGAATTATCGTTCCAGACCTGTGTCGCCTACACTGTTGAGGTTTGTATATGAGGACGTAGTCACTCTGCTATTCGATACTAATATTTTTTGTAGCAATGCAGAAAAGGACAATGTTACTGAGACCACATCTAACTCTTGACGCCATGAGGCCATTTTTGCTGTTGAAATCCCGGTGGTCGAATTATATGTCCGCGAGAGACCCAACATCTCAGAATTCATCTGCTCGAAAAAGACCAGGTTGAATATGCATTCTGTCTACTCTTGCGCCACGCATATGGATATGGGATATTTATTACGTTAGGAGAATAGCATAACCGTTTACTTTCAGAATCGCGGGAGAAGGATTTCCTTCTCGATAGGTCCCCGAGGGGAACGATGTGTTTATCAGTTATTACTTGCCCGTGAAACCAGGCCATAGTAAGAATAGTGCATTGTGGTAAACCGCACGAGTCGTCTCCTATGTGACCCAAGCCCGGTGAAGCCTGAGGGACCTTGTCGGAAGGCCTTGTTTCTGTGCTTCTAGTGCCGTGGCGAAGAAGACTTCTGGTTGTGATGTGATCAAAATTCCGAGTTGGAATAAGCATCATAGCAGATGATTCATAATTGGCTCCTGATTCATTGCTGTTTGACAAACCGTCTCCATGGCTATTGGTTCTTGGAAGAGTATTGATTACTCCGTTTGAGATGGCTCCATGGGCGAAATGAACGGCCGGGGAAAACATCGGGGAAAGCTGCGAGACTTGGTTCAACATGTGGCCCAATGGCAATCAATTGCCGTTGACATTTCCGAAGAACCTCTCCGACACGCAGGCCAAACTTGTTCCACGACATTTCATTAGAGGGTCTCGAGAGCAGCCCACGGAGCTATTCCGAGAGATGGCCCGGCTTCAGAAGCCTAAGAAAGAGGCCTGCATTAGCTCAAGAACCCTTGTTCCATCCCCTAGTCTTTTAGCAACCACCTTTGAAGAACACCCCTTTCCACAGATTTCCCTGCTGAAGCAGATTCATTATCATCTTGAAGTGATGGAAGCGCTGGGATTGCGGAAATAGCATAGTTTCCCTCGCCTTTCGTTTCAACTCTACAGACTCACACTGTTTCATCAACGTCTTCCCACACTATTTCGAACAGGCTAAGATACTGTCCGTATTCTAGCAAGATGGCATCGCGATCAATCGAAATTTACGAGGCGCCTTCTGGTCTCCCCTTAAACAGAGACTTCATCGTTGAAGCTCGCCCGTCAGTAGAATCGACAGATGATCCTCAACAATGGCGCTCGGTCCCGGCGTATGCAGTCGATGTTGCAAACGCCAACACCATGAGAAATGCATTCGACAGACACACGGTGGCTCTGGCATCCTTCGACTCAAGCGCACCGACAACAGTCAGGGTGAAGTATAAGGCGGGTGCCATTGAGACGGTTGCCATACGGCCTCTTTCTCTGGGCATTACAGCGCAAGTCGAAAACGACACGATTGTCTTCAATCTTGATCAGCCACGGGATGTAATGATAGAGCTCAACGGAAACAAGTGGAAAGCACTCCATCTCCTGACCAATCAGATCGACAAAGATGCACCAACGGCTGATTCTGAGGACATCTGGTACTTTGGACCGGGCATCAATCAGGGTTCGGCATATTCCAAAGTCACCGACGGAGTCAACTTGATGGTGCCTTCAGGCAAGACAGTGTATCTGGCCGGCGGCGCTTTCATCACTTGTCGACTGAACTTCATTGACGTATCCAACTCTTCCGTAAAAGGCCACGGCTTTATCCTCGGGCCAGAGGGTGGATACGTTTACCGAGAGCATGGCGGCGCCATCCACATGAGCCGGGCAAGACACATTAAGGTTGAAGGCGTCACTTCTCTTGGGGCCAATGGCTTCAGTCTTTCTGCTGGAGAGTGCAAGAATATCCTTGTCAACAGGTATCGATCCTTTTCGTTTGCGGGCAATGGCGATGGGGTTGACTTCTTCTGCTCTTCGGACATCACCATCGAGAACTGTTTCTTACGAAACTCGGATGATACTATCGCACTGTACTCCCACCGCTGGGACTGGTATGGCGACTCAAAGAACGTCACGATCCGCAATTGTGTGTTGTTACCGGACATTGCCCATGCCATCAACATGGGTACACACGGCAATCCAGCGAAGCCGGAAACCACCAGCAATGTTCACATAAGCAACATCGATATCTTGGACCACGAAGAGAACCAGTTATGGTACCAAGGGTGTATCGCCATCAACGCTGCTGACGAGAATCTTCTCCATGATATCCACATCCAGGATGTCAGAGTTGAGAAAATCACAAAAGGACAGCTCATCAATATTCGCGTTATGAAAAACGCGATGTGGACCACTGCTCCGGGCCGCGGCGTTCATGACGTTCACGTCAAGAACATGTCGGTCAAGCTACAAGCCTCGGAGGTCGTCAATCCATCGATGATCATGGGGTATGACCAAGATCGGATGGTGAAGAACGTCACGTTCGAGAACTTGAAGGTCGGAGATGGGATCATACATGAAGAAATACCGAAGCCTAAGTGGTACATGGTGGAAGATTTCGTACCCCTTTTCGTCAATGAACACGTTGAAGGGGTGAAATTCAGTAAATCAGCAGAGTAGGAGATTTATTATCGATTTATTTTGATAACAATCGCTCGGCTAGTGCACTTCCAGGTTTCAGAATACTTCGAACTTGTGTTGGTAAACTTTGAATGGTTACAGTTGTCCTCCTTCTAACGCAGTAGACCCTGATACGAACCTGACGAAGTTCTGGAGTGTTAAACACCCCTGAGAGAACGCATCCCTGAGAAAGTCCTACATAGTCAATGCTAAGGCAGCCAAGACTCCCAACAGCCAGGACGCAGGGTTGAACTTTTCGGAACCGGCCGTGGGAACCTGGACGATTGTACTTCCAGAAGGTGAGGCTCTGGTAGTCGATGAAGTACGGAGAGTCTCGGAACCATCCGAAACAGAACCTTGGCCTCCCGGTGGAACTGCTGGTCCTGAAGTCGGCACCACAATTATTCCTGACGTTGTCGCAACATTGCCAGACGCTGTGACTGTAGCTCCAGGATGGTTTAATGACCCTATTTGACGATTGTAAATACGAAAAGAATGCGGAATCCATTGAGTAGCTTACCGTTGATAGCAGAAGTTCTGATCTAGCCGACTGTCGCTGTCGGAAGATCATCTTGAGAGGACATGTACTAGGAGTTATGTGGATCAGAATCGATTAGAAATCCGGGGTTCAATCAAAACCAAGACTTACAGAGCAGTCAGTTGTCTTGGTTGACAAGGTCCTGACTTCTGTACTCAAGGCCACAGATGTTGATGCAAAGATTGCAACGGCGTACGTAAATTTTTTCTTCATCGTGTCTCCGAGAATCTGATCTTCGTGAAGACATGAACAAGTTGACAAGTTTAACAATTATGGAAGACCAAAAATGTGGAAGAGGCAAGAGTACTATAGAGAGGAAGACGATAGCGAGCTCTTTGTTGGATTTGTGTACCCTCCTGCCAGTCGGCCTCAAGTCTCAGACATGCATTTTCATCAGCAAAGATCAAATAGCTGACGGTGAGATTTGATCTTGGTTTGGGTCCTTGGCATAAACTTCAAGCGTAATCCAGAATCCGGAAATCTAATTACAGAGAGCTTGTATTAGGAGCACTTGCCGAGTAACAACCGACATAAAGGTTTGACTCGCTATTCGCATCCGTCTTGCAGTTAATCAGGAAGAGTATTTCATCGGCATTACCCAGTCTCGGTGAGTCATGCAGAATTCGTCCGGAGAAAATTGCCTGACTCACGAGAGAATAACACTTTCGCACTCATTCCTGAAAATTGCGTAGCCATGAAAGTGCGAGTGAGGAATGGGGTAAGTACATCGAATGACGCCCGACCACAAAGCATCAGAGTCTGAGACGCAGCTGTGATGTGCCATCACTAATTCTGTTGTCTTAAGCAGCTCGTATGTTCTCTCAGGTACTAAGACATAAGAAATTCTTAAAGCCAAGCTCTTATCTGACAGACGCCGTTTTCAGACATGAGATGAGGTGGAAAAGTGTTGTCGAGACCGACTGGGACTGTTCATCTCATTTCTCGTACGACTTCCTTCCCCTTGCGAGTCCAGCGGCCTGCCCTCGAAACCAAGGTCAGGTAGTTTTTGTTAGTCTCAGCTCAACGCCAAGAACGGTCTCTTTCCGACTTTAAACTAGCCTAGAGCTCGGATTATCCTTTACCCCATAATGATCGCGAGATGCAAGTAATATCTGATAGTCATGGGGGGGTTTAACTCTTTGTACGAGTGCGTATGAAGTATTACCTAAGTAAAGTACCTGTAGAGACATTGTTACTGAAGAGTCTGCATCAACTGGATCCAAGACCTACTCCACTCCTCAAGAACAGTGATTAAAGCTTAGGCAGTCCAGTCAATTGACTAAGTGGTGTGGCGATATCCTGGTCGGAAAAGAGCATGCTGCCCTGTTAAATTCCTTCACGAAGCCTTAACTTTGAACACAATACAAAACGACACCTAACTAGGAAAGACATAACAGTCCATAATAACCATATTCATCGTCATCCAACCTTTCCAGCTCTCGTTTTCGAGGTCCCTGATGTCTCCGCATAGAAGTATATCCTAATCTCCAGATGGACATGCGTTATACTCAAACACCTCAGATACACCTTATCGGCATCCTTATTACTCTACATTGATAGGTAGATCTAGTATTCGGGCAGAGGGAACACAAGTATTCACCTACTAAGCTACTTGAACTTCTTGATTCGGACGCTTGGCTCCAACTGAACTTTTCAACTTGAGGAGAAAACACTCGGCGATCATGGGTAATTAATTGACGCTTTGGCACGTCTAGTCTCATTTGCGTCTCCCTACGAGAAAGTACATGTACTTGGTTCAAATGCCCGTGCCCTATCCAGTTTTCGATTTGTTATACCTCACCGTGGACTAGTCTCTGGCTTTAGTTTACAAGGGACCTTGAAATGTCTCACAGCTCTCGCACAAGATCTCTTCAACAACACACATCGTTGCACCCTCTTTCCTCTTCTGGAAGTGGTGTGTATTGCTCATGCGTGGGTGCGGCGATCGTATCTTAATTCGTCAACACAGCATCATGACTGGCAGAATCGGCATTGTTATTGCCCTTTTCATCTATCAAAGGCATGATCACGATACGACATTGCGGCCATTCTACGGCGGCCGACTTGCTGACACTAGCATTCTTTCTTGCGCGATGCTTTCTCTCATTCCAGGTGGCAAAATCCGTGAGAGCTATTCGTTGTAGCCCAATAATAGGGAGTTTTGCTATCCGGGCAGTACTGTTTGGCTATCCGGGCAGTAACCCACTTTTCTACCCAATCAGCACCTACCGCCCCAACTTCAAATTTCTACGCCCCGCTATACCTACCTACGGGCTATTTAGTACATATATACGCCGTACTTATATAAGGTAGCCGGGCGGCCACGAACTATAGTTATAACTACGTATAATTATAATTACCTATAGTCATAATTACTTATAGTCGTAACTACTATTTCTTAGCTTAATTAATAATTATAAATATATTTAACTAAACGACTTTAGTTAAAAATAGGTAATTTTAATCGAAAATAGGTAATTATGACTATAGGTAATTGTAATTATAGGTAATTACGACTATAGGTAGTTACCCTATATAGCTTATATGCGTATAGCTACTTTATGTAAGTACGGCGTTAATAGATGGGTATGGGGTAAGGTCTAAGCTTTTGGCTGGAGGGCCCTTATTGGGTGGAAAAGTGGGTTACTGCCCGGATAGCCAAATAGTACTGCCCGGATAGTAAAACTCATAATAGGTGTTGCTGACCAGGGCTATATCGGCGTTGATGTGATCTGGGAAAAATCAAAGCTCCCATGTCCAGCACACAATCCTTGTGGCTCCACGGTCTAAGCTAGCGCAAACGCAATTACAAGGCTTTCATACGGGTGATGGATGTCTCCGGGGTCGTGCCTTTGACAACAGACGCACACACGCAGTCATGTTGGCTATGAGGACTGCGATGAGATACTATAGGACGTAAGGGAGTGTCTCGAAGTTACTTTCGTCACAAACATTGGCTACATACGGAGTATTCAAGCCCGAACTGGCAGGCTATAATAGCCTCGTTACGTCATATGGCTAGTTCACATTGCTGTGGGGAATATCATTCGCTCCACGTAGAATTTGCTACAGCCGCCAGTTAGTTCTCCTGCGACTCCACGCTACATATCTTGATGGAGCCCTGCTCGGCAGCCCACGACATCATCGCACCGTTCCCGGATTAGGCCTCAAGAAAAGATGCTGGAAGTGTAACCGTCTTGGCGCAGTTCAGAAAAATCATAAGAATAGCCAGAGATTCTGCGACGTCGAGAAAGGGTATCTGAAGCGTTCACGCGCTACCGTATGTTAGCGATATGAGCCTTTATTCAGTGTCCGAGACACATGAATTCACCAGTATCATATTTGGGGCCTCAAGGCAAAGCAAGACAAGGCCGATGTGTATGGAGGGCAAATACGAGTGTGTGGAACGGGGACAGCTTGCCACTCTTCAGTCTTAGGGGTGATTTCAATTCCTCAGAGCCTGCAACAGCCTGGAGAATGGCCATGCATCTATCGGTACGTGACAATTGGCCACCCTTAGTGACTGAAGTCTCTCATAAATGCTACATGGAGGCAAGCGTTTAGTGAGAAACTGAACTGTTTTCGGATGGGTTGTGGGAGGGGCTTTGATGCTAACATGCCCGTTAACAGACACTCTCCGTATGTGTAGAGACTAGCAGGCGTAGGCTTGTCTCTTGGTTTTTAGATTAGGGCCGAAGCCAATGCTACTGCGTATGAGAATACTAATAGAAGGTACCTGTAGTCACTTAGAGCAGGCTGAGGTACTGGAATGCTAGCATCTTTACCACATTCGGACGTACAAGAAACATCTCTCCACTTCTGCCGGCGGCACAGCGCTGATCGCTTTCAAGGTACGGACCCTTGCTCCCCGTTCGACCCGGCCGAGTCTACCTCGGGCCCTTTGCACATAGACGGGTTAAGGGTACGGCAGAAGCAATGCAATGTTTCTTCACAACGCCCATATATCTAGGGCAGCCCTATTTGATCCAATGCTATGATGGGCTGGTCTCGGCGTCGAGCAGACAGGCGCTTTGTGGATACCAAGCTTCTTTCCTTCTTCCGATATGCCCTGCTAGGCGCCGGGCTAACATTTAGGTACGTGGCTCCGGTACGGGAACCAAGCACCACTAAGCAAAAGCTAGAACCCTACTCGTATATACATCTGAATCTGGCATCTAAGTAGGACCGGCGAGAAAACACCTTCCAGTAATGTCTGACCTGTCCTCTAAGACGATTTGGAGGTCGCGGAGTACTCAGTAGTAACATCCTCAAGCAGGTACTAGGCCAGTTTCGTGGCAATTTGCGAGGAAAGAGAGTCTGAGGGTACTTTGCTTGCTTCTTCTTCGTCTTAGGCCAGTAATTCAGGGCAATTGTCCCAGTGACCCCACGCGGTGATCCTTACGCCAGCTCCATTCGACTCATACCAACTGTCAGTTATCGACTTGGACTTGGGCTTTCAACTGCGCCAGGAACTGAGACTAATGCGCAGTTGATAGAAAGAGTGAATGTGAAAGGCGGTGCAGGAAAGTCCCAAATCTGGGAATGAAACTGTTCGGAATCTTCCTATCACCACATGTAGCACAGCCATTATCACATCAGCTAAGGGAGTTGAAGCGTGGGTTCTGTGTCTTCTTTCAAAGCATATTGCCAAAACTCAAGAGCAAGAGGTCCCAGTGACGTGAGCTTCCGGGGGCTTCGGAAGAAGACCAGGAGTTCAAGTAAGTATTAGCAACCGGCAACGACGTTATGTTACTTATGCAGAATCCAGTACTGGTAGCTAATAATTGTGTAGGACTTGGACGGAATGGCAAATCCCAACCAACATTGTCCGCGATGGTACACTCACCTCAAAGGCAACGATAACAGTCTCAGCTTCTGGAAATGAAGCGGGTCATTCTGCCATCCCACCAGTCGATACTGGCAGTTTGGGCGGCATCTCTACATCACCCGACCCTAGCAGTGGTCCTGGCGTTGTTGGGGGGGCCCGGCCTAGCACAATCACCACGTCTTCGGGACTTCAACCGGGAGCAACGACGATCCAATCAGGGACCCTAGGAGATCCGAGTAGTCTCATTACTTTCGTTGAGCCTTCTGGGACTCGTCTGCCCACGGTGACTTCTGTTGGCAGCCGCACCGGCCTAAGTACAATTCCTCCCGGTCGAGATGGAGGACCCTCGACCATCGTCACATTCGTAACAGACAACCTACCAACCACATCACCACCTGTCATTTTAATGTCCGTTGCATCAATTACTGGCCTTACGACTCTTCGTCCTGGACCAAATGGCGGACCACCAACTATCATCACCTATATGACAGCAAACCCAACATCCGCATCACCTATCACCCTCACTTCCAGTGCTTCCACCACCGGTTTGATAACGATACCTCCTGGCCAGAACGGCGGTCCACCTACCATTGTCACATATATCACCACACCACCCAGCCTGGTGACCCTGACATATTTGACATCGACGACAGGTTTGACTACGCTTCCTCCCAGCCAGGATGGCAGTCCTACTACAATTATGACATTCATTATTACGCCATTCCCTCTTCGACCGGTTACGCTTACCTCTGTTGCAACCGCAACCGGTCTGACAACTCTTCTGCCGGGTCCTAGAGGTGGACCCTCGACCGTCCGGCGTCATCACCTACGTGACCCTTCCGCCGTCAACACCACTTAAAGACCTCTTGGATGTTCCTGTCACTCTCACATCAGTTGCTAGCACAACTGGCCTGGCTACTGTCTCCCCTGGCCGGAGTGGCGGCCCGCCCACTGTCATCACCTACATCACCAGGCCGCCCACTGTCACATTATCATCGATTGCATCTACTACCGGCTTGACCACTGTATTGCCTGGGCCCGGTGGTGAGACTCCGAACGTGATCACCTTCATCACCACTCCACTGGCCACGCCACCAGTCACTCTGACTCAGCCTGCCATCACCACTGGGTTGACTACGATTCCCCCTGGAACAAGTGGAGGGCCTTCCACTATCATCACTTTCGTGACCGGGCCTCCGCCAGTCACTCTGACGTCTTTTGGCAGCGCGACTGGTCTAAGTATGTTCCCGCCTGGGCCTAATGGAGGGCCTCCTACTGTTGTCACTTACCTGACAGGCCCTCCGTCAGTGACGTTCACCTCTACCGTCAGCATAACGGGCTTGGCCAATCTTCCTGGAGATCCCGGTGACCTTCCTACGGCTATCACATACGTGACAAGCCCCCCACCAGTCACCCTGACCTCAACCAGCAGCACTACCGGCCTAACCACAATTCCTCCTGGAAGCTCTGGTGGTCCACCCACCGTCCTCACCTTCGTTACAGGTCCTCCGCCTGTGACTTTGACATCCACCGCTAGCACGACCGGTCTGACAACACTGCCCGGAGACCCCGGTGGCCCTCCTACAGTTGTCACTTTCGTTACAAGCCCCCCGCCACCGACTCTCACATCTACGGCGAGCATTACTGGCTTGACAACTTTACCTGGCGGCCCTGGAGGACCCCCCACAATCGTGACCTTCGTTACTGGCCCTCCGCGCGTGACGTTAGCTTCGACTGCTAGCACTACTGACTTGACGACTTTACCTCCTGGCCCTAGTGGAGGTCCCCCAACTCTAATCACATTTGTCACTAGTCCTCCACCAGCAACAGTAACGCTCACATCTACGGAATCTACTACGGGTCTAACAACTCTCCCATCTGGCCTGAGTGATGGTCCTCCTACCATTGTTACTTTTGTCACTGGCCCGCCTCCAGTCACCGTTACGTCAACTGCCAGTATGACGGGACTGACAACAGTTCCACCCGGCACCGGTGGGGGACCTACTACCGTCATCACGTTCGTACCTCCGCCCACCGGGTTCCTCAAAACCCTCACTTCTGCGGCCTCCCGAACGGGGGCAACTACGATTGTCCCATCTGACCCTGCTGGAACCACAAGCATTATGACTTTTGTACCTCCTCCCACCGGATTCTTGACAACTCTGACGTCGACAGCCACCCAGACAGGGGAAACCACAATCATTCCAAGTGACCCAGAGGGCACTACGAGTATCATTACGTTTGTGCCTCCTCCAACTGGGTTCCTCACGACTCTCACCTCCACGGCTTCCCAGACGGGCTTGACAACAATCGTTCCGAGTGATCCAGCTGGAACAACGAGCGTCATTACATTCGTCACACCCAGCGCCATAGGCACATCATCCAGCTCGAGTGCGAGCTCTGTGCCATCTGGTGCTTGCGGTACCCCGCCGGTAAACTGCGCCGCATCTGGGCTGACTCTCAGGGCCTACGCCAACTCTGTTCAGGTTGCCAGTGGATACGGAGTGTCCGATGGTCGATCAGGTGTTGGTCCTGACTACTACCTGTCCCAAGCACCCTTAGCTCAGGGCAGCACAAATTCACTTGGGGTTCCTTCTCAGGGATCGGCTGGCTCGACCGCAACGCCATATAACCCGCAGACACCGGGCTCGTCGGCGACGTTCCAGTACTACGATGGCTTGACCCAAACCTACGGAGGAATCACGTACAACGCGAACAACTTCACACTTGTCTTTACAGGTTATTTCCGTCCTGACCAGACCGGGACCTTTACGTTCTGCTACGCGCCTGACGCCGACAACCGCGACGTTCTGTATCTCGGCAGCACCAGCGCGTTTCCTTGCGGTCAGCCTTCCAACGCAGCAACCCCTCGAGGAGCCACTCCACTGGCTCAGTACTGGTTCGCTGCGTCCGGTAACACTGGCTGTGTTAGCACTAACCTCGTTGCCGGGTTCTTCTACCCAATTCGATCAGTCTTTGGGAACTGGGGTACTCCATCGTCACTTTCACTTGTGTACACGGGGCCTGGGCGAACGACAAACTCGTCCGATATATCGGGGCTTGGCTACGCTGAATCATGCTAAAAAGCCATTCCAATGGTTCTCCTGCTTCTTGTTCATCAATGCACAACATTGCGGCAGCTTCAACTTCTCACTCATCAACCCGGCCGGACGTGTTGTTGCCTCGAACTCTCAAGTTGCTGTTGGCGACCAACTCATCGCTAGCTGCTCCAGGGACGCGAATGCGACGCCGTTTGGTTTCTGCTGTGCTTTTGCTTTGCTTTCTCTTTCTAAAGCTCAATTTTGACCTTGATATTATCTTCTATGTAGACTTAAACGATGCGATCCTACTATCGAACTTGAATGCTCTTCAATTCTTGCTCGCGATTCTATGACACTTTTTGGCGTCAAAGTGGAGACGTGAAGATACTGAGCGTACCTTACGGAATGAGTTGACTAAGGTATGTATTACGACTTAGCAAAGACTGAAGTTCAACCATGGGGTCTCAGCTTTGTTCACCTTCGGCAGAATCTTGCGACCCGGAAATCCGGGAGAGATCTCGGTGTCGCCCGCGCCGATCATGAAAGACGGCCACGCGACGCAGCGGGCCGGGTCGTGTTACCCCGCGTTTGTGGGGTAACGCGAGGATCGAGTGTCACCCGGGGGAGATCGCGCCGGTGCTGTGAACGGGTATGCACTTTTGTTGACTGCAATATTGTTAACGATGCACCTTCAGGTTTTTCGTATTGCTTAAAAGCCGTAGGTGTGTTGCATGCTAGTCGTGCTCATGAATACCTCTGTTGTACCTGATGTATCAAACTTCTGAGCACTTTTTGACATCACACTTTTGTCGTAGTTCTTCGGTCTCAAGCAGTCATCATGCATCTTAAGGTCGTTTTCCTTTTCCCTCTGTTGTCATGGAGCGCGGCAGCGTCATCACTTGAGCAGCCGCATAGCCTCAATAACACATCATTCGCTCACCCTGGCTCCTTACACTCCTCCAAAGACATTGCAAGAATCAAGAGCCATGTCCAAGCCCAAGATCAGCCTTGGTATCGAGCCTGGCAGCATCTGGAATCCGGAAAATTAGCTCAAACATCGTGGAAGCCAACACCGCAGTCAATTCTTGTTCGCGGCACAAACGCAACATTTGCGCCCACCAACAACTACGGCTATGCTTATCGCGATGCCCACTCGGCTTACCAACTGGCTATTCGGTGGCTAGTCGGAGGCAACACTTCCTATGCAGACCACGCCGCGAAGATTCTCGACGGCTGGAGCTCCTCTCTCGTCGATATCAACGGCACCGAAGACAAGTATCTCGCGGCGGGACTTTACGGCTACCAGTTTGCCAACGCCGCTGAGCTTCTCCGCGGATACTCCGGCTGGCCCAAGAAGAACCAGACAGCCTTCGGTAGTATGCTGAACGGCGTCTTTGCGGTGTATAACCGCGACTTCCTCGAGCACCACTACAATAAGCCAGACTTCTACTACGCCAATTGGGATCTCTGCAACATCGCCTCCTTGATGGCCATTGGTATCTTCAACGACAACAGAACCATGTACGACTACGCCGTCAACTACTTCAAGAGCGGGCTTCCGGGCCAGCCCGAGGTTGTAGCTAATGGTGCCCTGCCCTATTTCTCAATCGCAAATTTCACGGAGGAGGCCAGCGGAAAGACTCTGATGCAGATTCAAGAGTCTGGCCGTGACCAGGGACATGCTCTGCTCTGCATAGCTCTCATCGGAGTTATCGGACAGCAAGGATGGAACCAGGGAGTTGATCTTTATGACGCCTTTGGCCGCCAGATCCTGAACGCGTGAGTCCTCATCCTTTCTCAATTTGAGACTTTCAGCAGGTCACTAATTTCAAGATAGCGCCGAGTATGTTGCCAAGTACAACACCAACCACACTGTTCCTTACACGCCTTATCGCAGCTGGGAGGGCGTGCTGGAAGTCGTCGCTGCCAAAGCTCGTTTCGATGTGCGGCCTGGCTACGAAACACTCTACTCACACTATGCGGAAGTCAAGGGTCTTAACGCTTCGTGGTCCATGGAGTTTCGTGACTTTGTCAACGGCAACTTAACCGCTAATCTTGAGGGCGGTGGTGGTGACTACAGCGCTAATTCGGGCGGCTATGATTCATTCGGACATGGTACTTTGCTGTATCGTATCGAGAAAGACAGCTGAACTCCAATCCTCTTGCACTTGACAGCAAGACTCGAGAAAGCGAACCAACTAGAAATTTCGGAGTACCCTTTAGTATCAGAAGAAAATGTGTAAGACTCATCGAGGGATGTGTTTGTCTCCACTGCACATACATAAGATAAATTTGCGGAAGCACCTTTGTACGAGAATACACGGTGACAGCTCTGTTCACGAATTGAGAAGTCGGAACCTTTGCCTTCAACTTTGAGTAATTATTACGCAGTGAGAAACTTTACTGGCAGCAGACGTACGTATGATAGTGGTAATTTCTAGATACTAATTCGTCCCAGACCATCCCATATCGAATTTTAATCTAGACTTTCCCCTATATCGTAATACTGTGAATCTCTCCAAGGAAGCCACGAGTCTGCTGACTATGAAGCTCGTCAATTCTATTTCGACCATTGCGTTATAAACGTTCAAGCTTCTTCTCACATCGAGCCTTCAACAATTATAGTGCACGACGTTGTTAATCATGTGAACAGGTAAACATTAAGCTTCTATTTTACAATCGGCCTTTGTGAAGCTGACAAGACCGTTCTGTTCATTCTTCCGATCATGAATGAAGACTGACCTGATGCATTCATCTATCTGAGAATCGTAGCCGTTCCACCCCCCAAATTTTCGATGTCAGACTTGACAGGTAGCGTTCTGGGAAGCGTGGGGAGACTACCGGTAGATTGCTCGGCAGACAGCTGATCTTCAAGATTCGAGGGCGCACGTCTCGGGATCTCAGTCTCGTTGATTGACGAACGAGATGGCCCGTCGGTGCCAGTACTAGTAACATATCCAGAAGGCTGCTGCCGAGAGCGCTCATCCACGGTCCGGTGGTTATTGGTGTTGTTGTTGTTTGCCGACAAACCATTAGCATTGTGGTGTTCGTCTCCCAAAATCGATGTAAGGGAGCCAGGGGCCTTGTTAATAGTATTTGTGGCTGATTGCGGCAAGTTTCTAACTTGTTCGGTAGCTGTGCTGGTCACATTGTACGCCGTCTGTTGACCGCTCCGAGAAGCGTTGCCGACAGTTGTGCTAGCATCAGAAGTCATTTGTTGGGCCTTGGAGGATAGTTCAGCCGCCTTTGCTTGTCCATCGCGAGCGAGATCCGCGCTCTTCTGAGCGGTCACGTTGGCCGCGTTTTGAGCCTGTATAGTCGCGTCGTGCGCAACCTTTCGTCCCTGAGGTGAGGCAGCGAGGGGGGCGACGAAGATAGCAGTCACTCCAACGACAGCTAGCCAAAACGGAGAAAGGACTTTGATGAGGGCATACAAAGATGCAAAGCCGACAAAAGCCTGAAAATGTGTCAGCCAGGACGTCCTGTGTCAGATGATGCACCTGTACTGACGCCAAACGTCTTGCCCAGGTCTTCGCCGTAAATAATTCGCTGAGCTTCTACGACTGCATATTGAATCAAGTCGTGAACATCTCTAAGGGTGTTGTTGAGGGCGGACTCTGGCAGTCTCCTGTACTGCCTCGGTCGCAGACGGGTGGACAAAGAGTCGGAACCGAATGACCGGCTGGCGTATTCGGCAGCCGAGACAACTAGCAAATTTCAGCATTCAATGCACCTGAAATCATTACTGGGTCATAGTGTTTGGGATCTTACCTCCAAGAGTCGTTACTGCGGCCTTCAATGCCAACTGAGTGAGAGGCAAGTGGTGTGCCCCGAACAAAATGCTCAAGGCGCCGATGTACACGCCGAGTGTACGAAGAGGATCTTCCCACTAAAGTTGTGAGTTAGCAAGGCTCAAGTAGCAGTACCGAGTGAATACGCACGTTGATATACTTGTAGAAGCTATCTTGTTGAGCTACATTAAGACCTTTGTCAGAATGCTTGCTGGTTATCGTCGACAGCATAGAGTACACTAAATACCTAGAACTTGCCGCAACGGGCCATCTTGTGCCAATCTCGGCGACTGTCCCTCATTCAAGGCATTCTGGATCTTCGATGCAACTAAAAGAATGTGAGTCTTCCAGCTTACCCACATTGAGCGGTGCCTCTCAAACTTACTCTGCGATCTTTCTTGGTCAGTGTGATGGGAGCCATCAGCCGCGCCGGGCAAAACAATGACAGTTGGGTCAGCCATGGCAATGACGTCGATTTGTGGATGATGAGAATTTGGCGAGTAAATGTGGATAGGATCGCGAACTCCACACAGACGGCACGAAAGGATTATGAGCTTTTACTTTGCGTTGATGAGAGAACATGAACCGCAAATGCCCCGTCAAGCAGCTGAAGCAGCGCTTTATGACAAAAGTCAATCTTTGAGAACCTCCTAGGCCGCTCGTGGCACGAAGGCGCAATCTGGCGTATTGCACCACCGGTGCATGGTAACACGGTGAGGGGAGGGGGTTACGACACCCAGCGTTTGTGACGTACATAGCTGGTCATCGCGTATCCGCTGAACTGCGGTAGGATTCCCCAAATGTCAATAATAAGGCTCGCATACCCGCTGGAATCGAGATACCGTACGCCGCGCTGTCATAAAGTTGTACGAGGTGAGGGGAAAACCTTTGATGTTCGAGGTCGATTGACGTCGTTCGGCGGTCATTTGGAGTCCGTTCCACTTGCAGCCCTGACGCGCTTTGATGACGAGGAGGCGGGATGTCTCACTAGGAGATCACGGCACTAGCATTCCGCTAGGCTGGCTAAAGCCAAGATGCTATTCAAGGGATGATTTACTACGTACACACATACTTACGCCAAACTAGGTGGCCAGACCACCGGTAGTTCATGGCATTGCAGAAATTGAAGTAATTAGATGTCAGCAGAGACCTGTGCTCTCAGCCGGAGAGTCGGCGGAGCCTCAACAGACCTTCCACCTACTTTACGTAAGGTACATGCATGATAGACACGCACACGACCAGTCTCGACAGGCTACATATGGAGGCGTTCGGTCTCACGGTCCGGCCCGCTTCCTAGTGTGCGTGAGGTTCCAATATACACAAGAATTCCTTGAGTTGTTCGGATGCAACCCTCCAAACCCGTGCATGAAAGGTGTACACGGGTATCGAAGCTGAGTTCATCCTTTAATCTGAATAGTCACCATTCGCTTCAAGATTGGGTAAGGCATTTACGTGAACAGACACGCTGTATGAACAGATGAATGATATATTGGTCTGCGCTTTTCCGACGCTTCCTATGCTAATCGAAGGGTATATGCACTCTATGAGAACCATATAGTATACAAATAAGAACCACAGAAGAAAAAGGAAACATCCTCTACATGACATGGCAAACTACATCCCACATTAGACGACCAAAACAGCCAACGCCGCTGCAGCCGCAACGAGGCCGCTGGAGCTAAGCTTACCAGCACTGGCCTGAACGGGACCAGTGGTGGTCGCCGGGCACGCGGCGCCGACACAGGGAGAGGTAGACCCGGTTCCGACGGGGATCACGGCGGTAGTAAGTGTGCCGTTGAACCCAACTGACGGTGCAACGACCAAGGTCGTAGGGATAGGGGGCGGGCCGGTCGGGGTTCCCGATGCGCCGGGGGTCTCGAGGACGGGCTTCTCGGTGGAGACGGTGCTGCTGGAGGCAGGGACACCGACAGTCGGGACACCGGCGCCAGGGGCGGTCGAAGCACCGGAAGTGGCGGGTACAGGCTTCTCAGACACGGCGGTGCCGCCGACAACGGGGGTAGTGACAGGCTTGGGGATCGTGGTGGAGATGAGCTCGCTGGTGACGATAGTCGAGGTTCTGGCAGGGCAGTTTGTGACCTCTGCCGTGCAGGAGGTAATCGTGACGAGGTTAGTCTTGTAAGTGGTCAAGACAGTGGGGACGTCGGTGGTCAGGACGGGCTTCTGGCCTGCCTCGGTGGTGGGCTTGGGAACGACGGCGCTGGTGATGATGGTGGATGTTCTCGCGGGGCAGTTGGTCACCTCTGAGGCGCAGGAAGTAATGGTGACGATGTTGGTGACATAAGTGGTGATTTGCTCGACGGGCTCAGTGACGACGGGCTTCGCGGACTCGGTGGTGGTGGGGACAGCGGGAACACCGGGGATCGTGGTGGGGATGACCTTGCTTGTGACGATGGTGGACGTCCTGGCCGGGCAGTTTGTGACTTCTGCGGCGCAAGAGGTGATTGTGACAATGTTAGTCTCGTAGGTTGTGATGGCGGTAGTGATATCAGCGACGGGCTGCTGGGAGCTGACAGTGATGGGAGCATCGCCGCCGACTGGCTTTCCAGGGGTGTAGCTCTCGACGGGGATGGCCACGGTCGTCGGGATGACGGCCTGGCTGGTGACGGTGGTCTGTCTGATGGGGCAGTTGGTGACCTCAGGGGCGCAGGAGGTGATGGTGTGAACCTCGGTCTTGATGACGGTTAATTGTGTAGGGACGTCGACGACGGGGCAGATGGTCGTGGTGACAGGGACGACCTCGGTGACGACCTGGGGGGTCTCGCGGGCCGGGCAGTTGGTGACCTCGGCGGCGCAAGAGGTGATGGTCTTTACGTTGGTAGCGTAAACGGTGGACGTCGCCAGGCGGGTGGTCAAGCTCTCGAGGGCGGCGGCAGAAGTCGCAACAGGCATCTCGGAGGCCACGGCGGTGGAAAGAGCGGAGCTGACGACGGCGGTCTGCGCAACAGAGGAAGAAGCAACCTGGCTGGAGATAACGGAGGCAGTCGCATTACCGTCCTTGAGGTTGTAGTACTTGATGGAGCTGATCTTGAAGAAGACATCGGCAAAGGCAGTCGGGTTGGCAGCAACATACTCCTTGCAGGTCATGCCAGTCTTCGCCTCGCAGGTCTGGGTCCAGATACCATCGTTGCCGGCCACACCGCAGAAATCAATGTTGGCCACGAGTTTCTGCTCCTCGAAGAGCTTATCGGCAGCGCAGGTGCTGGTGGTGAAGCTGGGCGTACCCCACGCGTCGGGGTTGGGGTTGGCACTCGCGATGTCAGCGGGAACATTGGCGTGGGTGAAGCCCCAAACGCGAATGGCGGTATCGGTCCATTGCATGGCGTAGACTCCTCCCTCGGCGGATCCAAAGGGGGCTGCTGCATCGAGGCCGGCGCAACCCTCGTTGTCGGACTGTCCTGCGGCGTAGTTTGCGCAATTGGGCTTGCTGATGGTGCCGGTCATGTTGGTGCCGTCGATGCGGCACTCGGCGATGGTGCCATCGGTGTGGAGAACAACCTTGTTCACGTTGTCCTCGTTCCAGGTCTCGACGATGTCGATTTCGCCGGCGGCGGGCCAGGGGTTGCCGACGGTCCAGCTATGGATATCTCATAAGCATCATGAAGTGAGTGGGGAGCATGAGATGAAGCAACTTACACCGCAGGCCAGGCACCGCAGACAGGCTTGGGAAGATGAGAAAAGTTGATGACGAAGAGTCCCTGGCCATACTTGGCCGTACTCTCAATTCTCACACTACTTCTTCCGATCCCAGCGGCATCGAGAATAGATGTGGAGTCGACACCGAGGTAAAGGTCACCACCCTCGGTCTTCACGAGACCCAGGCTCTGAGCATCCGCTGCTGACTTGTAGCTGACATATCCACCGGTGGGGTCAACATCGTTGTAGTTTCCGGTAGAGTGATCGCTCTGAGGAAATCAAGTCAGTCAAAGATCTTGCGCCTCACCCATTGACTTGAATCATACCGTGAAGAAACCAAACTTCTCAAGAAAGTTGGTCGAGTCGTAGCTGTCGGCGAGTTGGTAGGTCTGGATAGCGGTCGCGGATGACGTGAGGAGGAGGGCGGAAGAGAGCGTGGAGAAAAGCGAAGGCGCCATTATGGGCTAAAGATTGATAAGAGAAACAGAGGACGGGGTTTAAACTAGAATGAAACGACAGGAACTAGAAACATAAACCACGGTCAAGAAACGACAGAAATGGGTCTTCGAACTGCAAAGGGAGTGAACAGAATGAAGGATCACAAAGGCTTTGTTTTGAACAAAAGAATGACTTAAGAGACCAGAACAGGAATCTTGAAAGAAGGTGAGAGGGAAGGCCTAGACGCGCAAGGCGCCTGCTCCCGTGGGGTTACCATGAGTCTTATACCGAACCGAAAAAGACGGTCGACCCAGATTTGCTCCTGGCCATTCGATTCATCCGCGGAACGACGGGCTGAGATGTCCAGGGGCCTATGGCCTACCTGTTTCTCCAGCAATCTCATTCTCATTGGGTCTCCTCGTACCGACAGAGGCTTGGTGAGAAGTCCCGGGAGCAGTGGTTCGTTCAGGGGCTCTGGATGGAGAACGAACTAGAACATACATAGCCCGCTCCTCTCCTCGACCCCTTGACAGAGTCTGCCGGTTCTGGAGATATCTCAAGGGTTCTTTTGCATCGTCTGCCAACATACGTAAGTAATCGTGGTTCCACCCCTCGCATCTCCATGCTCTATGCCACTTGTGCATTGACATATGCGCTTGTGAGTGGACACAAGTACATGTTTCCTGCAGGCCCAGAGAACCTCAAACACACGAACGCATGCACTAAGTCCGCATTTGTTCATGGGACGCCAGGAACGGCACGGCGGTTGGCTGGCGGCTCAGGCACAGTCCGCACAAAGGTGTGGTCGTCCCGAGGCCAATGAAGCGGAGGGCGCATGTAAGCCTACCCCCTGCTTAACATCCAGGAACAGATCCTTGATCGGGACAGGTTGGAGTCAAAGTGGATTGCAACGGGGGCCGGACGGTGGTCTGAGTGGTTGCCGTGAACATGTTGGATTGTTTTTCTTTGAACTGACGGGCAGGATTCCGCCGTTCCCCTATTTTATTCTCCATTGACCATTCAAGCCATTGTGCCGCGCTAGACAGGGGTTGTCTCACTCAAGCCGCCGAGATCTTGATGGCGCTGGTCGCTCTTGGGGGGCGTGATTGGCAAACATCTTCTGCACCGTTGCATCGAATTCTCTAGACCAGCGGCATTCCTTCAAGTCGTTTTTTCTACTTTACTTTCTGTGTCTTGGTGTATGTTTCAAGTCATGACAACTCATGAACAGTCCTAAGTGCCGCCGGTCTTCTTTTAGTTCCGCTACATCAGAGCGACGGACTGTCTTTGGCCACTTGGCCACGCGGCGCGTTAAACCCGTCAAGTTTCCACACCCGTTTACGCACATCTTTCGGGATTGGAGGGCTCCAACTCCCAACTTCCAAGGGCAGAAAAAACGTGTCGCTTTGATTGCTCCCGCTCAGGGGCTGAGCCTCCCGCTTCGGAAGTCAACGACCAATCCAGACGTTCGCAGGGCTGGTTTCTGCGGCGTAGCGGCCGGCCGTCGTATTCGAACATGTATTAGCGAAGGGGTTCGCCCCGGTGGAGTTATCAGAAAACCCGGCACGAATTCTGGATGTGGATTCCCTGTCTTGTCAACTTATGCTGCCCGGGTTCTGGTTTTTCGGAGCATTCCATGAGGCGAAGCTGCACAGAGATGAATATCAAATTACAACCCACACTTTTGAGAATGCTGGCTGGATAATCTGAATCGAGAGCTGTCTTGTCGATGCACGACTTTTGTGGTTTTCTCGTTTCTCGAAAATGGGATGGCAGCCCTCGGTTGATGGCTGCTTTGATCCGCTTTTGCCTCGGCTGCGGGCCCCCTTGTAGTCTGGCCTTTCAGCTTTGGCTAAGAACGTAAAGACAAGTGGACCGTGGAATGATATCAAGGAATATTTCCCGATCACTGGGCCCGAGTACTAAATATGGCGTCCCTTCATCTCCTTCACCTTGGTCGACCGTTGACCGACTTTCTTCTTGAGCTGGGTGTCCTCTAGCATCTTGGAATTCGATAATGGACATGCGCCTCAAATTGTATTGAACCAGGCATAGGTGTGTCAAGACGGGAATAGAACCCCCAAGATCCATATCGTCATTCGTATAATGACTATCTACGGATACTCCCCAGACTTTTATTTTCTTCCATGAGAGCCATAGTCGTGCACCATGCGGCATCACCCAATTTCTATGTGCCCAACGTGAACAGTCCATTCCGCGAGGTTGTACACGATTATGCAGGTCAGACAGCAACCCTGCGCCAGATCGAGTACCCGTCTTTCTGGCAATGGATATGGAGTACTCTCAGCCGTTCGTAATCCACAACAGTTCTCTGCATCTAATGGTCCTATCCACTGTAGAGCACTCCCTTACGATCTTGCGATCACGCTAAACTCCCACATGCCCGGGTGAAGTCTGTTGATCCAGCGACCCAGATATTCAACCCAAGTTTCCCAGTCACACAGTCCCTCTGTACGAACGACCAAGTACATCGACTCTGCCGTATCTGCTTGCTTGCATTGAGCCATCTGCTGGACAGCACATCTGGACCTCAGGGCTTGGTGGAGTCCGCCTTCTCGCCTGCGAATACATCCCCTTGCACTGTAACGGCACTGCTTCGGAAGTGCCACGATTCGGGCTATGATCGGCCCTTGCCTTGATTTCAGCTTTGCTGACGTTGCATTCCATACTTTGTGAATTCCGTCCTGTCCAAGGCAATGTCATGAACGAGCATACCGGTGTGGCTGTGAGAGTGACTACAGCGATTCCAAACTCTGTACTATGTTTCAGTTAAAAACAGGGAGCAAGAACGTTGCTTAATCGTGTCCTTCGAATTATTATTCGTAGAGTCGAGTAAGACGTAAGTCCATCGTCTACAATTGTTGCATCGTTAATACAATGGTTTCAAGGTGTTTTCCAAGAGTGTAGCCATATAGTGCTCCCTTCTGCCTCTTGAGGTAGCACACTATAATGCAACGCTTAGACATATGCATTTGAAAACTACCATGCTCAAGAGTGTAAGGAACAAGCCTTTCACTAGCACTAAGTTGTTTTCCTCGGTCTGTGGAAAGTTCAGACCCAAACAGAATGTTTCTAGGAGGCGGATAGTCCTTTGGATTTCGTCAGGGCGGTCTAACAATTTCCTCCTTGATAAGAGACTAGAAATAGCTCATAAATATGCTAAATGACGATCGGCATCGAGCTTTTGATTGTTAATACATCAATTGCTCGGTCTGAGTTACTTTCCTCTGAGGTAGGTTGCAAACGATTCAAGTCTTTTGGTTCCTTTCACATCTCCGAGCATGTCAAAGCTCGTTGCTCGAGAACGATCAATTCTGGAGAATTTCTTGGCAATATTGTAGAAGCCATGAACGACCAGAAGAAACCGTGAAACGAGAGCTGCGAATATCCTCCTATCAACGCAATACTCACTAATATCAAATATCGCATGCATATTTCATGAACTCATTACCATGGTAGTACGTGGTAGGATGTCATCGTGTATGATGTTATTCATGTCAACTGGACTTTTCACGCGGAGATTCGGGACTGAACGTGGGATCACGTGTTGATCCGTCGTTCAGGGCATGTTAAGTTTGAAGGAACAAAGGAAGAGTATTTTGATCAATACGTCATCTTTAGTCGAACCCCATCTTGTGACCACTGTTCTTGTATTATAAGTTCAGATCTTCCCATAAAGATCACCCTCGTCTTCAACCCAGAAGAGCGAATACCAGAACAACCGCCCATACACTCCCCACTCCCCACAATCTGAGCACCCCAAACCCTCCCTTCGCACCACTCATCTGATTCCCATTCGCATCAGGCAAAGCAGGCGCGTCTCGGAAATCATTCGGGGGCACAATGGACGGCAACGTCTGGAAATTGGGCGGAACAAACACCGTCACAGGCGTGATGGACTCCGAAGACGGCGTCGAGGACGCCACATTGACGGGCGGTACGGAGGGCGGCGGCGGAGGGGGAGTTGACAGAGAGGAAGTTTGCACTGCCGGCGGGAAGGTCGGCGGCGGTGGAGTTGTTGAGGAGGACGTTTGGATGGCCGGTGGTATGACTGATGCTGGCGGTAGGGGTATCGATGATGAGGATGAGGGTGTAGATGAAGATGGGAAAGGCTGGATGGGCGCCAAGTTTGCGGGTAATGTTGTTGTTACTGCCGGATTCAACACCGGCGGTGGTACTATCGGCGGAGAGGTGGTTGTAGTGGTAGAAGTGGTGACCGCCGGCGCCGGAGCGGCCGGCGCGGCAACGAAGCCGCATTCTCCAATGATCTCCCTGATATCTATCCCTCATCGTCAGCAAAACCACACTCATTTCAAGAAATCGAACCTTCATCAGCTATTTCGACTTTTAGAAAAGGTAAGCTCACCCTCATTGGCCTCCACAGCCGTAACATTCCGCGAAACACACGATAAACACCCAAACGCAGCCCCAGCAACATCGAACCCCCTCTCCCCACAAACACACGCCCTCGAAGCATTCTCCGCCGCCGCCTCAGCAGCCTCTTTAGCAGCCGATTCGCTCGCCGAGCGTCCGACGCCCAAAGTAGGCGCCGCCACAAGCCCCGACCCGGGAGTCAGGCTCGCTGTCTCCTCTTCCTCGTCGCTGCTGTCGCCGTCTGACTCCGGTTCCTGTCTGCTGCTGAGTCTCCGCCCCAGCATCCTCTGCAGGTCCCTTCTTCTCCTTCTTCTCCCAGACAATCTCCTCAAAGTTGTTTCTTCCACATCTCTGGTTTCCGAGATATCTTGATGTTGTCGAGTCGATAGATCCCGCTTGTCCGTCCCAAATTGCGCCTTCACTTGGGCCTCGCACCGTGCCGTGAGCTGCACTATCGGCGCGCATACCTGGACACACTCAGGCGGAACGTCCTCGGCCTCCAGATCCTCTATCGCCGCCACGCCAGGCACGAACATCTGGCCGGGCAGGTTCGTCGTGGCGGAGAGCAGCGCGAGCACGGCGGCGAGGTGCAGCGCCGTGGGCCGGTGGTGGCGTGTCATCGCAGCGGCGGCTCCGACGAATACATGCAAGGCGTGTAAGCAGATATCTCGTTAGTTGCTGGTGGTGCTTCCTCGTCTTGATGGAAGAGTTTATCCAGTTCCCTATTGTCGTTGTCGGATCTGTCGTTCTTCGTCTCGTCTCATGACATCTGGAAATAGCACTGCAATTCTGACAGATGCCATCCAAACTTTGGGTCGAGTTTCTGCAACTTGTCCCAACTCTAATTTCGAGACCCGCCCTCCATCCATCAAAGAGAAAAAAGAATCCAGACCGCTCTTTTCCAAACGTGTGATGGCTGGAGGGGGGGGGAAATCAACCTTATTGTAAAAAGAGCAGCCCTTCGTTTCCCTTCTCCCCCACTATCCGACCAACTCATACTAGAATCCCTCAGGTCTTAATGTAACTGTAATACCTTCTACATGATCTACCCCTCGGAAACATCAGGCCAAACGCCGAAACCGAACCCCTTAGACTACTGCCGGACAAAGCACTCGCAGACGACTGCTGAACGGCATCGCATCCCGAAACGTCTTGGCGGTATCACCAGAAGACGGTGCGGAACCACAAAAATCACAAGAAACCCACATTTCCGATGGACGTTACCGTAGGCTTTATGCGCGCGGCTCTTGTGATTTTTTAGAGTTCACGCTCGCAGCGGGAAGCATCGACAGTTAATATACAGGAATTGACCACTAAATTTGGCAAAAAGAGGGTTCATTTGATTGATCGCCTGCCGGGATGCTGCTTCCTTACCTAAGGCAGGGAGAGAAGCTAGAGGATGGAAGAAAAGAACACTGAAAGAACCCCGCTGCGAGTCATTCCGATCGTATCACTTCCCATCTCTTACCGATAAAGTCTAAATAACCGACCTCCATCGTCAGATCGTTAGGGAACTGGCGTTAAGTAAGTACCCGTAGGACTGACCCTCTCAAGCTAGATCTCCCCGTCTACGGATTATGCATATCCGACACCCTGCCAAGTTTTCCGTTCTAGAACCCTTACAAACCACTTACATCGCCGAGTCGGGTGCAAAGAACGGCTCCGACTTGCCTCTCCGGTTACCCTTGTGCATATTATCGGCCGAGTCAAGTCGAGTCATTCCAGTCGTCCCCAGCGATGTGAGACCTGAAAGTCTTGGAGTCTTAGTTACACGCAATACGGTATCAATCTGCTCCCGGAAAGGGCCACCCTCGGACTTCAGCTCAAGACAATGCCAAGGTTCAGTCATTATGAAAGCCAAGTCCTCGTCAATTCGGCGAATGCTTACACAATATCGATGCTTGACCATTTCTACTGATCCATTTCCTATGCTCCCGACGTCTTGGCTATAGAACTGACTTGACCCCCCCCCCCCCCCCACGCGTACCACACGGGTCCAGTCCGCGGCGGGTTGTCTCTCCCGGCAGTTCCGAACGAGTTCCGAAGAGGCTCTCGCTGAGTCTGTGACTCTGTGCTCCAGTCTTGGCTACCATTCTACGCAACATCAATAACAAGATAAACACCAAGCTGACAAATTCTGGACACCCCTCGTCGTCAGCCTCGCGGATCACGGATGACGCCTTCGTCATCCCAGAACACGTACGGATGCCGTAGATGTGTGCATCAGATCTCTCTTCTTGGGTATATTCACTGAGCTATAACAACCTGAATCCTCGCCATCCACATATCCATACATCCGCCCTTCCCTTTCTCTTGGCCTCCCCTCCCCCTGGGCAATGCCCGCCGGGGGGTTTAACCCCACGTCCCGCCACCACCACCCCCACGACCGCCCTTCCTCTGCGCACTAAGCCTCCAATCGTCTTCCCCAGCATACTTGTTATGCAGCGGCTGGATCCTCTCCGCCTGCTTCCTCTTGGATAACCGATCCGTCGGGGCGACCTTGAAGAACGTCGGCGCCGCGTCCACGAGCCACTTGGGCTCGATACTCGTCGTGCAGTGCATGTACTCCTTCGTCGTCAGCACGAGCGTGTGGTAAATGACCCACTCGGCCTGCTTCCCAAACAGCGCCGAGCTCGGGTGCAGGTAGACCGGCGTCCCCTCGATGAGTGTCTTGTACCCTTCCTGCGGATCCTTGCGCGCCGCGTTGCGGAAGAAGCCAGAGCACAGCGCCTGCCGCACAATCTGCGTGTGTCGCCCGCAGCTGACGACGGGGTGCCGGTACCGGTCCATGATCTTGACGAGCTGGTCGTGTACGTCCTTGGCGCGCTTCATGGACCTGGCCTGGATAAAGTTTTCAAAACACCACGGGCTCGAGTAGCTGCTCTGCTTCCACGAGTTGTAGACGTTGAGCAGTGTGAGGTGGTCGCCGTGCGGGTCGTGGAACTTTGCCTTCTTCTGATCCGCTTGCGATTGCTTCTCCTTGGGGCGGTAAAAGACGTTGGGCAAGTTAAGCATGGCGACGATGATGAGCATTTCGGCTGAGCATTTCATGTCGATGGAGATGATGAGCACCTTGGCCAGCGACGGTTCCATGGGGAAGTCTGCCATCTTTCGTCCCAGGCGCGTCAGCAGGCCCTCGTCGTCTAGAGCACTGAGCGCGTATAACTCTTCTAATGCTGTGAGCATAGTGTTGATTGGCGGAGGATCCATAAAGTCAAAGTGCAACAGGTCGTTGATACCCATGGCCTTGAGCATTAGAATGACGTGAGACAAATTTTGTCTTTGAATCTCGGGAATGGTCGTAGGCAACATCTCTGACTGGTATGCTGCTTCGGTGTATAGGCGGAAACACTTTCCAGGTCCGGTACGTCCGGCACGGCCAGCACGTTGATTCGCCTGGGCTTGCGAAATCGGGGTGACAACCAATGAATCCATGCCCAACTTGGGATCGTAGGCGTTCTGTTTGACGAAACCAGGGTCAACGACGAAGTAGATGTTATCGATGGTGATTGAAGTTTCGGCAATATTGGTTGCAATGACCACCTTTCGGCAACCAGGGGGCGCGGGATCGAAAATACGACTCTGCATTTCGTTGGGGAGTGCAGAGTACACGGGTAAGATGATAAGCTCTGGGACGTTGGGTCCTAGTGCTTTCATCCGCTCGTATAGAATCTCGGCCGATGTGTCGATTTCTTCCTGACCCGTCAAGAAAAGCAAGATATCTCCCGGAGGCTCGGTAAGGTGAATCTGCATGACGGTGACGAGCGCGGCATCGAGGTAGTCGGACTCGGGCTCGCGCGAGTATAAAACTTCGACGGGGAACGTGCGACCAGGGATGGTGAAAATGGGGCAGCCGTCAAAGTACGACGAGAATTTGTCGGCATCGAGGGTCGCTGATGTGGCAATGACCTTGAGATCCTTTCGACGCTTCATCGTCTTCTTCAGAAGCGCGAACAAGACATCCGTAGAAATGGTACGCTCGTGGGCCTCGTCGAGCATAATGACCGAGTAACGCCTCAGGTCGGGGTCGACGAGAATCTCACGCTGAAGCATACCGTCCGTCATATACTTGATCTTGGTCGCCGGGCTAGTCTTGTCTTCAAATCGAATCGTATAACCAACGGCCTCACCCAGCGGAGTGCCAACTTCCTCGGCCACACGCTTCGCAACAGACATGGCGGCGACACGTCTGGGCTGTGTGCAACCAATGACTCCGTCGTTGGCGAAGCCATCTTCGGCGAGGTATTGCGTAAGTTGTGTCGTCTTGCCTGAGCCAGTCTCTCCGATAACGACCATGACCTGATGCTCCCTGACAGCGTCCAAGAACTTCCGCCTAAAGGCGAACACGGGCAACGACTCTCGTTGGTCCTTGATGCTCATGTTTGTCCGCTTGCCAAATGCCTGGTCCTTTGGCGCCACCGCTCGCTTCCATTCCGGAACAGCATCGGGCTTGCTCTGGGCCATCTGTGACTTGGCGTTTCGCAGATCGCTGGCAAACTTGCGCTTGTCTGGGTCTGCCATAGGGTCGTTCCACTGCGCAGAGAGGTCGACCTTGGAGTCTTCCGCCGCCGCAGCCTCCGCTTCTTGTTGTTTCAACTCCTTTCTCTCCTTGGCCAGTGCAGTACCTGACATGGCAGCTCTGTTCATAGAGCCATCAGGCGCTTTGACAACTCGAATGGGTGATAATTCCAAGGATTGCTTCGTCTGACCGGCTAGGAACGGCGGTTCCTCCTCTCGAACCTCAATATCAACATCCTGTTCCAGCTCCAGCTCTCCGTCGCCCGTCAGCGTCGCGTTGTAGTCTTCTTCGAGGTCGGGGTAATCGGAAGCCTTGGCGACACCGGATGCAATCAGCTGACGAATCTCCCATCTCTCTGGCGATGTCATGCGCTTCTTCTGTCGGCGAGGTTGATGCTGTGGTGGCGGCATCGGTCCATCATCAAACATGTTTCCGTTTCGACCACCACCGCCACCCAAAGCTTGCATATTTGCACCCGAGGATATCCTGTCTTCAGGGTACAGATCCATGCCCGTCTCTTGATCCACCTCTTTCATCGATAGCCCTATCCTGTTTGCCTCAATATTGACGACCTTGACCTTGACATCCTGGCCCTTTTCTAACAAGTCGGACGGGTGATTAACCCGTTGGCCTTCCACCAGCCTGGAAATGTGAACCAATCCATCTACCTTGCCACGAACACCATGGAGGTTGACAAAGGCGCCAAAATCTTTGATACCAGTGACGTGTCCGCTATACACCTTGTGCAGCTGAGGCGCATCGTCGACTTCGGGCTCAGGCGCCCTCCTGAAGCGGCCATCGTCTTCGTCGTCGTAGTTGCGTCTCCGACTCCTCTGCTTCAGCGAAGGTCCGCTCTCGAAATCGTCGTGCTCCCGGGATCTCGACCGGTACTTGTCGCGCTTCCTCCGCTCCCTTGACCTTGACCTCCCCCTCCGCTTCCGCCGTGAATCGCGACCGTCATCTGGACTGCGGCTCCGCTTGCGCGAGTCCGATTTATCTTTCCGCGCCTTGCCCTCCAGGCCCTCCAACAGCGCCAACGTATCGTCAATGGCGTCGACGCCGTCGCCAATGCTATCGTACGCCACCGGCTTGTCGGGCACCGAGAGGCCTCGGAATATCTCATCCTTTTCTGCGGCGCTGCGGTGGTGGTGTTCGTCGCCGGTGCCGGCACCGTTGCTGTTCTTATTTGCTTTGCCCCTCATCTTTGGGTGCATGGTGAGCACCAGACGATCAACACTCTCGACTAAACTCGGGGGGAAGTCGGCGCCCATGCCGGCGAGCTTCTTCTTGAAGCCATCGTGGTCTTCGGCGTCGACTCGCTGGGCGATGATGAACTCGGCGAGCGTCTTGTCGGAAACGCCTAAATGGTTCTGCAGTTCGGATGTGACCTTGGACACGAGCGACAGAAGCTCGAGATTCAAGAGATCGTCCATAGTGGTCGAGAGTTAGGTAACCTGCGGGTGAATACAGGACCTCGGAAGTGCGATGGTCGCTGGTTGAGGCCTCAAAAAAGTCTAGATTGCTGCACGCTGCGCGCGCGACCGAGACATGACAGCACTAACAGGGAAGCATCGGAGAAAGCACTTTCCGCTCCGATGTCGCCCCACTAAATACCTGGAACCGCCACCCGACCCGGTGTTCTCGGTCAGGTACGTATTGTTTGCGGGACGGGACATGGAGGTCTGCCAAAAACCTCTCGAGCTACCTTATTATTGATGATTGACCTTCTGATGCTTGTCCATAGATGAATGAAGTAGGCGCCATCACTTGAATATGTTGTTCTAGAAAACAGAGTTGTAGCCATGTCTTGCATATGGATATTCTGCAGCCTTCTCCTCGTTTAAACTCCCTATTCGCGTCACTTTCTCGTTGATTTCTGTTCGGTCTTGAATATCCTCTCCATATCTCTTACCATCAGACTTATCATAAATGAAGATGCTCAAAGGTAACTTGGTGAAAGAGAACTAACAAGCAAAGGACGAGCGCGTAGATATGACGGGGAGTCAGAGGCGTTGACAGCGAGAGAGAGAGAGAGAGCCAAAGCAGACCTTGGAACCAACATGAGAAGGTGTGTAGAGCCACCGACCTGTCTCGAAGCTCTAAACAAGTACCGAATTCTCGGCGGTGGAGCTCCAGAAGATATCGCTCCACAGTCTCCAGAACAGAGTCTCCTAGAGTTTCCATCTCAGTTCAATTATTCGCGATGGTTCAGATCAGTACCGTAGATCCAGAACAGTGCATTACTTTGTAGAATTATGTGTACTATATACTATTACTAGACTTGGGCTGTGCTTGAGCCAGGGGATCGTGCCATGACAACTGCTTGACGATACCGCTACTTCCGAGCATTCGTCACGCCCAATTTCCTTCACTTGAACGTCAATCCACCCTCCCGCATTGCCCGAGCAACATCTGGATGTGGGGTTCCCGCAATCTTAGTAGGTGTCGTCCGTGTTCTACCTGTGCAGCCAGCCTGCATTGGCTCCATGCAGGGTCCATAGTTGATGCTGGGTAACCTTTGGGTTCCCTGTCGTTAGCACAGGGCAGTGATACGATTGACTACGAAGCAATAGACGCGCATATTGTAAGAATAAAGTAATGGTATTAAATGAATTTGCAAGGTATCCCCGACGCCTGGTGTGATGATGATATATCTCAAGGTCGTTATCATGGATGCGAGCCTGTTGTCCTCCTCAGGAGTGGCTTCTAATTCGCACCAAAGTCCGCTCGGCTGTATCTGGGTATTGTATTCGTTGAGCAAACCGTGCTCGTCTGTTGCCTGCTGGCAGATGATGGTCTTTGTTTATCGCACAAATCATGGCCTGCAAAAACTTTTGGTGGCTATGCTGCGGAAGCCGAGGACCGGTAGCCTCTGTGCCCCGAGCACCTTCTATCGAGCCGGCAGGAGAGAAGGCCTGGGCCTCACTCTTCCTTTTCCATCTCTTCGAATATCTTGATCAAACTCCGCACACCCTTGAGTGCGTTTTCGTCAGGACCCTGGCCGGGGGTCCACTGCGCGTGGGCGAAATCGATAAGTTTCAAAGTGAAAACCTTGGACAGTTGGTCGTCGTCGTCGTCGTCGGAGTCTGAAGCGTCACCGTCATCAGGAATGTGAATCGTCACACGGTCTTCCTCGATCAGCTCGATGCCACTATCGACGCGGAGGGTAGTTCTACCAGGCTTCTCGCCATCCGCCTGAAGCTTGGCCTCAACCGCGGCCTCGATACCGTCGACGGCCGCATTGTTCAGCGCAATGGCTTCCCTGAGCTTGTCGCCATCTCCCTCAAAGACAAACAGCAAGCTGGCCGAGTACATCCTGCTCTCTTCCGAGGAGAGAACACGTTCAACGTTTCGCAGATCGTGGAGGAAAGCCGAGACAACGGCGCGCGCTAGGTCGTCATCGATACCGGCGGCCTTGTTGAAGATGAATTTGCGGAAGTTTTCGACAACGTTATCGGTGTTTACGTAGGTGCGACCATAGTCCTTGTCGTATACCTTATAGTCGTTGTGGTCCAGCTCGGACTTCATGGTTGAGCCGCGCCATACTTTCATACCGGCGATCCTGAAGCCCAGGGGGGCGTGTGTGGTCTTGCTCGTGATGTCGTCGAATCTACGCTTCTTCTCGGCAGGCGCATCGTCGGCCCACAGCCTGACGCCCAACTTGACGTCGAGGAAGTTGGGCGATGCAAAACCCCAGCCCGAGTTGTTAAGAACGACCGACTGATCAGTCTTGATTTTCTTTGACTTGTTCTGCACCCACTTTCCATTCTCCTGGTGCGAATCGGCCGGGGGCTGTCCGGTAACAGAGGTTTCGAGCTCCTTCTTAGCCTCGGGTGAAGCGACAGGACCGGGAACGCCGTCTTCGACAGAGCTGAGTTCGAAAGGGTCAACGAGGCTCAAGGTTCCCCAGAATTCAGGCATTAATTCTTTGAAGTCGGAATGCGCGGGGTCTGAGTATGCGGATTGGTAAAAGTCGAGCTCTGCCTGCGTGCAGGGCTTGATGAACATGGTGCCATCGGCAGTGGTCATGGTTCCAGCACTGAAGGCGGCAAACTAATGTTAGAGTTTTGCCTTTTTCATAGCGCTTCGCAGCGCACCTCGTCGGCAAAGGGTGGCGCCAAAGACGAGGTACGCGAGGCAAAGGAATTACTTACTGGCCAGCAACAGTATGATCGTAATCGATAAGATCAGAGAGATCAGGGAGGTTAGGGATCTTTGTTTTGCTCATCTTGTATGCGCTGGGGAAGTTTGAAGAATTAGAGAGGATCGGTGTGTGTCGAAGAGTGTTTATGGGCTATTCGCTTTCCCAGGGGATATCCTAGATGTGCCTGGCGCGTCAAAGTCGGGGTAACTGGAAAGTTTTGCAACGGATGTGATGCCAGATGGTCGTAGCGCGGCGTGGCGAACTGGTTTGTATCTGCGCGAGTCTGTCTTCTTGGCTTTCTATTTCTTTGGCGCTGTCTCTTGAGTAGATGTCGGAAAACGGCAGTCGGGACGGCTTGGCAAGGGAAGCGAATGGAGGCGCGAGGTTAGTGGATCGGCAGTGTTGAGAACTTGAGAAGAAACGAGGCTCCAGTGTCGAGATGAAGGGGACGGGGAGAGGTTAAAATGCAGCTGGTCTGGTCCGGAGGTGTGGGAGGGAGGCCGGTGACAAGGGAACAAGGTTAGATGACAGGAGGGGGGAGGAGGAAGAAGGAGGCGTAGTCACGAATACACGATGAATGAATGAGTGTGTTTGGTAGGCGCTGGCAGCCAAATTGATTTGGGCGCGAGAGCGAGATTGAGAATGCCATTCGCGAAAGGGTACGTACCTCCTCGGCAGTGTAGTGTTGTACCTCGAACTGATTTCAGGTACTGTGATGCCCACAGATGGAGTGTCAGGTACTTTCAGCAGCACAAGGTACTTTTTACAGTGGATCGCCGCGCCCCATCCCCCCCAAGGTCTGAGGGAGGGTTTTATTGAGTACGTATCTTCGGAGTACGGAGTACCTCCCTAAAGTACCTGACGTTGCGTGAACAGCATTAGGTGCCACCTATTGGCGGACAAAAGAAGGCAATCAGCGCTGTTCTCTCTCCTCCAACTCGGCCTGAGAAGATCACGGATGGAAGAACAAGGACACAACGTCGCAAAGGTGCTGGTGGCAGCAGCAGGCATGATTTACCACGGGGTAAGGTGGATGGCACGGGATGGAACGAAGGGGAAAAGGGACCAGAATAAACGCAAAAAGACAACCACCCCGCTGCCCGCTGTTCTGTTCTCAGGGACCTCTTCCCATCCATCGAAACGACGCTACTTCGTCTTCCGCCCCCCTCCACCCTCCAGGCCCTGTGTGCCCCTCCAAAAAAAGACCCTTGCCGGCCGTTGCGGGAATCCCACGTTGGAACCGAAAAGGTGGCGGAAGCTGCGAATCTTGCTCAGCCACATCACCAATGAACTCGTCCAAAGTTCCTCTCTCTCACCTTTTTGCTTCAATTCAGCCCTTTTCCTCTCAAAGTCCGCCTTGTCCAGCCGCTGGCCCATGTCGCTCACACATCCAGGCGCACACATGAACGAACCACTGGCATCCCACACTCGAGCCACTCCGTGAGCCATGGGCCTCAACCGCCTGTCCCACAGTCGGCCGAGTGCCTTACTCAAGTTCCTAGTCTCTCCCCATCTGTTCAACCTTGCTCCAAAGTTCCAACATGGGTCTGAACAGGCGCAGCTCATCTTCCCTTTACTACGTATTCGCACGACACAGCAAGTCGAGGCTTTGATCAAAGGCGTCGTTGCCAACGAGCTAAGCTAAACCCCCCCCCCCCCCCCCTGGTCGTCAATAGACTGAGGTATCTATCTGTGACCTCGCTTACAGCGTATCTTTCCGAGTCTGACTCTGGCTTCCATGGAAACTTCGCTCTCGACTTGTCGAATTTGAATGACCTGGACGGTATGACTGTGTCTTGTGAATCGGCGGCGACATTCCACGAAATACCAGTAGCGAGTTTCGCCATGGCCGAAGATCTGGATCACACCGTTGGACAGGTTCGTCACGATACCGTCCACCAACACCACCACCAAAATGGTGCATCGCCTCGCCTGTGATATCCAAATCGAACCAACAGCCCGTATCTATCTTTTTCTACAATACCACTAGCTACTCGGGTCATTTCGTGTTGGCTGCATTCAATAGTCTCACCGCTGCCTCTCCAGCGCACGAGAAGTTCCCCTCCCGCTCTCCTGTGACAGGACCGAATCATGTCAGCTGGGCTTTCCACGCAGCAAATGGAATATGCAGCCCGCCGCCTTGGTCAGTCATCATCCATCCTCCTCCTCTTCCTCCTCCTGCGGCGCACGCCATACGAAATGCGACGGGACTTGTCATGCATGATGATTGTCAACTCCGCCTCACGTTTTTCGCCTCAAAGAAGCGAAAAGCCGCGCTGCAAATGCAAGTCATCCTACAATTCCAATGATATTGTGCCGCGTCCCACGTAGGCACGTACGGCACGCAGACTTCCCACCAACCCGCCGCGCTTTCACGTTGCAAACCCCTGAGCAACCCAGACTCTCGGAGACAATTGGCTCGCCGTCTGCGTTTGTCTGGAAGATCGTTTGCAGTAGGCCTCCGATAATTGGGAGTGCCTGAGGTGATTGGGTCGCATGGTTTCTCACATCAGGCAAAGTTTAGATCGATTCTGCCATCTGCGCATGTTGTTTCTTAGGATAAGACGGTATCCCATGCTGTTTAGCAACATTTGGATTGTGTCAGCGCGGAACAGAAACCGGCTTGAGAATGCATCTCTTACTAGAAGTACAGTTCTCTTTAAATGTGCTCTGATGTGAGTTGTAAGGTGAGGAAGGTGGCGATACAGTCTGCCTCCTTCTTTTCTAAGTGGAAAGTGGAGGAGCATAGAATTCAAAGTGGAAAGAACGAGAAACGCGCCTTCTCTGTATAGGTAGATACCTAGTCCGTACTTGCCTCGCTCTCCAGCGGACTATTCAAGACTTCAATCCCTAACGTGAATGAATTGCTTCTGCTCTTCTTCTTCACTTCCAATACAATCAACCTGATCCTCTCCGCTTCATTCTCAAACATCTTGGGGACTTGCTCTTCCTCTTCTCATGCAATAAGACATCCATCTCCAACATAAACAAGAACATCACAACAACATGGCAGGCAAAAAGGCCAGCACAGCTGACCGCGGCCCAACTGCCATGCACAAGTATCGCGGCACTGGCTTCGAGGGTATATTTCATTGGGTAATGATTGATCGCGGCTGTGCTTTGCTGACTGGGTCTCACAGAATTCTATGCCGACCCTCCCATGACTCCTGCCGAAGCCCAAGAGGAGCGCGAGAATGTCTACAGCCTGTAAGCGATTCTTGTCATTCTTCACTAGTCCTGGGCAATCACTGACGTGGGCTTACAGAGACCTGAACTTCGCCGAGTAAGACTATTCCTTACTCATATGGCCATTTACCTTCCAACTAACGAACAGAAAGACGCATCCAATCATGCATCCAGCGCTACCGCGCTCGCCGCCGTTTAGGTGCTTCCGATCAGATCTTCAACAAGTATCTCTTTCTGGGGGGCATCGACTCCACCCCTCGCATGTTTGGCGGCAACATTGATGCCGATCTCAAGGACATGACACCGGCTGAGAAGCGGGAGGCAACGGCCATTGACATGGTTCACAGCTCCGGCGGTGGCGCTCGCTTCTACAACGACGATGATCCTGAAGGTTGGGATGTCGACTTTGTCGGTGTAGTCGCGGGTTTCTGCTCCGAGACTCTGCCCAAAGAGATGGCCTGGAATTACGCGCACATGGGCAAGGCGGTTGGCCTGATTGAGAACTTTCTCACCTACATCCTCCAGCATGATGTATGCCCGGAGTATGACGCCAATGTCAAGGAAGCTCTGGATCTCTGCCAAAAGGCCAAAGTCGACCTACCGTTGTCTCACCAAGCTCTCCTCCGGTTCCCTGGTCAATTCAACCTGGCGCTGTCGGAGCTGTTTTGCAAGGACTTTTACTTCTTCGGAGACCGCGATGAGTTCCAGCGTCCAGAAGATTTCTCCCCCGAAGCCGTCTTTAAGGTTACCATGGCAATAACTGCCACCAAGGAGCAGTATGATGCCGCTACCAGTGGCCTGAAAGATGGCACCATTGAGGTCATCGGCGAGGAGGAGTGCAGCGTCGAGATCATCTCTATTCACCGGCCCACAAACGAGTCGCGCAAACTCACCCGGAGCATCCTCTTAGGCAAGGGACATCGATTTGAGCCCGTTGGAATAATTGTCACGAAGCCCTGCGTCATTGAGGATGGCTATGACTATGGAGACGACATCAGTTTGTCTGACGGACAGCGAGATACCTTCTATCTGGAAGACTCAGTCCTGCAGCGTCTGAAGCCAGGCTTCAAGCTACAACTCTGCGTCTGCGAGCTCAACATTGGCATCAAGTTCATCAAGCAGGCTGGTCAGGTCCTCGTGGAGTGGTATAGCTTCCTGCCGCAGAACCTCATGCGACACTACAAGGAGCCCGTACCCAATGAGCGCCCTGCCCCTTCGGCCATCAAGGTAGACGAGGAGACTGGGAAGGAGAACACGATTGGGAAATAGGTGCCTGCGAATATTCGTCGAGATAGACAGAACAATAGCTGGCTATCACCACGTTAGTACCAGAGTTGACCCTGTCACAGGGAGAACGGAGGTCACTGGATAGAAGGCTCACGAGCAAGGTTACGGCTTGAGGCTGAAAACGGGTCATTGAATTAGACTTCCTCCGAGGTAGCTACGTCACGGAGGCATCGGCGTTTCGGAAAGATTGGACCAAGATACCCCTTCATATAGATGAATTTAGAGGATTTAGTGCCTAGTGTATATGGATAATGCAGTGATACATCCCACCAGTGTCTCGCGTAAAACTCGTGCAAAACGTGATTACTTCGTCAAACCCCCCAACTCCACATGGCAACGGGATCCAAAATTCCTCGCGCTCATACAACCCAGAACCAATTTACAATAACCGCAAGTAGAATAACAAGCCGGGCAAGCCTAAGCGAAGAAAGCCAGAAAAGCTGTAAAGAATAGACAGAAATTCAGGTAGCAGAGGATAGAACCAGCAGCAGCAAAGTCAAAGACTTCACAACGCCACTGTAGTATGCCAATCCTGCTCTAATCCCGGGTCTGAATCTTGTTATCTCCAGCCACGACCTCAGCATAGCTAGGCGGCACGGCACCATCGCTGCTTCCCTCCCCAGCACCCTGCTGCTCAGAGTACTGCTGCTGAGGCTGCTGCTGAGGCTGCTGCTGCGGCTGTCTGGAGGACCCCCCGGCGTTGTTGCTGTTGTTCGTAGTACCGTATCCGACGGCGCCGCCGCCCTTGCCGTTGTGCTGCGAGGGGCGGGGCTGCTGACGGGGTTGCTGGGTGTGAGGACCGTTACCGTTGCCGTTGCCGTGGACAAAGACGTATGTGACGCGGCCGTTGCCGCCCTCGCGATCCTGTTGAGGGACGGAGTCGTATTCGTAGTCTGGCTCGGGAAACTTGGCGATGATGTACCAGGCGTGGATGAGTCCTGGGATGTAGCCTAGGAGGCAGAGGAGGATGTTGATTATCGAGTCTGCGCCGCAGATCCCGCGCTTTACCCAGACTGTAAAAGAGCAAACCGTGTTAGATATGGTTCGATGCGCGATGGGGGAGTTTGTGGGAATGCGCTGGAATGCGCGATTGCGGGGGACGTACCTGGGAGAGGCGGGAAGAGGAGGGCCAGGAGGCCGAGGAAGATGTCTGCGGAACACATTCTGACGGGCGTGATGCTCGTGTATATGTGTGGATGGAGTGGTGGAAAGAGACTCGCGGGGGTCTCTGCGGTGTTGTTGTAGTGATTTAAATCGTCGCTTTTCCTGGAGGATGCCTTTGCAAAAGAGTAAATGGTGGGTGACTGGATGGTGCAAATAAGGTGACGTTTGCGCCTCTTTGCCTCTCAAGGTTTCGGTCCCGCAGGCTCAGGTGAGGTCAGCAGGCAGCGAAGTAATTGAGCCGGGTACGGTTGGTACGTAACGGGTGGTACGGGTGGCGGAGCTGGGGTGAGGCGCGAGCGGCTGGTGAGGCGTGGGGGGCTTGCGTAATTGTTGCTGGTTTAGGTCCGAGGTAAGACGGCGAGATGATTGGTTGTTGCGGAAGAACATGCCCCCGAGGCGGAGGCAGCCGGGGGGATATGAAGTGGGTTGCACAGGTTCCTGAGGGGCATCGCCGCACAGGGGTGGGTGGATCCCTGGATCGTGCGCTTTTGCCGATGTTTCTGGACTTTTGCAGCTGCTTCTGATAGTCATGTGCCTTTGATGATTACCGCACTCATTCTTCAAAGTCTTTATCGAATGAAGTCCTGTCGATGTCAATACAACTACCTAAAAGTTTGTAATCTCTCGGAGAAGTATCCGCGATGCGCACAATTTCCTCACTCCCGCTAAACCTGGGAGAATATGCAGGAACATGGAAGCCGCATGCGACAGCGACGACGGCCCTGAGAATCGCAGCCCCGCCAAATAAACCCCCGCCAGGTGTGGGAAGCTCCCGCACGGACCATTCCAGCATCCCCCAGCCGTGATGTCAAGGTCCCCCAATTGAAATTCCCAGTGTACGCGTTGGCGGCCACTTTCCACGACTCTAATTATTGCATTTTGGACGATTTTTCGACCCTCCAGAAGTCGCAACGCCTACTAGTCTCAGTGCTCGACGCCCTATGATTTTTGAATAATCCAACCATGTCGATCCCCGGTTTGGGCCACCTCGTGGCGCCAGTAAGCAAAAAAAAAAAAAAACACCGTCTCCTCTTGAAACCACATCGAGAGAGCTTAAGAACCCAGCTAACACACCCACCCACCACAGCAACCGACGTCCGCGAACCAAACCCGCACAATCCGCCTCCAGCCCTTCTGGGAATGGCGCTTCCAAGTCGCCTTCGACACCCAAATCACCCTCAAACTCCTCTCCGGCACGGCTGAAAAAGACGGCACCGAACTCGCCCTCCAGCACATCTACACCTTTGCCGGCACCAGATCCAAGATCCTCACCCTGCAAGGATGCGAGCTCGAGGTCGAGGGCGTTCTGGCAGACGAGTCCGTCGCAGAGTACGCCAAACCGCAAGACTCGCCCGCAAACTCGGTCTTGAACCTACACTTCCAGCTCACCGCCATGCGCCAGCGCGCCGCCGCCGAGAGGAGGGAAGGCCCGAGGATCGCCGTCTGTGGGCCGCCTACGACGGGGAAGACGAGCTTGACGAGGACGCTGACGAGTTATGCTGCAAGAGTGGGCGCGCAGCCGTTGGTGGTGAATACGGATCCCAAGGAGGGAATGCTGAGTTTGCCCGGGACATTGAGCGCCAGCGTCGTCGGGTCGTTGTTGGATGTTGAAGCTGTTGATGGGTGGGGTACTACGCCGACGAGCGGACCGAGTCAGGTGCCGGTGAAGTTGCCGCTGGTATACTACTATGGCCATGCGAGCTCTGAGGAGGACCCGGCGAAGTACAAGGAGCTCGTGAGTAAGATGGCGGCGACTGTGACGTCGAGGCTGGGGCAGGATCCTGAGGTCAAGGGGTCGGGTATGATTATCGATACGCCGGCCGTGACGGAGACCAACCAGGTTGGTATGGAGAACTTTGTGCATGTTGTGGAGGAGCTCTCGGGTATGTTTCCACCTTCCCTTGCGGCACTGTTTCTTTTTGCGGGTGCTAACAGAGGACAGTCAACATCATCATTGTGCTGGGCTCAGCGAGTCTCAACGCCGAAATTGCTAAACGCTTCTCAATGGAAAGGACCAGCCTCGGCGAGCAGTACAGTATCCTCCTCTTGGAAAAGTCAGAAGGCGTGGTAGAGCGCGACGTGGGCTACACGCAACAGGCTTGCGAGGCGTCCATTAAGGAGTACTTCTTCGGCAGCATCGGCCAGACGCTCAGTCCCGCCACGCAGCAAGTTGACTTTGACAGCCTGACGATATACAAACTAGGAGACGGTAAGTTATCGTCTTTCAAACGCCTCTGTTTCCTGGGAGAAACCTCTGAGAAGCAAAGACCATCATTTACTGACTCTGCTTGCCCAACTAGACGCCATGTACGGCGGTGGTGCCGACGAGAGCCTGATGCGCGTGGACCCGGCGCAGCTCCTGGCCCATTGGACACTGGCCATCGTCTACGCCTCGGTCAAGGATTCGCCAGAGACGATATGGACGGCTAATGTGATGGGGTATGTGTACATTGCCGACATTGACAAGGAGAAGCGCAAGTTGAGGATTCTGGCGCCGGTGAGCGGTCGACTGGGGGATAGGCCGCTGTTGATGGGCAAGTGGCCCGAGCCGTTTATCAACCTATTGGGTTAGGACATTTTCAATGATACCACTTTACATCGCCATTGCTGCCAAGGCTTTTGCTGTCTCTCTGCTACTCTACAGCCTTGTTTCTGGTATTTCAAATTATTACTGCCTGCTCGATTACGAGTCAGCTCTTCGTATTTGCCAGCTTTTGAGCAAACAACTTTCCAGGTTCTGTAGGATGAGGCTCAGCTAGTCTCTTCTTCTCGTACCGGCCAAAGACTCAATCACTCTTTCCAACTGGAGAGTCTACGCAGCTCGGACGCCATTCGTACCTAGTTCTGGTTTAGTTGCCTTGTCCAGACTTGAGACACTTTCCCTCTGTTGAGTTTTCTCTGACCACAGCCACCAACGCCGACAATCACTGAACAGAGTTGTGAGTTATACAGTTGCATGTCTTTAGCCAATATACATCTTAGTTGGACGCCACCAACATAACATCAGAAACCCCTTTCCGCCCGACAGACATTAAGCCAACTGTTCAAGTACCAATTCGACTTATCATTAGTTGCGTTTTCGTTAGCGCAGATATAACTCAAGCGTCAAGCCTGATGAAAAGGAAACGTTAGATCACCACATCTATATATCTGCAAGGAATGACTGGCAGGTTGAGAGTAAGGACTGATGAGTGATCAACTTCGATGACGATTAGGCTCGGCTTTCGCCTCGGCAAACGCCCTTGGCCATCAGGTACTTAGACTTGAAAGACCTAGAGGACTTGCTGAGCGCCATTATTGGAACTAGGTCTCTCATTCGTCTCTCTCTAATTGCCACGCCATGTCTTATAGTCGAAGCAAATATTCCATCTTTTCAGCAGCCAAACTCTAAGCTTCAACAGCTTTTGCCAAACACTAACTCAACTAAAGGCCCAGGCTTGAGTCTTTCCAACCCCCCTGCAACCGGACTCAGAGGAGTTGTCATGCGCCTATGACAGCTCGCGAGACTCGGCCCAAGACTCATAATATGCAGGCGCCATGTGTCAGAGTAACAGCAAACATCGCGCCAGTTTGATAGCGAGACTCCGTGCTCACCAGCTTTTCAACCGCCGACTCGACTCTGAGCTACATTCTGTGGACCAGACAACCCCCCATTATTAGTTTCGAAGGGAGGGAGGTCGTATCCAGCCATTGGCGTCAAGCGCCAATGACAACATTCGATCTCTCTTTCGTCTTATGAAAGGTCACATACGCCAAGTCTTGAGATCCAAGCAACCGTTGTGCTTTCCAAAAACCAGGCTGCGAGATGTTCCACCGCTTCGCGCCCTGCACTCCCTTTTTGGGTTTTAATGCCCCATCATCGAGCTGCAAGTAAGACTGCGCGTTGGGAGCGGCCCACGTCAAATGTTACGATGGAGCCTTGGACTATCACTATATAATTGAGGGTTCATCCCCCCCTTCCCTGTTGCTCTGCCGGTGGAGACCATGAGCGTGGGTTAAATTACACTGGCTCACGCCTCAAGCCTGTCCACAGCCTGGTCTGTTGTCACTGAAACTTAGAATATCTTCAATTCAGTTCTTCTATCGCGTAGTCCCTGCCATGGAAACATTGTCATCGCTCTTGAGGGACAGACTCGGGCAGCAACCTCCGCTACCTCTTCGGAAACAAAAGAAGAAGTCAACCCCCAAAGTCGACGTGTATAATCTCCACCCGACAGGCTGGGAATCCGACCCAGAAGACGAATACCACCGTCTCTGCACGCTCGACTACTGCTCCGGCACAATCTAATGCGCCTACGCCCTCTTCTTCAAACTCAACCCAGAAGCAGACAAACACAAAATCGTCGAGGTCCTCAAGCAAGGCCTTGAAATCACACTCAGCCAATGCCGCCGCCTCTGCGGGACACTGAAAGAACATCCCGAAGGCAGCGGAGAAGGCGAACTGTGCTTCCACAAGAGGCGTGACGACACGGTCGAGTTCCACGTCCAGTGGCTCGACGGCACCAACACCAACGACAATGACAACGGTGATGAAAAGTACCCCTCCTATGCCGACTTTGAACGCCAGCACTTCAGCACCCGCGCCTTCGGCCCCGACCTGAACCTATGGTGCGTCGCGCCCATGACGCCCGCCGAAAAACCCTCCAACCGTCCAGAGAACAAGCCCAAGGCGGCCTCCTTCAAAGCGAGCTTTATCCCCGGCGACGGGCTGGTGTTGATGATGATGCACCACCACCTCGCCAACGACGTCACGGGGTGGGCGGGCGAACTTCACCAGCTGGCCGAGAACTGTGCCGCCATCTGGGCTGCATCGGCGTCGGCGTCGGGTGTGACGGTCACTAGCGCTGCTACGCTGCCGGAGCTGCCTCCGTGGGACCCCGCGTGCCTGGACCTCTCGCGCGTCACGGCCCCGGACCCGCCCGCTGATCAACTTGTTGACGGACCGCCTCGTCCGTCGCGACATCCTGATCAGAGGGCTGCTTCAAGGTTGCTTTTCCATATTCCGCGGAGTAAGTTGCTTGAGTTGAAGCGGTTGGCGACACCAGTCCCGGCCCCGGCTGCGGATGAAAGCACCAGCGACAACTGCAACTGGATCTCAAGCTACGATGCTCTTAATGCGTACCTATTGAGAGTCTTGCTGAAGCACAAAGCCCGATTGCACAAGTCTGATCCAGAGGCGCTCGTTGAATGGGTTGAGGCTGTGGATGTGAGGAGACGGCTGTGCGATGCTTCGGGGAAGCCGATGCCGGCGCGCACGCAGGGAAATGTGATTGCCGTTGCTATCGCGTCGAGAAGTACTCAGATTGTACCGCAGTTTACAATCAAGGATATTGTTGAGGAGGCACCTTTTCCCAAACTTGCGTGGTGGGTTTACATATTTACTTCCCCTTCTTTCCGCCGCGGATCTCGCCCAACCAACATTTGACTTGCACCAAATGAACGCGAGAAATTGAAAGTCACTGACAGTCTCCTCCAGGTACATCCGCCAACTCACAAACAGCATCACGCCAACCGCCATAGGCGCAATGCTATCCGGCATCGCCCACATCCGCAACAAGCTAACCCTCTACGCCGGCTCCGACACCTTCCCGCCCACGACCCTCCTCGTCACAGACTGGCGTGACGCCGACCCGTACACCGCGGATTTCGGTTTCGGCTGCCCTAGCGGGTTCCGGTGTCCGTGGGACTCTGTGACGGGAGGGCTCGTGGTGATTTACCCGCCGCGTCCTGCGGCTGTGGGCGAGAGTCCCAGTGGAGAGGACGAGGGGAACGAGATCTCGTTGGCGGTTGAGAAGGAGCTTGTGTGGGATTTGCTTGCGGATCCGAAGTGGAATCGGATGTTTGAGTTTAGAGGGGTTGAGGTTGAGGATGAGTGACGGGGAGAGTAGGGTGGTGGATGTGAGGGCGAGGGGGTTTGGATTTGATCATTCTAAAGCATGCTTGCAGATAGTTTCCTGTGATTGAGTGCCTTCAGTACGATGGGCATACTCCATAAAGCCACAGTTTGCGATACTTGGGCGCGATTTTGAGAGCGTGCTCCTCTTTTCCGTTATCACGGTAGACTTAGTGAGAGAGAAGAACTATGATCAAAGTATCTCATACGCTTCCATGAGAACCAGTAGCAACAATGAGTTGAAAACCCAAGCCCCTCAGTGACAAAAGATGACAGGCAGGCGACAGAAAACACCAGCAGAAAAGAGAACCGCCAAAAAGATAACCCGAAGAATAACTTGGTCAATCGCGGTGAGGATTTGAGCCTCACGCGGGGGTCGAACCCGCAACCTTGAGATTAAGAGTCTCACGCTCTACCGATTGAGCTAGCAAGGCGGGTTATTGATTGTTGAGGGACAAGGCTTCGTGCGGTACTATGGAGGAAGTCGGGTGGGGTTAGCAGGTGTGTGTGCATGAGCAGGTCTCGCTCGGTCGGTCCGAAATCTCGATGACTTCGTCCGTGAAAAATTTTCTCTCGTCCGCCTGCTCGGGAAATGTGGATCAAATCGGGGTAAAGATGGCTGCGTTTTCCAATGTTGGAGAAATGTGCTCCGTGCGGAGGAACCCACCCCGGCCCGTCCTCTACGGTTCCGGCCTGGACAGATCGTTCCTTTGATTTCTTGGCGTTGTCTTACTCGGAGCCAGGCTTTCTCCCATACACCACGATCCTTCACGAGTCAGTAATCTGCCCCAGGTCGCAACCATCAGATAACTGAAAACACAAAATGACAACTCACATGGGCCAGTATGCATGAATACTCCGGTCCCCGACATCTTTCCTTGCCTGGGCGGCCAACACGTTCACCTCGTCCAACTTCCAGCCCAGCCCGCGAGTCAGCGCCGCCATGAGAAACCCTTGCAGCCCTGTTGTGATGTTCTCGTAGTTCCAGGCACCGAGCTCTTTGAACTTTGCGTGTCGCGGCCACGTATTGCTGGGCCACTTGAAGCGCAGTTCCGACACGTCGACGAAGCCGGCGGCCTCTAGCATGGGCTTGAGTGCGTCGAGGTCGACAAAGGCGTGGTCCGTCTTGGCTGCCGCCTCACCGAGGTGCTTCATGGACTGATAGAGAGCGTGCTCCTCCTTCAGGGTGTCGTCGTCAGAAAGGGGTAGGCCGAATTCCTGGAGCTCGAGCCAGCCGCCGGGTGTAAGATTTCTGTGATGATGCATCAGAGCCTGGCCTGCAGAGAAGGAACTATGTCTGTAACTACTCGAAAGATTGGCGGATGTATTCCTCCCACTTGGAGATGCTAGAGTTCATCATTCGGCTGTGGATGTAGTCGAACGGACGCGAGTAAGTCCAGCTGTCCTCGATGTCGTCGACTTCGAACTTGACATTAGGCGGTACACTGTATACGTTGTCAGTAACATGCTTGGGGTGAAAGCGGTTGGAAATACTGACAATTGCGGTTGGATGGGTGACAGATCGACGCCAGTGACCTGCGATATCAGCATAAGAAGAATATAGGCCATACTATTGTGTCAACACCAACCTCGGCCCCAGGATGCTCGTCTCCAAAGTCCATGGCCCAGATGCCGGTTCCCGTTCCCAGGTCCAATACGCGGCCAACGTTGGATTCGGGCTCGTTTGGGGGCGACAGCCCGAGTTTGCCTTCGAAAGAGAGGTCAAAGATGTGGTGTTGAAGGTCTGTGGGCGTTCGCTCAGTATCAGTCTTGTGAACGGAGGTGGTGTTCGGCAAAACTAACCCAGTCTCTCGTTTTCCTCTTCGTCGTTTGGAAAGTGGTACTCTCACAGGGTGTCAGTGAAGGAGCAAAGAGCATGCTGAAGCGTCACTACTGACTCCCGTCGCGGAACTTATGATAAGTGCGGCCATTCTCTTTGCGATAGTTGAGAATTGAGCTGTTCAAGCTTGCGGTTGAGGAGGTTCCATCCTACGGCAACTATCAGTCACCAAAGCACCTTAGCGAGGACATACAGGAATCGTACGTTGCCGACATCTCCCAGAGAGGAGTCGTTGTCGTTGAAGTCATCTGGTTCCACCACGACGTCTTGTGCTGGCGTAGCCATATCAAAGATGATTCAACTCTACGGTCTGAGTCCTTTACGTAGTAATTGGCCCCAACGGTGAAGTAGAAGCAGTTCAATCGTCGACACGGGGATGGAGCGGTGCGATGAATTGCGCAAGCCATCAAGCGGGGTCCTCCTGGAATGTTGGGATACCTGATGTCACTACTCAGGCACCCTGAGGGAGGGGGATTCGACTGCTTCCAGCCAACGACATGTCTTAGCTAGGATCGACCGACGAATCCAAAGATGGGATAGGGCGAGATTAGGGCGATGCAGCTTTGAGGTTCAAGGTGCGTCTTGAGAGGTGTCGAATGCAGGTTAGCCGTTGGGAGTATTCCAGGAGCCAGGTCAACACCGCGGATGCGCCGGTAGACCCTGGGCGAGTTGCTGCAATGGAAGTGACGCAACTGAAGTCTGTGTCGTGGCCCAATCAGAGTTACCGGGGAAGCAGCGAAGGATGCAAGCCAACAGCCACTTTGCATGGCTCAGCTACCAGTCTCTGATGGGTTTCGTGTGATGGGGATGCCGGAGTGTTCGCCGCCCGAGAGGCTCCTCTTCGGATACGGAAGACCAAACTAGTGAGCAGTGTCAATTGAGAATGGAAGTTCGCATCGACAATTCCACATCAGATGGTGCTCTAGCTGCGATATGGGACTGCTGGGTATCCTTTCCTTGAAAGCTTCATCAAGGGACCGCAGCGTATTGCATCCTGGACGTTATCATTTCATGTTCTCCATTGTGGTATGGATTCTCGACAGCATCGGGGTATTATTCCGAAGTTGAATTGCAACTATCAATGCTCCGTGGAAGTCTGCCGTGATCTAATCCGTCATCGATCCTGTGACGCGTACCTGTCATTGAGCATCTGCGGGAACAAGAGAACCTGGCGCATTCCGGGTTGCATAAGGCGGAACTAGCTTTTTGCGCGGCAATTTTTCTCTTCATGGCCTCTGGAATAAATTCGGTGATGAGATGAAGATGCGATTCACAAGGTCTCGCCCGATGGAGGAGGGAGGGACACCTCGTCATCGGTGAGGAGATAACGATAAGATGGCCCATCCATAAGCGATAAGATAAGATAGGCTTCGCCAGCAGCCAGGGGCGCCTCACCAGCTCAGCTCAGGGCAGTAGAGTGGACCTCGGGAGGCCTTGGATCCCCCGAAGCTGCCAAAAGAGCACTGTACAGGAGAGCCCCTGTGCTGTAGGAAAGTCAATTCCTCCTCACAGGGCACCGCTTGGCTGGTCCTCGCAACTTCGCGAAACTCTGCTGAACATTTGACATCCAACGACATCTGTCTTCTTCTTGGCATATTGTCTTGACAATGCCACGGGAAAATCATTCTTCTCCACAGATGACATTCAACACAGGAATCGGCATGAAATTTAGCCCGTCGTGTTCCTTTTACGTCACGTCGTGAAGCAACGTTACTCGAGGTTGCCCCTTTCAAGGATCTCGCCCAGGCAGCACTACGGATTCCCAAACCTCCTTTTACGAGATGTGAACACCACGCTGCGAGGCTTAGATCAGGTATTACATATGGCCGTACTAGACAGTTGACGGGAAGTTCATGCTGTGAGGCGGGCCAAACATCCATCCGCACCATGTCCTCAGAGTACGACTTCTCTCACATTCAACCCCAGAGAAATGGGTTTGGATTTTGGGTCACCGTGGAGTCGAACCTATCTTCGCGAATAATAGGAGAACTTTCGCTTCAAACGGCCCATCATCGGACAGACCACACCGTTGACAGCCTCTCCCGTTTCGCAATGCTAGTCTCAGCCAGACCAAAGACAACAGACGAATGAGCTGCTATTACGGGCTTGGACCGCACGCTACCTGTGAAGATGGGGAAACCTGGATCGTCGGAAGATCGTGACAGGGGAGGGGCTCCCGTGCAATGCAGAATTTCTACGGATACCATATTTTGCTTATTTTCTTCTGCACTGAGGTAAGTCAACGACTCTCTTTCTGCAGCTGTCGGTGGCCCTGGTTCAGGGGCTCGAGAGCGCGTTTAGGCCCGTTTGCCGTTCTCCGATGTTTCGTCCCATCCGAAACATTAGCACGACAGGGACGGCCTCGTCTGCGACCCAGTTCTCCAACGTCAGCCTCGACAACCTCACTGGTCCACGCCGCGCCATGGTCTCTGATCATCTGGTCTCATGGGGTTTCGACGGCATCAGGATCGCCGGGTGGCGGTCCCGAATCGTGATAGCATTCCTACGCAACGAAAAGAGAAAGATGTTGGTCATTCAGCTGCATTTTCTGGTTGCTCACTTGCTCAGCCTCAGTTGCAGAAACGTGCCCCTGTGACAGACCTGCGTCGCATCTTTGACTGACCTGGTTGACAGGCGGGAAGCATCAGCAAGCGCGAAGAGCCCTAGCAAGCGTGCAGGAATGTTCGGATCGATATATCATCGTCAAAGCATGGAGAGACGGAGGACATACTTAAGATGGCAGATATCCGCGAGCTGGACTTGAATCTTACTCAAAGCGCCAGCATCGATCACTTTCATCTCATTCTTGTATTAGTTATACTCCAGTACTTTGACAGTACTTCATTCTCTTCTTACTCTCATTACATCATGGTTCGCTTCTCTCTTGCTGCAGCACTCTGTGAGTTCTCTCTCCCGCACCTCCCGTCTCCGGGTCGTTGTCACCCCAATATCCAGCTTTGACTAACATACCCCAGTCGCTGCCTCTGCCCTTGCAATCCCCAGCCCCCTGACACCAGACCCATCTGGTGACAAAAACGTCGGCAATGGCAACGGCGTCCAGTTCATCGGCGGAGCCTGCCTCAACAGCAAAGACTGCGCCTCGACCTGCTGCGCAACCCTGAACGGCGCCGGCATCTGCTCCGGACTCGGAGCTCAGTTCCAAGCAGGCAAAACAGGATGTGGATTCGGTGATGGTGGCACTGCTGCTGGCCCCGCTGCGTCCCAAGGAGCAGGCCAGGCCACACCGTCCATGGAGGCAGCCGCTGGGAGTGGAGGCGGCGCCGGATCAGGGACCTCGTCGAATGTGGGTGCCGGTAACGGCCAGCAGTTCATCACGGGGCAATGTTTGTCTGACGCGGACTGCACCTCGGGGTGCTGCAATGGTCCCAAGGGTGCTTGTGCCGCTAGAGCCGTCGCAACAGAAAATGGCAAGGCGGGGTGCGGCTTCACCGGCACGGGAGCGGGTGCTGCCACTGGCTCCACCGGCGGCGGCGCCGCGGCTGAGGCTGCGGCGCCGCCTCAAGCTGCTCCGTCTGCAGGTGCAGGTGCAGGCTCTGCTGCAGGTGCTGGCTCTTCGGGCGCTCCTGGCTCACAGAATGTTGGCAAAGGAAATGGGCAGCAATTCATCACCGGCCAATGTCTGTCGAACGCAGACTGTGCTTCTGGATGCTGTGCCGGGCCCAAGGGAGTATGCTCAGCGACGGCGGTTGCTAATGAGGGCGGGAAAACTGGATGCGGATTTACGGCGGCATGATTTGATGACAAACTTGAAAATTAGTATGAGTACAGCGGATGTAGACAGTCTTGGGGTGATCACTTTCTGTATGCTAGGTAAATTGAGATGATACCATTGAGAGGCCTCACCGCAACCTGTCTAAGTAGGTACGTGTGAAAGAAAAGAGTGCTTGATCTAGTGTTCCATGAATCTAGCGAGCGATTCCTAAGCCGGTACCATCCTCGCATTACCTTAGTCATTACACATGAGGTTGGAAATATCTCCTACATACTTGTTTCTTAGAAACATTAAGTGAGATAATATAGTTGAACTTGATTTGAGAAGGCTATGTAGACACCTATTGAAATTCAAGGCTAATGGAGATACCAGTTTGGACTACGCCTGTAGGTTAATCCTTCCTCCAAGCCTTCTCGCCAAGCCAGCGAGTCAACCTCACAGCATTCACATCGACTATCCGATTAAACACATCGCTCGCCCAGAACAGCGCCAGTGTGTTCACCAAAGAGCCCCAGAAGAACGCAAGCGCGTACGCACTCCATGCCTTGTTCACCATCTCAGCACCAGCAGCGGCGTTACCACCTTCCGTGAGCACCTTGGCCTGGGCACCAGCGAGCTGCAGCGCAGTGTGCGCTGGTGATAGCCACCTGACGCCAACCATGTGATTGATGGCGCCGTGCCATAGATACAACGAGTAGGAAATCTGTCCGAGGTACTGGGCGAAACTGGTGGTAAAGGGGCGTTGGAGGAGAGGTTCGGCTGTTTGTGCTTCGGCCTCTGTGGAAGAGAACGCAGCCGTCGCAAGCTCTTCTTTTTCGTTGTCATCGAGGTCTGATCTTGTCTGGTGCCAGGGCAGCCGGATATTGCGACCCCTGAGAATCATGGCCTTTAGGTTGAACGATACATGTACGGCCGGGGAGTACATCATGGCGAAGATGAAGATGATGGCACCAATCGAGTTCCAGAACAGTTGGGTGCGGTCGCCCATGGCCTTGTAGTAGTCCGGTACCCATTGCGAGATCGTGATGAAGCCAGGGGTCGAGGCACCGTAGTACTCGGGATAGGAGAAGAGATGCAGACCGAGGAAGAAAAGGGCCATTGTGCCGACGTGGCGGATAATGTGGAAGGATTTTGAGCCGACTCTTTTGACAACGCGCAGTTTGTGACTAGGGAGCTCGTCTTCGGGTATCTCTGCTATCTTCGGGGCTGCGTTGGGGAGAATAATGGAGAGCTCTGCGAGAAGGAGCCCGGCACAGAAGAGAGCTTGGTCCCAATCACCGATACGGACTAACCAGATTGCAACGCCTGTGACGCCGACCATGTGGATCCATCTCTTTGCTCGAGCGAAAATAAGCAAGAGGAAGAAAACGAGCAGCGAGCCCTTGAATTCGACGGGGATTGTCCAGAGATGCCCATCGTACTCGCTTCCCTTCATATTCTCCCGATTGACGATAACTCGGAAAGGGTTCATCAAGTCCACCGTACTCCAGAACCAGTGGTGTAACTGCTGGTCGAGAGTCGGGCCCCGGGGAGGTACAGATGCTCCCGAAGGATCTCGTGTGTACTCCCCTCCATATACCAAGAGGGCAATAATAAACGTCGACGCGAAGATAGGGAGGTATAGTCGAAACGGGCGGCGGAATGCTGAGCCGGCCAATGCGCTAAACGCCTGATCCATCTTCCCCTTGTGGATCATTGTGAGCGTCTTGAGCGTAAGGACGAAGCCCGAGATAACGAAGAAGACGGTAACGCTGGCGCGGCCGGAGTGTAGGGAGCGGATGATGGGCATTTGCCAGAACATATCGTGGCCGAGGCCATAGCCCCAGCGGAGGTCGGGGTACCAGAGGTAGGAGAAGTGGAAGATGTAGACCACGAAGGCTGCGACGCCGCGCAGACCGTCTAGGTACGCTGTTGGGCCCAATTTCTTTGACTTCGGGCGCTGGGCCGAGGATGTTGTGAAGTAGTTGAAGGGGCTGACGAAGAATGTGGGGAGAAAGAGAAAGACGAATGGCTTCAATGTGGTGAGGAGTGTGAGGAGGCGATCCGTCCATGTTAGGTCGCCCCCGAGGTGAAGGTGTTCGTTGAGAAATGATGACACTGAGTTTCTTGCCGATCTCACTGAGATCAGGAAGGGGTACTCGTGCTTTTCCATGTCGATGATGTCGTCCAGCGATTCTGTTGACGGCGAGGCTCGGCCATCTTCCTCTCCGGCGATGAGGGAATGTCGCTCATGAGTGTCCCGTGGAGGATGCGAGAATGGGTTTGTGAACCGCATGATGAAAAATGATGGCCCAGCACCCTGTTCAAAGATGAAGTGTCCCTTGGCTAGGGTTGTGGAGAGAGCAGAGTCGATAATTAGGGGGCGAGATAAGTAGTACTTTGGAGGTCGAAAAAGGTAGTTCCAGACTTGTTATACAAGCTTTGACAGGCTGCCGGCGCAGTGTGTATGTAATGATCGTCCACCTTGAGCCTCATCTGTACAAGTGCGGGATGAAATGCTGCGTGCCGACGTCCACGCACCTAGTATTAAGCCGTAAATGACGATGCCCTCTCTGTATCCGTGACTGATTAGCGACGATGGCCAGAACGCAAGCCGAATCAAAATCCGTCTCGACTCTGAGCCACAAGCCTCTATAGGGAAAGCCTTTCGCATCGGTGACCTGTGGCAGCTTTTGGAGTGAGGCGAGTGATGCGTCTGGTGTAAGTGCGTATAAGTCAGCCAGTATGAAAGCGTGGTGCCTTCGGGTAGGCCGATCTGCTTGAGGAACGTTGTTTGCAGCAAGCTAAAAGTGGCGGTAGATCGAGGCCATTAGATCAGAAATCGTTAGAACCGGGCACTTTATCTATGTCATTTCAGCTTCCCGAATAGAGTTGACGCTTTCGTTCGGACGGGCTGACACCTCACACTGAATAAGTTGGGGTGAAACCTGAAAGTGGAAATCGGCTTGTGTCGTCTTGTCTATTTGACAGGGCGGAACCCGGTGGCAGGTGTCTTACCTTGCCAAGTCAAGACCAATTGAAAAGTCGTGACTCGGGCTCGGGGGGTTAAAAGAACTTGCCAAATAATCTATGAGGAGGAAAGTAGGGCCCAAGGTATTCTTTCGAGCTTTCCGCAACTTTGCATTTCAAAACCAAACAACAATCATCTCTGAGACTTAAAATCCGTGGAATTCGCGGTCCGAACTGTTGACTCAGACATCCAGACCAAAATGGCAGATGAACACATGCCTGTGAAAAAGCTTAGACCAAAACAGGACGTTGACTTGGCATTGGCGTGAATCGGCCGGAGGCGCTTTTTGTCTCACAATAGCTTGGCCCTGTCTCTTATTCGCGCCGAAGACGTTCTATTTATTCCGATTCCGAACTGCCAGTCGCTGGTAGCGGCATAGGTCTCGCAATAAGACTTGATGATTTCCGGTTATGTGTAACCATGGACCGCGAGCCACTGACACCCTGATTTTAAGATGCCCGTTAAAGCTGTCATTCTGCCCGTGTGAGTAGCGGGCATCCCACAAAGTGACATCACATCAGGGTGCCAGTTTTCAATGTCGCCAAAGCTCATATTCGACTCAGAAGTGAGATCGGGAATCAAAGAAGGATTCAATGAGCCATGGCCCATGGCCTTAGGGAGTCGGGTCCCCTTCCGGATAGAAGCTCTTTGGTAAAGGAGCGGACTCATCCAGGATGCCTGGCCGAACCTTTCGATGCTGAATGCGTTTAAAGTTAGGGGGCCTGGACCGACACTTACTTCCGCCAGATTTTATGAAGGACAAGGTCACACGAAGAATAACGACCGCATTGTTCAAACGCCTCCGTCCTGCGGCTTCAGATACGGTTGCACACGCAGCCATGTGTGGAAGCCTCATGGAATCGGGATGAAAAAGGTTTCTGGGAGACACTAGGTACTTACACGTAGGCGCCATTCTCCTTTTGGTTTTCTGGAATCGGATTGATATTCGAGTCAAAAGAGGCGTAATCAGAATTCAAGGCGCCTTCCTACAAAAGATCTCATATGTAATCAGGATTGAGGAGTCAGGGAGCATACGTTCAATGTTCCTCAAAAGCAACGCGGCTTACGATACACTTGGGGCTGAGGTGGCTAGTGTATGCCGATGCTCGATCGCTCGCTCGACTTCCTGCTTCCAACGAAAGCATGGGGCCTCATTCAGGGGGGACCAACTGAAAGGCTTTTTTTTCTTATTTTTAGGTATCGCCAGATATGACTTAAGTGAAGATGACATTGAGTACTTTAAGATATCTCATCAGAGGCTATTGATCCGTGAGGGGCAGCTTTCCCAAAGTTTCCTCCGGTGTTAAACATCCCCATGAGTTGGAAGAAAGGAAGATTCGGGGCGCGATCATTGCCAAGTTCTTAATACATAACGCACGTGGCTTTAAGAGTCCTCTGATGATGGATAAGATGGAGGTTATGGCAAACAATGAAATGTGTTATTATAATTTTTACGAGATAATACACTGGTGACTAAAAGGAGCCGACTTTGAAGTTGCCTTGATGTAATACCGTAGGATCGGTCAGAGTTTCGCACTCAATGTGATCTTGCAGTTCGAGTCCGATGTGGTACGCATGACGTCGTTTTTCAACGTCTTCATTTCGCACTCAGTTAGTAGAAACCGTAGCACTTAGTTGACAGCCCAAAGACATCATTAATGCTGTGTAGCATCAGCAGAGAAACGTACCTAATTCGGAACTCGGATAAAAAAAAAACGTCGCGAACCGCTCTCTGAAAACGACGGACTCTGGAAGCAGGGTATCATTCAATTGACTTTTGACGACGTCGTCGACCCGTTAGACGTTGCTAGCGGAGCTTCTATGTTGGTAGGTCACGTACATGTGGCTGGAGGTGATCTTGGCGCTGTTACCTCATCCCGTCAATATGTGCAGCTGAGACTAAGATCAATTGCGAACTTTCGGGACGGGTCCCAGACACTGAGTGGCGCACCTCCGCCTTTTGGGTCTCGCAAGAATCTCATCCAACATCAATTGCGATAGATAGTTTTGGTCAAAGACTACGATGACGTCAGTTGCGGCTCCATCCCGCCGTGCCTGACCAGTGGGTTCGATGCTGGTGTTGCTCACAGGCAAAAACCCCTCAACATCTCAATGATCTCTTGTCCGACGCTGTTGCCGTAATATTAATTTACCTAGGTAGTCCTCCCAGCCCCCGTGAACCCAATAGTTGGTTTTACTTTTAAGAACCTGATCTGGCGCCAGATCCTAGCTCCCCCCGTGCATAGCGCAAGACACCCTTAAGCTGTCTGCTTAGTGCTTCACGATGTACGAAAGATTCCTATTGGGAGCTCATAAGTCATAAATGACTATGGGACTCGCGCTTCAGAGCTCTTGAAAGGATGTTCGTCACATCAAGGGCGGCTGGTAATAAGGCACGAGATCATCGGTAACGACTGAATTCTTTCCTGGCCACCCTAACGCCTTGCATTCCCTTAATTTTGTAATAATCTCCATACGTACATGACTTTTACTTTTGCTGTTGTTTCCTCTAGGAGGGCTGGTGCTAGGATCGCTATGGAAGACCTTGAAGTAGGACAGGGCGCCTATACCGGTCTGGTTCTGGTTGTTGAACTACATGGAATGGTCCAGTGGAGTACGATGGACTGAAAGGCTAGACATGACGATAGAAAAAGAACAGGACTTGAAGAGAAGACTACGGAGTTTCAGTTGAATATGTCATGCGTGGAGCGCGGTATACATTCAGAAACTGAATAGACCACTGCGGCGCTTGCCGAGCGGGTAGATAATCAACGCGCTGATGAACAGGCCAACGGCAATACCGATGGCAATCTGGATCATGGAGGCGGCGACATTGAACACGACCGTATTCAGAGACTCGCCTCCGGAGTATTGAACAGAGCTTGTGCCATTGACGGCGTGCGTCGAGTTGGTGATTGCGTTGGCTGCACTCAAACCACTCAGCAGTCCTCCGGTGGATGCCAGACCTCCGGGTACCTGAGTAAAGATAGCCGGGATGAGCGTGGCTGCCGCGACGCCATGCCTCAGACGCGAGTACAGGTTCGCCAGGACACCGACGGTGAGCGCGCCAAGGGCATTGGCGACCTGCGGCGCGGCGCTGAAGCGCAAGCTGCTAAAATAATTGACAATGTAGCCGGCGAAGGCAACGACGAGCATGACAGGCATCTGGCGCCATTTTGCCTGATACAGAATACTGATGCAGAGGACGAAGAGGGGCACGAAGATGAAGGTATAGTAAGTAGGGATCGAGTTGGTGCAGCTCGTCGTGGACACGGCGTTTTCGTCGAACATGCCGTAGAGGACGGCGCCGATGGTGATACCGAAGCCGAGGAAGAGAGAGTATATGATGGCGTAGACGATGCGGATCGAACCGGGGACGATGGCGCGGGACTGAAGCTCGAGGGCGGAACACACTGGGCCATCAGCGGCTTGTCCTAGGTCTTTGGCGCCCGTGGGCAAGTAGCATCCCCAACACGTACGCGAGAAGCGCAGAGACAAAGGAGGTACAGCTAGGGTGGGAGATCACAATGGGGTGTTGCGAAGAGTTCACTTACAAACTAAGTATCCAGGTAGAAGCATGACGATGCCTCCCTGGGCCATGGCCGAGAAGCAGAAGAGCTCGCCACCCTTGATACTGCCGAAGGCCCGTGCCAGGAAACTTACCAAGACAGTTGCCGTTACTTCGAGAACGTTGCTGTACAGCTTAGAGTTGGCGGCAACAATGAGCTGCAAGAAACCGACGAGGCAGCCAAAGAAAAAGCAGAGCGGGAGATCGATCATGCGAGCGCCGAACGAGAAGGGGGCGGCAGTGGCACTGGTCAAGCCGAAGACGAGAACTCGGATCCAGGCGTGGAACTTGTCCTTAGCTTTGATGAGGGTGTCCAGCCGCTGGATGCCATCGTCAACGCTGACGACATCGTGAATGACTTCTTTGTATACATGATGCGCGTCCCTGAGCTTTCCGAGGTCGATACCCTGGGCTACGCGGACGATGCGGACTTCGGTCGTATGGGTGGATCGATCATCGAAGGAGACAATCATGCACCCTGGAAGATACAAGAAATGACCATCGATTTCTAGAACCTTGGCCGTTGTGCTAAGGTACTCCTCAAGACGATGAGTAGGCGCACCAAACAACATCAATGCCTTGCAGAGCGTGATAATGTACTCCTGTCTGGAAAGCGTTTCGGCGATGTGAACGGTGATCTTGGCCTCTTCTTCCTGTCTGGCCAGGTACGCAGCGATGGAGTTGCTCGCAGTCCGCTTGTGCTTCGGGCGTGTCTTCTTAGCTGGTGCTTTGCCATTCTTTGGTGACTCGTCTGGCTTTCCTTGCGTGTTGGGGTTCGCAAGGCGGGCGGATGCTTCGATGAGGTTGACGAGAGTCTCCTGAGAGCGGTTCGCCTCGTACCACTTCTTCTTCTTGGGCGTCGTCGGAGTTGCGGTGCCTGAGTTCGAGCCTGGCGTGCCGGCTCCCGGCAGCGGTCCACCAAATGAGAAAGAAGTTACCGAGCTGCGGTTGGTCTGCCCGGACGACTGGTACTGATTGCCTGCTTCCGCAGGCTTGTAAAGCTTCAGCAGCTGTGATAGAACACTTCCGCGGTACTCTGTGGGTGCGGGGACAGAATAGACGCCATCGTATTGACCATTGTTGATCTCTTGTAGGAGGTGTTCAGTGGCCTTGTGCATTTCTGCGTCTTGGGCATTGGATGGGCCGGCGACGCTCTCGGACCTCTCGGCAAGGCGCCAGGTGTGAGCTCTCACAATCTTGTAAGCCTCGTCGTTGAGGGCGGCCTGGTGCTCGTGAGCTTTCTTCTCGGCCTCGGCAGACTTGTCGTTGAGTGGCTGACGGGAGTGAAGGTCTTGTAGAGCAATATACCCTCCAGCTCCCTCCGCTCCTCCGAGATCATACTCGCTTGCAGTGGTGGTCGTCGCGGACTCGAGGGAGTCTCGATTCTCGCGGGTCGGCGAGCCGGAGTGAACATTCTCTGCCATCTGCCGGGCTCGTTCTTGAGCAGCAGCTGCGGCAGACTTGGCTTCTTGGCGTTCATTTTCATCCGCAAGATGGGGTTCCTCTTTGGCAAAGGTAGCCACAGTAGGGATGGAACTGCCGGAGCCGCCTCGTAAGATGGATGGTCTAGTAGGCTGTGCTGGAGCAAGCTTGGGTGTAGTTGGAACTGGTGGTGGTGATGTTGGAGGCTTGGTCGCGGCCGCGTTGCTGTTAAATCTGACGCGGCCTTTCTCTTTCCTTAGGGCGGCTGCAGCTGCGGCCTCGGAAGGGGTGCTTGTCCCGGCCGTGTCGGAGCCGGATGTTGGCTCGGAAGCGGATTCCACCGGCTCAAGTGCTGCCGTTGAGGCCGAGCCGACACCGCCGGGCTCGGGGCCAGGGTCGTCATCGGGAGAGGACTGTGAGATTCCCGCCATTGCATTGGCGTCCAGAAAACGAGCGAGTATCTTCCAACTTGGCAGCGGAGTAGGATGGAGCCGCGAGAAGAAAAAAAAGCGAAATGCAAAAGCACAATATATTACCAAAGAAAAATTCTGACGGCACAAGTGGATCGTGGGGAAAAGTATGGGGGAAGACCCCTTTCTTATAAGTCGAACCGGACCGGCGGTTCACGACGTCGGCAGCTTGTCACCCGGACCCTCCGGTAACCTGGAAAGGTTCTCATACCGGAAATACTTTCTCGTATCCATCAAACTCCACTTGGGCCGAAACCGCTCCACGAGAAGCAGCAGATCGAATTTCCATGAACGTGCTAGCACACCATGGTCTGGCGCAAGTTCGTCGGGCCACCGACTTCCTATTACCTAACAAAATCAGGCATGCTTGCCGTCATTCGCCAGGGGACTCCCTGTGAGTCCCTGCGCGGTCTTGGCTTGCGGACGGTATGCAATATGGATATATGCACATGTCGTCATGGGGCTTCCGTTTCCTCTTTGACGCGTCTTTCGGCTGATGTGCTGGTCTTCGGAAATGGTGATAAACCGCCGTATTGGTCGAGATGACACAATATCGCGGAGCTGTCCATGAGGTTGCAAGAAAACTAGTGCCGTAGGACGATGGCCTTAGGGCCAACCCGAAGATCCTGCATAAGACTCAAGAGCTCCCCTCGATGATGTGTGTCCCACTCGGAAGCACCCGATTCGCTGTAGCTTGCTGTCATCCGAGCTCAGCCAACCAGACGTCTTGTTTGTGTCTCTACTGCCGTAAATATCTGTTCCGTCAGGGGCTTAAACCAAGGGTCTTCCCATCTCTCCCTGCCCAGTCCTACCGCCTCATCGAAAGCCACATGTTCGGTTTCGGCGCTATGTTTGGTTTGCGCGGTCCGCTGGGAGCGCGGTCTAGACTCTCGAGTTCATGGAAAGCTTAGGTCATGAGTGGCAACCCCTTTCGAGAAGAGGAACGTGGGCCTTACTGGCCTGAGTCATGTAGCTGGTCCCCACGTGCCGGAGCCCTGTACGGCCCGGCAAGAAATGGGTTTCCACTACACGTGAGCAATGGAAATTTTGTATCACGACGCGAGTGAAATGATGAAGACTTTTTTCTTCAGTAATAGAAGCTGAGGAAAAGGGGCACGTATTTTTTTTCTCCGCTCATGAGATGCTTGTCCGAGGATGGGGTGGGTTAATTGAATGATTCACCGCAGTTCTCCACTTCGGAGAGAGGCTTGGCCCAATATATGTGTGCAAAAGCATGTTCAATATCGATCGTTGAGGAGGCGGGTTAACCTCGTGTATGTGCTGTGTCGGACTTTGGCATCCCTCGTTCTCCGTATTTTCTCTGTGGTTAAGTCAGTCTTGATTCGAGTTATAGGGAGACTGCAACAAGTCGAGGAACCCTTGCACAGAACCGGAAATGTTTAGAAAGAGTTTTCCAACAAGTCTTACTGGTAAGGTACAAAACATGGTCTAATAGGCGGTCAGCCGAATTCTCCGTGTGATTATAAGTTCGTCATGCGCTCGGACGAAATTAGGTATTTGCGGCGACCACGGATATCTCGATGTTCACAAGTGTTGAAAACAGAACTGAGAATTGCAGATGGCCGTCAGTTTTGACTTAGGGAACTAGGGCGAGACTAGTATTTGCCACAGCTTGGAGATTCCGTATGATTGTTCTGAAGAGAATTGATATTCATCTCAGAAATTCGGCCACGGTCTCGACCAAGCAAGCGACGAGCCTGTACAGCTGCAGGGCGTCCTTCCCCGTCAAAAGCATCCTATCTCTAGTTTCATCACCCATCATCCTATCCGTCATATCAACTACTCTTTGGTATGCGAAGAGAAAACCTGTGCAACAGTCTACCAGGCATTCCCTAGCGCCGAAGCTTTCTTTCGTGTCAGGAACAATGACGACGGGACAATATAAAGCGCAACAACACTCTGCACAATGCCCACTCCGTCAAGCGTAGAGCGGTAGAGATACTTCTTCAAATATAGTCGTAGCGGGAAACTCTAGATTGTATCCTTTCTTAGACTCATAGCGTAAAATGTCCAAAGCGCCAGGTCCCATTCTCTCGCTTGCGCTCCGGACTCGTCATGCTTCAAGTCACGCGAAGGTGGGCACCATTCGGCGAATTCCAGCCCTTCGTCTCCGAGGCTCCGCCGTCAGTAGATACCCTTGGGCCACGAGGTAAATGTTAAAACAATTTGACAGCACACACATGTTCCAGGATACTTTGGGAACCTAGATTCTTTGATGATTTTACTCATTATTTGATACATGTAGCCATCGTATTTAGGCAATGGAATCAAGGCTCCATTAGCTTCTTCGACTAGGTATCAATGAGAACGACCCGCGCTTGACGGCTATCATGTGCTACCTTGGCTCTTGTTGGAATGTTGCGAGCGAACTGTGTACCGTACTACATTGGTGAAGAGAAAAAGATCATTATTTGTTATTTGTTCCGCGGGCTGGTGCCTAATCATTCACTCCGACAGAGCATCACTCGTTTGAAAAGTCAACTGGACACATCGTCCCGAATGTCCGAAAAGTGCCGATCAGATTGAAAAAAAGAAAATCTTGCCGAGGTCAAAATTGCCCACCGAAGACCTCAGTGAAACTTGAAACATAGAGAACAAAACATTTCCTCCAGCTTAAATCTCCTGTTGCTCCCAGCTGGTGGCTTTTCTCAACCATGCGGGAATCTCAACCGGCTGCCCGAATACAGCTGGTGTCTCCTGGGGAGCTGTTGCTCGATTTATTATGAAAGAGGGGTCTTTGGTAGCGCGATAGACGATTTGTTCGAGCTTCTCGTACAAAATGTCTGCGGTAACGCGGTCGTCCACTCGAACCAAAAGTAAGTGCTGGGTGATTAGATTGATGACAGCGCCTAGCGCTGTGTCATCCCTGCAGCGGGGATCACCTCGCAGAGCTACAAACGCGTCAAGAACCGAGGGATGGATAACCGCACTATCTCCTCGAAGCGCGTAAAAGTTTGAAGTTGGGATAATGGACGTCCTGTCCTCCCTGGATTCGGCAAAGCTATTGATGGCACTGAACCCGTGAACCATCCAGATAACGAACTCGAGATAAATGCATGCCATTGACCAAATATCGTATCTGCGAGGTCTAGGCTTCTTTGTCTTCTGAGTGGCTTCAGGTGCTTCGTATGAAGGAGTAGTCGCTCTGGTGTAGGTGCTTATGGATCTCTCATACGTAGCAGCTGTGTGGACCTTCGAAATTCCAACATCTGCAATAACAAGATTACCTAGCCCGCCGCGTGGGAAGTGAAGGATGTTCCCGGGCTTGAGGTCTCCATGACGGAAATTGATGTCGTGGAGCTTCCGGAGAGCACCACTGAGTCCAAGCATCTGTTGCAGAGACCACAGCATGTACTCCCGATTTGACGTATGCAGCATCCAGAACTCCTGCAGATTCCCCCCTTCTGCCCATGGGAAGGCTATGAAGTAAGACTGACCTCTCTCGCAGAAGAATAGGTGCCGAATGAGATGTCTGTCTTGAATACCGCGGGTCTCCAGAAGGTTTTCCTTTTCCTTCTCAAACAATTTGAAGCCTTCAGACCTGTGAAATACCTTAAGTGCAATCACCATGTCCGTGTTTTGCGTCTTCGCATACCGTTTGTTAGCGCCTGGATTTCTCACTGCGGGAGCAGATTCAGGGGCTCACCTCAGAACCGGTTTGATGAGCTGCATGTAGCTCGCTCTTGTAGACAATATTGCTGTGTTCACCACGAAGTGGAGTTGCCCTCAAGAATGGCAACGGGCATTTCGAATCCACTCGAAAGACCGCAGATGTCCCTGAGACATCTATTGTTGGGGCAAGAAAGTCCCATTGCTTTTCCAGAAACATATCCACCATGGCCTCGTTGTTCCAGTCTTGAAATGACCTGACTTCCAGTCTCCCCTTTGTCTCCAAAATACGACCGTGACGGGCATGAGTTGGCCTAGCAAACGGCAAATCGTCGTCGGTAAGACCATCGCCGACCAGCTTTCGAATTGCGGAAGGCTCTCCGATCATCACAAGGATTGCAAATAGCCGTCTTGCGTTCTTCGAGACTTTGCTTGGGAGGCTATCAGGGAGTAACCTATTGATGAGGCTTTTAGGGAGCTCCTTTTCGACGGTCTCCTTGGTGATGAGATCGTCTAGACTGCTGACTGGCAGGAAACCCTGGCCAATGACGGAAGAACGTCGACGAGCGTCTTTCAACCTTGGAAAAAGAGATGAAGAAGCCATTTCTGGGCGTCAGGTATTAGGGATGGCATTCACAGATGACTAGAGTTCAAGGCTGGTTTCAGCAGGATCATCGACAGTCGCGGGGGAGTTGATGAAACTCTGAGTATTGACCGTGACCGGCGATTGCACAAGTCAAAGCAGGCTGTAAATTAAGGCGGCCATGAAGGCAGCCACATAAGTATCCGCCGCGCTGGACTGACTATCAGAACGAAACTGCCGAAGGGACACCCACGTCTTTCTGGGCTGTTGCTTCGACATCTTTACGCTCCACTGGCCGAGAATTGACATATTCCATGTAGAACTTGTACATAAACAGGCGACCCAAGACATATCTGGGGACTCCCTGGGAGCCGCTTCGCTGATCCGCAGTCATATAGTCGGGGATGCTCTGGGTCAGCTGGCACCCCTCTCATGGTTGCGCCGCAGACTGGAGACCACCTCTATGGCACTGTAGTCCAATGACGAACTCTTGGACTGACACCCTACATAAAAATGAAAGATAAGCTGCTTGGTTCAGCCTGATCTGGCGCTGGAGAGAGTCTGCAGATTCTGTTAAAAGATAAGATGCACCTACCCCGCCTCCTTGGCTGTGCAGACACACCAACTTTGGGCAAACTCACGTCATCGCAGTGCATGCACGTCAGGGAAATTGATGCCATGCTCACAGCCTGATTCCAAACCAAACTTCATCACAGGGCTGCTTTTCTTCTGCGGATACTAGCAGGCACCTCGAGACTTTGGGAGGTCTGGAAGTTTTCGTGCATTATTAGAGCATGTACTAGGGCCTATGTCGATCTCTTGTCCAACTCTTTACAATAATCGCGTATTCCGAAGTGAAAGTATAGTTCATCAAACCATGATCTGTGTGAATGGGGCTAAAGTATTGATAGATTATTAGCCAATGCTCACAGCTTCCTGATCTGGCGTCATGCAGCCACCGCACTACTGGCAATGAACGCATAGGGTAAGGGTTGCAGTTGGCATGCCGAGTCTGGAGAATATCTAAGTTCCTCGACTCCGAGCCTGATTGAGCTTGATCCATGCCGCATGCGACACGTGTGCGAATCACGCGCACCAGCTTCGGCAGCACACGGAGGCCAGGTAACAAGAAGCCGTTGGAGGAAATGTGTACGCATGGGAGACGGACTTTCGGACCTGGGTTGACTTGTCCCGCCTTTGCTTTGCAAATGATCATGATGTATCCAGAATGCATAGCATCGTTGTGCTCTATACGTTTCCAATAGCACCAACTATTGAGGGACGAAATCTTTCTGGAACTTACAGTTGACAACCCTAAACCTACCTGTTAGGTACTTACAACGCTACTGGATATTACGGTACTGCAAGTCTGTCAGAAAGAAGCTGGACTTAAGTCTAGGCATAATGGTGTACACCGAAAGGCGACCTGAACCAATGAAGTCGTCGTGGAGGATGCGGGCCGAGCACAAGAGGGGAAAGTCGTAATCTCTCATGGAAGCGGCAAACATCAACCACCAACGCCACCAACTCGTGTCTGCATAAGTACGTTGCTGCATGCTCCGGACAAGTCCAATAGCATAAGGTCCAACTTCGCCTGGATCCATAATGTGGAGGCTATGTCACTCGTCGAAATATTCCCGGAATGCGAGGCTTACCATTGCTTTGTGGTAGTTGTTGGGTACCATCACATGTGAGTAGGACCCATTAGCATGCCAAGACGCAGAGAGAAGCGACATAAAGCTGAACGTGTTGCCAAAGAAAAGCCAAGTTCCCGAGCATGGCTATCGAGTCACCAAAGCTCACAAGCAGCTCCTTCGGGAAACTCAAGACCTCGAGCAGTCGCCTAAACCAACTTCGCGCCGAATATCTTCAGTCACCATTTATGCCAGAAGGACATCGAGCATACCGTCACAGTTGTGGAAGAAGTCATCCATTACCAGTCTTCGGAGAGGAAGCAACGGTAGTGGCCATAGCAGCGAGATGGCCAATCTTCAGAGTCAATTAATGTCGGCGCAGCTTCCTGCAGGAACATGCGGGGGTAGTAAATTTCTCCCATGCTCCGTCCTGGAAGAGAGGGTAACTACGCAGTTGGTCACAAAGACCCTCTCGTCCATATATAAAACGACCAAGTCTCCAGAGACTATATCAAACATCGCCTCCTTCGTCTGTGGAAAGCCTGGGGCAAGGAGAGTTTTTGCAATCCTTGCCTGCGTTAGCCACCTGGAACGGATTGACCTGTTTTACGAAAATAACTTTGTCGACTCCATTCTACCTCTCTTTATCGACAAAAACACCAGCCAAGTGAGAACTCGCTCCACTGAACCCCGCCACTCTGAGATCACCAGAAAAGTTTTTGCCAACGACTTTTGGGAACATGTTACTTCAGCGTGGATCTTCTGTGACACCCAGTGGCAATTTCTTGGGCCGGTCTTCAACGAACATCAATTCAGATACTCCTTTCGCGAGGATCATCGAATGCCGTTCTTAGAGCAACCTGATGGACACAGAGAAAGTCATTTCAGCACGGTGGGAAAGTGGTCTATCCATCAATCTCATTTTGAGAAGAGCTCAAGACTTGTAAGTGCACACAAGCACCTCCGCTAAGCCATGGCTACAGAATTCATGGATACGACACTTACATGATGCAGCGCCTATCGGTTGACACAAACGGACATCCGATCGTAGCAGTAAAAGAGCTGAAAAATGTCAACATGAAAGCCAATGAGTACGAGCGCGTAGCGGAGGCTGAGGCAGAAGTTTTGGAAATGATCCGTGAAATGAAGCATCCGCACCTCATCAAAGCGATCGCTTATTACAAAAGGGGCGATCGATACTATATCATTTTCCCGTGGGCTGGAGGTGGCAACCTCCGAGACTATTGGGGAAGGGAGCCTCCTCGTAAGCTTGATGGGGGTTTTGTTAGCTGGGCTCTCGGCCAGCTCTGTGGTCTGGCTGGTGCAATGCAGAAGCTTCATTCAGCACAGGACTCCGCATGTCGACACGGAGATCTCAAGCCAGAGAATATTCTCTGCTTTGAAGATACCAGAAGCTCTGATCCAAGTTCTCAGCCATTCCTCGTCATTGCGGATGTTGGTCTAGCTAAAGTTCACACCTTGGCGACAGAAATGCGGAACGAGGCTACACGCACGATGAACGGAACAGTGATGTACGAGCCACCTGAAGCTGTATTGCTACTAACTAAGAAACAACCACGATCGCGACGGTACGACGTCTGGTCCATCGGATGTATTTATTTTGAGTTTCTGATTTGGCTTCTATACGGAAAGGCCGAACTGGTTCGCTTTGGTGATGACATAGCTCATCCTGTGAACAGAACACGGCAATTCTTCGATGTATCTGGAGCTGGAGTGACTGGGGCGGCCAGGGTTAAACCCAACGTCCAGAAGTGGATGGAATGGATCAGAAGGGACCCAAGATGTCCACCAAATACTGCCATTCGAAAGGTTTTGGAGCTCGTATGCACACGACTCCTAGTCATAGCGGTAAGTAAGCCGAGGACAGAGTCATCTGGAAGCGCCAGTGCTCAAGGCAGCACTACCCTACATGCGACCGATGGCCCAGATAACCCGAGCATCATTCGATCGGACACCAACAGCAGCTTCAATGGGATCCTCGTTGACGGCCTTCGTTATCGAGCGACATCTACTGAAATGCATGAAACGCTGGCTGGCATCATAGCGGAAGCTTCGGGCCCAAAGCCAAAAATTGCGTGGATGAATTGGCAGGCTGCGTCTCCAAGAGGGCCGGGACAATACGGAGACACTTTGAGTGTTTCTCAATTAGGTACAAGGGGGTCGCCGCGGCCTTAGTGGATGGGGTGAAGGGTAACTTTCCTAGGATCTCGTTCCCCTCCAATAACCAATTCGCTGGTAGACAACGACGCCGACTTGGCGGGTGCAAATGACAGTGGCCATTCTATTGATGTAAGAACCCCCTGTCTTACAGATTACAATGTTGTATACTGACATCGACAGTACGTACGTCTGCCCATAGTGGTTAAAAGCTGAGTGATCATGGCTCATAGTTTTCGTGGCATAGATGGTATGGATCCTATTTTGACAACCTTCGGACATTAATAATACATGATCAAGAGCTAATATTCCATCCAGTTTGTATGTTAGCAGCCTCCGACGGTATGTGACCATTGCTAATGGTCACCGTATCAACAGACGGTATGTCTTGATACTCAAGTTGAAAGCTTGACCTGCGTATCCGGGATCCGGTTGCCTGACTTTTATGCTGACAGTGCACCGTTACTTAGCCAGTAAGCTCCTTTCAATATCAACAGGAGCTACAAATTCTGATCAGCAATGTTCTTCCAGCTTGATAATGAATGGGAGTGTAGTCCGGATGTCAACACAGCACGGGAGTTGTCCAAAGTCGATATTTTTCGCCAGCTACCACTTTCAAGTACGATCGCCGCCCTTTGTACTCGATGCAAAGACCTCCAGCAGCGGCTCTGGTCCCATCGATTCTTCTTTTCTGATAACATCGAAGCACTGGCGAACAGGGCAGAAGTATGCGATTTCTGTCGCCTAATTTACGCTTCACTTGAATCTCTCGGAGCCCAGACCTACGGGCAGATACAGTTTGAAAAGTTCAACAGCTATTTGACGTCAAGTGTAAGACCTAGACGGCCAGTTGCGGTCTTTTACAGTCGGCCAGGTGAGGTCAACAAGTTCCCTTCGTTCATCTCGTGCTGATTCCGTGTTTAAGACAAGCCCTTAAGTGGTGCACAGATGGGAATGCCATTCCTTCCGGCTGCCGGCAGTCCGGCGCACATCGCAGTATTATCGACGTGGATGCGTGTCTGCGACGATACGCATGATTGCAGCCCAACATCAGACGACACCTTTCTTCCAACACGAGTTATCGATGTCAGATCTGAAGGCTTTGAATCATGCCGATTGCTTTGCGCGGATCGTGGGCAAACGAACCCAGGAAAGTATCTCGCGCTATCGCATCGATGGGGGGCACCGGACCAACACAAGAAATTCTGCACTCTGAAGGAAAATCTGGGAAGCTTCAAAAAGAGGATCAAGATTACGGAGCTCCCGCAAACCTTTCAAGATGCCATCAAAGTCACACGAGGCCTTGGTATTGAATATCTTTGGATTGATTCGCTCTGCATCGTCCAAGATGATCCTCGAGACTGGGAGAGGGAATCTCGGTTAATGGAACAGGTTTACAGTTCAGCATACGCGACTCTGGCAGCTAGCTGCGCAAGTGGTACCGAGGACGGCTTTTTGAGATCTCGGCCGGGGAGACATTGTGTTACATTAGAGTCCGACAGGGGCTCCTACTACGTCTGCACCTCTTTAGATGACTTTGGGCGTGATGTTGAGCAGGGAGAGTTGAACAAGCGGGCTTGGATTCTGCAAGAACGAGCTCTATCCCGTCGCACAATCTATTTCTCAGAAGATCAGACGTACTGGGAATGTGGAAGGGGTGTGCGGTGTGAAACTATGACGAAAATGAGGAAGTAAGCCTGTCTGGATCTGATTTCAGCTAGTCTGTGACTGACTCTTCGTACCCTCAGCCGAAAAGCCTCATTTCTGGGAGACTCAGACTTTCCCCACTCCATTGACACCTACGTACGCGGAATGAAGATTGAGCTTTATCAAGATCTCTACCAGAAGTATTCGGGGTTAGCACTTAGCAATATTGGTGACAGGCCAGTTGCCATTCGCGGGCTTGAAACGCGCCTCATCCGCACTTTCAAAACTGTTGGCGCTCATGGAGTTTTTGACACATTTTTTCATCGATGTCTGCTGTGGCAAAGAGCAAGCCGATGCCTAAGTCGGATCAAGTCAGAACTGCTTAGGGGAGTTTATGTTCCATCCTGGTCATGGATGGCTTACAACGGTGAGATTAGGTACATGAATGTTCCCTTCAACAATTATTCTTGGGAAGCGGACATCATCTCCCCGTTTCGAGCTTGGTCAGATCAAAGGATGAGGGAGAGAGGTGAAAGAGAGGGCGCATGCGAGATCAAGGCGCCTATATGGGACTTCCAGGGCTCTAATGGCCTTCTGCTGGAGCTTGACAATCCAGATAGAATGCTCTCGAACCTCAAGTGTGTCATTGTGGCGAGAAGGAAAGACTTGCAAGGCAACCCCCAACAGTCACACTACATAATTGTTGTTGAGTGTATAGAAAATGACGGACTCAGCGAGGTGTATGAGAGAGCTGGTGTTGCGGAGGTTAGGAGAGAGCAGATTGCATTCAACAAGGGAAGTCGGAGCGGCGTTCTTAGGTGACCTTAGGACATGGCAATAAGCTGGAAACTGCCTTCTATCTTTGACGCGTAGTTTAAATTGCATGTAAGCCGAATCGGGCTCTGAGGCATGATGCTTCGTCCCTTCTTGATGTTTGTGATGCTGCTCGTAATCTTGTACACTGTCACAGTCGTGAGCCAAGGTTGAGAAACTTTGAAGTTTATGAGTCCAAGTGCCTGTGTTGATATACGTGATATTCTAGAGAAGGCAGGCATAAGTTGCTGAGTTTCCATATTCTCACAAGACCTTTCCTGATTTCATCGTTTCTGAGGTCAGATGTTGGGATAACAAGGGAGAACCTCACGTGAGTTTCTTCCCGATGGGCATTGCTGAATCCATATTATTGACTTTAGAGAACCTAAGTCATTTGAGCATGGAATTATCCACCCACCCACCTACGAATCCGTATGTTCACTCCGAATACACCCTGGTGACTAAGGCTTAAGCCTGTATACCTCCCCCCCCCCAAGTCCTCTTCTCGCCACCAGCACAGCAGGCGCCTTCCTAGATCGGTTGGTCAGGTCAAACTGGCTGGATGGTGGAACAGTTGATGGTCGGGAATCATATTTACGTCAACCAGCCTACTCGACGACAGGCTTAGCAAGAGTACCCGAATTCGAATCCCAGCATGAGCACCAAGAGATATAGCCACACCGGTGGTGAATACTTTTTATTTATTTATGAGGCTATTGAACACTGGCGTCATGTCCAATTGGAGATACCGGCAGGTCCTGTGGAAGCACTTCCATTGTGTTCTTACTGTCTAGGTCGCATTCATTTACGGTAGAAGAGCGCGAAATAGCACGGGGTTAATGTATCGAGTACATCCACCTTTGCCACGACTTAAGGCCTGGATGTGGCAAGGGCTTCCGTCGCCGAATATTACTAATTTCGCATCCATTTCCTTACGCATAGCTGATGGGAAAAAGTGATTATACTGTCAAACTAATCGACTTGGTATTGAAAACAAGATACCATAATGAAGACGCTCCGCTATGCAGTCTACGTCAATGCCCACCGCCCAGACGATAGATCGTCATCTCAAACCAGCTCTCAATTCTCTTCTTCCAAGTCAAAGGCTGCAGGACTCTCATCTTGTCTACGCAACTCCCATAGAATAAAACTAAAATGCTTCGTTCAGCCCAGTTCCTAGTCTACAAAACACCGCCCTGTACACTTCCCAATGCCTGAATGTTCGTATCCAGGGACCTGACCACCGCTCCAAGGTGCTTCCTTCTCCCGGAGCCTGTCCGAATCCTCTGCAATCTCCCTTTAGCGAACATGTCGATCCACCAGAATACTTTCACAATATCAAGAAACGCCTTGACGTACGCGAGAAAACTCTCGAAGACAAGAAGACCGTCGCTCGAACATACGAAACACTCACGCCGCTTTGGAGCAGTATCTTGACTCCATCGAGGCTCCCCATCTCCAGCTGGTTCTTGAGCACGACAACACTCGTGAAGGCACCCCCGAGCCCAGCTGCCCAATCATTCCTCAGCAAGGCCAGGGCCTTCTGGCTCATCGTCCGGCGAAATGAACTCTATCAACGCTGGCGATTCCCTCAGTTGGTCTAATTTCGTCGTGGTTTCGAGGATTGTTAATAGAATCGCTCGCAGCCACTTGGGAAATAGCTTTTGGGTGTCAGAAATCTCCGTCCACCTCGAAAAAATTGGGATTATACCGCACTGTCCACTCTCCTCTTCGTACTTGGCCAAGGCCCCTTTCTTGATCAAGCACTCTACAGCAGTTTGTAGAGACGGTTGCGCAGTCACTCCTACTAGCCATCTAGGCGCATCTGTTGCCATAATAGTGAGAGAAAACCGCTCCCAAAGCCCCATGTTGGCATCGTCGCGGCTGGTGAGGATATTCTTGTAGTCAAGCAGACGGCTGTATACGCCAGCATCGAGGGTGGCCAATCTGGCGGGGTGTATGGCTGAGGTGGGACCAAACAGAGCCCTGTCATTGAAAACCTGGAAAATTGTTTCCGCCGGAGATCTTCTTTCGGCATTGAGGATGAGTTCAAAGTCCAAGTTCAGCAGAATATCGATCAGAGGCTTTCTGGCCGACACGTTAAGGAAGTGCAGGGCATTCTGAGATTCTTCGTCAACTTCGAAGGGGTCTGCGCCGAAGTCAATCAAGCTGCGAAGGAGATCCGCTGAGCCACATTCGACAGCCAGAAAAACAAGAGATTGAGGGCTTTTGAGGTAGGCAAGATCCGGCTTGCAGGTCTGGAGCATGTGGATCGCCCCTTTGAAAGCTTCGGGTGTTATTTTCCGCCCGTGCCTCATCGAGCTGAAGGGATAGATGACGGCCTCGGCAATTGGAGTCTGGCCGTCAGTCATTACACCCCTCAGATTCCGGTCTTTGTGCTTGTCGTGCTCTTGAAGGCATTCAAGTAGGGCGATGTCTGAATTGGCGGCTGCGAAGTGCCATATATTACGTCCACTCTCATCGGTATCTGTAGTTCTTGCTCCATGGTCCAAAAGGAGTTTCAAGGTCTCTGGCGACTCTGACAACATCAGGGGTGTCTGGTCTTTGTGGTTTCGTATATGCACATCGACATCTTCTCCTGATGCCAAGATGGCAGCCACTAGAGCTATTTCATCGGTCTCGACCGCATGGTGTAGTATTGTTGTTGCCTTTCGAGGCTCGTCCAAGGCGAAGTCAATGTCGGACGATACGCTTGAGAGTGCTCTCTGAGGAGCCATATATGCGTTTGGATCCCAGCGAGGATCCAAGATAAGCCTTCTGACAACTGCCGTCTCGCCATCTTGGACTGCTTCTCGGACGAGATCCACATACAAGGTGTCTGAGACATCAAGAAGTCGAGACCCGGCGATACTCGAAGGACGAGCTAGGTTGAAGTGGTCTAGGATCTCATAGATGCCTGTAGCCAATAGTGAAATATCATTGTAGATGTCGTATTCGGGGATTGCTCTGTCAAGAATGGCGGGAAGCATTCCCTCCAAGAACGAGCGTGTTGGTGGCTTGAGAGGAGACGGCCAGTAATGCAAAAGAGAATCCTTTCCGTGGAAGAGCTGGATAAATCTCATGTCGAGAGCGATCCCCAACTTGAGAAGGCGAAGGAGGATCTTTGGAGCACGGATTGCCTGGCAAATCAGAAATGCCAACGTTGCCAATGAAAATTGTTCGTCTTGACAGGGTCCAGCTGTTTCCGCGGTACACGCAGCACCTGCATCCAAGAGGACCCGTATTGTCTCTTCCTGGGAGTCGGTAGGTTTACAGTCACATACTAGTTGCGCAGGGTCGGCAGAGCGTCCTAGGAGGGCCGTTTGACCAAGCAATGCACAATAAAGAGGTGAACCCAGAGGGCTCGGCTTGTTGACGTCTACTCCCCATGATATCAGTTGCTCGCAGAGCCGAGGCAGCCCTAATGAAGCAGCAACATGGAAAGGGGTGACCGACTCATCCTCGAGTCTCGACATCAGCAGATGCAGTGGTGCCATCGACAGGGCACCGGAGCCGAGATTGAAAGTTTCCGGCCATACCTGCCTGGCGTATTCCAATAGCCATTGGAAAAAGTGCGACGACTTTCTCGAGTGGAAAAGCACGTGGATTGGTGTTTTGTAGTCCGTGTATCTTTGACGGGCCAGATCCGGCAGAAGCTTTGCTGCTGCACCATATTCGGGGCGCTTCATATCCCTCTCAGCGACATATTGCCTATGCGTAAAGCAATCAACCGGCTTGTTGTCGAACTCGGCGCTTAGAAGAATGGCAATGCATTTGTCGCTATCGATCTCTGTGGGTTTGGGTGCAGAGTCGAGTGCATGATCTAGATGTTGGCTTTGAGCATCTTTGCGGTGACCGTTCGTCGACAAGCGTACGAGCAAGGCAGCCCAGGAGTCGCACCGGACAAGAGAACCTAGCTGCCCTTGGATCTGGTAGATACTTGAGGTAAATGCTGAAAGAGAAGGGGGTCCTTCTTTTGGAGATGCCGAGCTTATCGACCACTCAAGGCTGGGATTATCAAAAAGATCGGTTAAGTCGTCGAAAAGGGTGCGGTCTGGACATGCTGGCGAGGTGCTTGCTTCTGAAAAGTCCTCAAACAACAGCCAAAGGCTGTGGAGAGTACCAAGGAGTATTCTGACAGCTACGCGTGCCTCGTCGTTGACACCGCGGTCACGCAGAAGATGGTACACCAATCGAGCTTTGGATCGAGCCTCCGCAAGAGCTTGTCCGAGGCGATGGCTGAGGGGCATTGTGATGAGTGATATTGAATGGTCTGCGTATCCGACGGATGATCTTCGACGTTCCTTGGTATCCAAGGGGAGGATAGCAGGTCCATGAGGCGGGATGACGATGATGAGAATTGAGTTGTGGTAGCAGTCGTAGGTGGAGAACGTTGAATTTCGGCGACGTTGAGGTGTCACGGCATCCCCAGCTCTGATAGGTGGGTCCCTCACGGGCCAGTGCAGTTACTTCCAGCGCCATTGAAGTCCGTTCTAACGATTTAGTGCCCGCAGGAAAGCCTTTATAGCGGCCTTCCGCTTGGGCCAGCTGGCGAGCTCTTTTCTTTTATTTTTCTTTTATTTTTTTATTGGTAGGTAGTTAGGTACTGTATCCCGGCGGGTTTCCAGCCGAATGGTGCTGACATAATACAGCATGACGATGAGATCATGGGCCTGGAACCCTTTCGCCATGCATCTTCTTACAAAGAATTGATTGAAAGATGAATGTCAGCAACGGGACGTAAATCTCAAGAGTGTTATCTTTTATCTGAGAAGACAAAATGCGGCCGTCATGCCCAGGTAGTAATCAAAGACTTGAGAACACCTAACGAGCTGGACTTCCGGTACACAGAAATGCTGACTAAGGATCAAGAACGATCTTTAGGAGCTCATGTCGAGGGGTAGATTATTAGATGGTAACTCAACGTCTTGACCAAAAGCAACTTCCCGAGAGCTCATGTACGTGTATGCTCCATGCCACCAGAGAATTCACTTTAGAGACACAGTTCAACCAAGGATATTGCTGTCTAGATCTCAATCTTGCCCACGAGTTCTCTTGAGCAGCCGCCTGCGAGATCAAGATGATGAACCCCATCTTACAAGCTTCAATGATGACGGAGAAGTCAAGCTGATGCAGTATGAATTGGTTTGCACTCAGATGAACTGTGAAACAGAATCACCTGAGAGTGTTCCTGGACTTTGGCGTTGTCCTAATCATCACGGCTATCCCCCCCGTCCTCATCACGACTGAGCGATCATGTCATTGACTCAACCTGAAATTTATGCTTGTGGCCGGCAATCGCTGGACAATGGTAGCACTTGCGGCGGCTTCGAGCTAACTCAAATAGGCGATGTTGACTGGTGCGTTTCCTAGTTTAATTGGGATTGACCGAACTTGGAGCCTCAGCATCTGGCCAACATCTGGAGCCCTTGTGAGATCCCGTGGCAAAGATTTCAAGCGGACTACCGAACCTGTTAAACTTTGTTCGCTCATTCCAATACCGAAGAGGTTCTATGACCAGGTTTGTGATTTGATATATGTAAGGGTCACTTTAACTTTCTACTCCCACCAAGCTAAATCTCCTACAATGAGAGGACTCAGAGGAGAGAGGTGACTCAGCGCTTCATCAACTACCTTGCCCAAGTTGTCCACTCTCTAGTGGCAGTCACAGGATTGAATCAGCTATGCTTCCTGAGCCCACAGCTTGTGAGCTAAAAAGGTCTAGCCGAGAGTCTGAGGCTAGCTCAAATATGCTTTCTTTTCTCTACAGGTTGTCGGCCACCACGCTGCTACGCACGAGGGTACCTACTGATTCCTGCATGATTTCCCCACAGTGTCACCGGCTTTCACGCTGATGGATGGCGGTAGACGGCGAGCTGTTTACCGATCATGTTCTTTCAAATACTGAATCTGGGGTAATGGCAGAACTTCAAGCCCGCCACATCAAGCTCGGGCGTGTCACGACTGATCCTGACGCCATCAGAGTCACTCAAATTGACCGTTCGACAGCTGAATAGCAAGTCAACCAGACGAGACGGAGCGTTGCACGGGAGAAATTCAGAGCGGCCGTTGAGGCTTGACGAATGTCTGAGGCGCAAACGACGAGCGTTGGCGGTACGTACCCTTTGGAGCCCGTAGGTACGTACCGTCAGCAGTTCCCGTCCGGCACTGTGCATCCCGGCCCTTCCATCTCTCCATCGGCTTCTCCCATTCTCCCTCTCCTCTGCATCTCTCTGCGAGTCTGCAGCCCGCACATCACACGGCGACAAGTCGACGGTTCCACTCACGCAGCCGAGAAACACAATCAGCCAGTTCGGTCACACAGACCACAGTCTCTTTCGTCTGAACTCGTTCCCGCCATCTCGCAGCCCGCTATCCATGCAAAGACTGTCTGATCATCCTGCCGCCCGGGCGAGACGATGGAATGCCGCCAAACTTTGACCAAGCATAGACCTCTTGATGTCTCTTGAAATTCCGTCCGTCGTCCTCCCGCACGTGTCGTTAGTGACGACTCGTCAAGTCGACGATCGTTCTTCACCTGAAAACGGCTCGATGTTGACCATTTAGAGCCTCCCGCAAGGACGGATACCTGATACACCTAGCCATGAGCTAGACGCACAGTCGGTTTTTAACTGCCCTCAGTTCTTCTCCCGCCCCTCCTCTTCAAGGTCCCCGCCGCTCTATTAGCTGCGATGGTCACCGGGCCACACCAGCAAACACCAGAAGCATTAGGTGGTGTGGCGATGAGATCGCGGATACCGTTGGTCTCCCGTCCAAGGAAGATGCCGCGGTGCACGCCAACCACGGCCCACCTACCGAGCTCGGAGCCAGTACTGAGCTTCAAGGAGCGCCATGTTCTACTCGATCTGCGACATTCATGTCGATGGTTTCCGAAACATTCATTTATACTGAAACGCCAACGCGGAAATCCCTCCTTCTCGCCTTTCTGTACGGATACCTAAATTGCCGCGTTAACGTACGGCCATGGATCTTGTCAACGGAACCCCCAATGACAGCTGCAGGGCCAACGTTCATCGTCGCCATGCTTTTTCTCTCGCGTTGTGCTGACCGCCGCTTTTTGCACAACGCCAATTCTTCGTGCTCGCCTTCAAAAGCCTACTCACGCTACCCTACCGAAAGCAGCATGCGACATCCAACCGCCGCCACCAGCCAAAGCGTCGCAACGGCGTGGTGCCCCTTCATGAACCCCCGACAGGGACAGGCGTCCCAACCAGGCGGTCTAGGAGGGACCCAAAATAGGCCTGTGCCACTCCGTCGTCACGCAATGGCGGGAGATCGTCTACCATGTGGACCATGATTCAGCCAACATTTCCTGGTCAACATTGGTTGTTCCTTACGCCTTCGTCGCTTCCCTCATCCTCGACACCAGACTTCGGATGGCATGGTGGCCCTCCGTTCATTTTAGCTCCAGCAAAGTGATGTTAGGCGAGGTAGAAACGCCGTGTGAAGGAGCTTCTCGACGCCGCTACAATCAACTTGCCAACCAACTTTGACGCACGGCCTCATTGCTTTTTTTACACTCACATGCAGTTTGCTCCTGGGTGACCCCTGATGGTCAAGCCTGGAACACCAGACCAACAACTAGTCCAGTCCTAATCGGCGAGGTCGATAGGCCCATATTGGCAACTCATTCATACAATGGTCGGCGGGCATTGATGACGGTGATCGACGATGCGTACCTGCAAACGCAGGCAAAGTCGCATATCGGGCCTCAACGTTGCTCAACGCCATGGGACCATGGACCAAGGAAAACGCTCGGCAGACGCAGCTCATTATGTGTGTTTGTTCCCAAGCCCCAGGCTCTAGCAAGCCAGGCCTTCCCCCACAAGTTCGTGGCGTCGGCCTAAGACATCCTACTGCCCACGGCGTTTGACAAGCCTGGCACAACACCAAAGAAACTGTCCCAGTGCGAGTCAGGGTCCGTTCGCCGGCGCGTTTGCTATAAGCACCGGACGTCGGCCGTCTTTTCCATCTCCAGAGGAACCCCTCCAACTCTTGGTGGCATGTGTTATCGGTGTCAGTCACTTTGTTTCTTTGCATCAAATAGCATGCACCGTAGTCGTTGCTAATACTCGGGTACCCTTTTCTAAATTTATTACTCTTTTGCTTGTAATCGAGCATTTCTGTCATATTCCTACGTCCGGTCGAGCCTGCCAGAGGCCTTTCACTTATCACGTTCCTTTCTCGTCGCTCATTTTTACCGAACTACCAACATGGCCTCTTCCATGTCTCGAAGGTCACCCGTGACGCCGCCATACGACGATGACTACAACCAAAGTCCAAAGGGTCTGCGGGGGTTGGCAATGAGAAGCAGTCCAACATCGGCCTGCCTGCCTGTTCCTACCATGACGTTCTCTCCGCCCGCGACGCCTCGGAGCTCACGACCGAATAAGATGTCCCTGCGGCTGAGGAGCAATTCTGGCCTGTCCTTACACACAAACGAAGACGCCTTCCGTCGATACACCGACTATAACCCCGATGGGTCTCCGAGATCCCCGACATTTGGGCCTGGTATCTGGTCTAGTCTCGACAGCGTCTCGACAAGTTTGCGCCGAAGCTTTGGACCACCAGTCATGGAGATCGAGCCAGAACCTTTGTCTATACCGGACTTCCTTGGTCGAGAGGTTTTCCAAATGGTTCTTGCCAACGCTTCCATCTCTCAACGTTTCTTCCATTTTGCCCAGAATCAAGGCTGCGGCTCGGACATTGAATTCCTTCTGAGGACCCAGGAATATGCGAAATCTTTGGCGCTTTTTGGGAAGCAAGCCTCGTCAATGCCGACACCAGCAAATCTGCCTTCAACCGTCTCCAAGTCACTGAATGCCGACATGAAGCAGATGACGAACTCTGTTCTTCCGGGTCTTGAGTCGATGTTTGCAGAATCTACACGATGCGTCGAGCAACGAGTTGCCCGGTCTATCTACCCGGCATTCGTGAAGCACCAGCTTGCCATCTCCACCTCGGCAGCTTTATCCGGTACTCGTGTCTTCAAATGTCCTGGTCTTGCCGAATCATTCTGCCTGACGGACGCCTTGAGCCCAGACTACCCCATCATCGCGGCATCAGATGCTTTTGTTTCTGTTACTGGGTATCCAAAGATCGAAGCTCTATCCAGCAACTGCAGGTTTTTACAAGGGTCACTCACAGACCAGGACACAGTGAAACGCATCCGGGATACCGTGGCGCGTGAAGAGGAGTCTTTGGAGCTCGTCCTCAACTACCGCAGAGACGGCACCCCGTATTGGAACCTTCTATTTACCTGCCCGCTTGTGGACTCTTCCGGCAAGCTACGATACTACCTCGGTGGGCAGATCAACGTTTCAGAGAACGTTGGTGGCTACAAAGACCTTCTCCGGATTCTCAACTTTGGGCCGGCCCTAGAGGAGGTCAAGGAAGAGACCTCGGGTCGGGAGTCCCGAGTCAGTCGCCGAATGAGCCGTACGAGCAGCCGAGACAGAAAACAGGAGCGGCGGACAAGTCTCCGCAATAGGGATAGTCTACACAACAAAGGACCCAAGAAAAGCCTCTTCCAACCTTTCCGAAAGCATGCGACACACAACAGTAACAATCAGGAAAACACGTCACCGTCTCAGGGCGTTGGCCTTGGCTTGGAGCAGTTGCTAACGGTTTCGAGCTCAGAAGAGCATCTTTCGGCACCCGCTCAGCTGGACTCTGTTTATTCTGGCTACAGCCGATTGATTGTTTTGCAAAACACCGACGGACCTTCCGCCTTTCCGCCAAGGTCGTCTTCCCTACCTGCCGACCCTAACAAGAGGAAGGCCGCTCAGCTGAGCGTTGCCTTTTGTTCGGCTGCCGCGTTGGAGGCGCTCGGCCTCGGCCTTTTTGCCGACAGCATTACGCACCGAGATATTTTTACCGTCCTTTCCGACCTCGCAGACTCACCGTCGATTACCAAGAGCTTCAAGAACACGGTGCGTGAACGGGTGATTCAAAACGGAAAGACCGCCACGCTAGATATCATGCTGGGTGGCGGCTATCTCGCGCGGAAGGGTAGTCTCATTGGCCTCGGTGGGCGTTCGTCCAAAGACGAGTCGGACGGTAGTACAAAGAAGCATGGACGACCGGTCAGCAGGTCCGGCTTCGCGAGTCTGGTGAGTGAGGCGGGCAAGATGGAGAAGCTCACCAGCCAGTGGACCCCGTTGAAGAATGCTGAAGATAAGGTCGAGTGGATAGTTGTGATCATCACACCGATGAAATGACGAGACACACCCTGACGGTGTGCACTATTGCCTATTACATACAACTCACACTGTAATTATAATGTATATGAGATGAAAAGAAAACATGGCTTGGATGAAAAGGGGAGGGACGACTGGATAGATACCTGGGATCTATGATCCCTCAGTGGATGATAAACCAACATTCGTCAAACATTTTCCTTCTTTTAAAGCCAGGCCACCATTGGAAGTGACTAAGAGAACTCATGGTCTCGAATTGGTGTGCGAGAGAAGCTTTGTGTGACCGAGGTAGGGTCGATCAGTGAGCTTGGCTTCCAACAACGCAGTCGATACTCCAAGTTTGATCTGGGAACCAAATCGATGATAAGATACCGTGTAGACACATGAATGCATCCATAGCAACAATTCGAGTATCTGGCCCAAGCCCCCAGTCATCGAACAGTCACACCCTACATATACTTACTCACCAGCACTGCCTCAGTGCCTCTCTAGAAAAAGGCTCCAGTTTTTTCTCACAACAACAAGCACGCCATCTCGATCATAGGGAAACCCCCTCCCCCCTCTCAAAGTGACATGAACCCTTCATCAATGTTGCAGATTGCGGGGGACGGGAAGGGCAAGTGAAGGGGTTGATCCGTTTAGCACATGGCTTGGGGGAAAGTGAGTAGATCCGGGGAAAAGGGTAGGCAAAACGGGTAGGAGATCTCAGATCTCGGTTACTTGCGGGTGAGTAATGATACGATTAGAAGGAAGAGACCATGAGCAGGCAGTTCTGTCGTCCTAAAAGGGTAAAAAAAGGGGACAAAAGGAGGGTATGGGAAAGGTGGACTTCGGGAGAGCCGTCGTGAGCCGTCGTTGGGCTTTGCGGTTGACGGGATCTACGAGGAACGGACTCCCGCGTTTCTCCAGATCCACGTGTGTGTGCGTTAGTATGTGGCTATGGAATACGGGGAAATGGAACGTTGTCTTGATTAGCTGCTTTTGAGTACCTACTTCTTGAAGACTTCCATGTTGTTTACGTGGTTATGGAAAACAGCAAGCACAGGCCAAATTGTCGGCGGCAATCCTGGTGTGTTAAGGATTCCCTTCACGTGTTTCTAGTTGCCCAGATGCAGTTTATGCAAAGTATTCCAAGCCTTCTCGGATATGAATATTGAACCTGCTAGAGAGGTCATGAATAGGCAACTATGGTTACGCCTCCAGGTCTCCGACGGCAAGACCCAGGAAAAGGGCATGAGGAATGGAGACAGCCTGTTGCGGGCTTCTAGAATGAAGTGGTTGCGGCGAAATGAGCCATTCTATGCAGACCACGCAGACAATGCATACCGGAGCGGAGTCAAAGGGGGAGTATCCGTTTCCATAGACCCAAGAGCCAAAAGCAAGACACCAGGAAACCCGTTGGCGAACAAAATTGCGTAAAAGATTGACTACATGCGCCGGCTCCGGGCATGCGGGCTGCGGCATCGGCTGCGTTGCGTGGATCATGAGGAACTACGCGGGGAAATAGGGCCGAAGATCATTCCAGACTTTTATTGTTCTGAGATTTTGCTAGGGGACCTGTGGGAAATTCTTTTACGTGAAAATGGGCAATGGGCAGATTGGGGGACTTGCGTTGATGTTGAATTCGAATAAACTCCACAAACCAACTGGGACGTCAACATTAGTAAAACCCGTGCCAAGTGGATATAATCACGTAAATATTAGCCAATGTGTGGAACTTTTTGATGATTTGAGATGGCACGGATGGGTAATGCGCGCTTGAAGATTTTTTTGCACGAGGCGCGTTCCGGGCAGATTTTCCTGTTCTTTGTCTTTCTGACTCTGCATCTTTTGGCTTTGGGGGTGGTCGATCAGCCCATTGACTTTTTTTTTTCTTCTTCTTCTTCAGCTTGGGGGTACTTGGGTCTTGGGGGGGGAGAAAGCTTAGTATCGAATGATCGATTTCTAGCTGCCGCAGCGGGACTCATGTCCCCCTCACGAACTTCTTGTTAGAGCAAGATGCAGACATTGGTGTACATATGAGGCATCAGCTTGAACATCACCAAAGAGTCGGAAATCAACGGCGAAGAGTCAATGGCAGCGGAAGGGCTTCCGTGGGTTGGTTGTGGTGGATGAGGCTCCAGGGCCGAGCAGGGGGCGTGGTCCAACGTCCAGGCACAAGTCCCCCAAATCGCCACAATCCCGAGTGGGCCGGAGGTGCGGGTCCCGAGTCATTCTGCTGGGAAAGGTGCCGTTGCAAGTTCGCAACTTCTCACACCCCCGTGGGCCGTCTGGCGGCTCTGGCCCTGCGCGGTTCGCCATTGCGGACGCGCCGAGATCGCCTCGGCAGATGTCTCGTATGACCAATTCGCCCTGCGCGGGTTCCAGTGAGGTTGACGAGGCCGATCGCGGCGTGGCCAGGGTGGATTATATCAAGAAATCTGGTCCCCCCGGATGAAAAGACTCTTTCTTGAATGAGAGAGATTTTCTACCGTGTTCACTCTCATTTCTCTCACCTGACGTCCGTCGTGGTTCAATTTTCCTCTGAACCAACTTATCAACTTCATCCTGCTTCTCTTCAAGATCTGTGACTAGATCGCGCAGGACGACGGACGGACTTACTGACAGCTTCAACGCGTCAGACAAAGCAAGGAGTGAGCGACAGAATACACGTTGTGTGTACCTAGAGGCAATATGGGCAACGCCGCAGACGTGACGAATAGCCCCGAGATGGCGGAGGCTCAGAACCAGGCCAAGAAGGATGTCGGCGACCGTGAGGAGGCCGCGCCGGCCTACGTATCCGCGACCGCAGAGGAGCACAACAGCGTTCTGACAGGAGAGGACGGTGAACTGATCGACTACAAGACTCTCACCTGGTGGTACGTCTCGCCTCCACCTCTAACAACACCATTGCTATCGGTTCGCTAACTCGCAACCTTTCAGGCAAGGCGGCATCGTCCTGATCGCCGAGACCGTATCCCTGGGTATCCTCTCATTGCCTTCCGTGCTGGCGACCGTCGGTCTCGTCCCTGGCATCATCCTGATCCTCGTCATGAGCGGTCTGTCGACATACTCAGGCCTCGTCCTTGCCGAGTTTCGCAACGAGTACCCCTTTGTGCAGAACTTTGGCGACGCCGTTGAGGTCATCGGCAAGTCCATCGGCATGGGCGCCGTCTTTCAGGAGGTCTTTGGCTGGGCGCAGGTCATTTTCCAAGTCTTTGTCATGGGTAGCCACTTGTTGACCTGGACCATCTGCCTCAACACCCTGTCCAACTCATCCACTTGCACCATTGTGTGGGCCGTTGTCGGTTTGGCTGTCTTTGCTGTGCTCAACTTCCCGAGAACGCTCAAGTACACCAGTTACATGTCCATGGCTTGTGAGTGTTGCCCACGTCGGAAAACATTGGCCGAGTTTTGACTGACCACAAATTCGCAGCATGCTTGTCCATCACCCTGGCCGTCCTCATGACCCTCGGTGACGTCGCCGTCTCCCGCCCCATCGGTTCCGGCAGCATCGAAGTCGCTCGCCAGCTCGGCTTCACCGGCGCCTTCCTGGCCGTGACCAACATCGCCATCGCCTTCTCGAGTCATTCCTGCTTCTTCAGCGTCATTGGCGAGTTCAAGAAGCCCGAAGACTGGCCCAAGGCCCTGGCCCTCCTCCAGATCGCCGACACGACGCTCTACCTCCTCGCCGCCATCGTTATTTACGTCTTTGTCGGCCCTGACGTTCCCTCCCCCGCCCTCTCCGCCGCCGGCTCAAAGACGATGCGCAAGGCCATCTGGGGCATCGCCATCCCGACCATTGTCATCGCCGGCGTCATCTACGGCCACGTTGCCGCAAAGTACATCTTTTCGCGCCTGTTCCGCAACACGAAGCACATGATTCGCCGCACGAAGCTCTCGGGTATCGCGTGGATCGGTATCGTCGTCGCCATCTGGGCGCTTTCCATGGTTATTGCCGAGTCCATCCCCGTCTTCAACTCGCTGCTCGGCCTCATCTGCGCGCTCTTCGCCTCGTGGTTCTCGTATGGTCTTCCCGGCATCTTCTGGCTGTGGATGCACTACGGCAACTGGTTCAAGGACGGAAAGCAGACATGCAAGTTTGTTGCCAACGTTGTCCTGTTCCTCACGGGCTTCCTCATCTGTGTGCTTGGTCTGTGGGCTTCCATTGAGTCGATTGCCAATGAGAAGGGTACCAAGCCGTGGACATGCGCTTCCAACGCCGCGCGATGAGAAGGAGCCATTGGTTTTAGTTATCGCAACGTCTAATGAGTATAATATGTTAAAGTATGACCTGGCGACCCGTGATCATCTAGTGCTCAACCGTGACAACGCTGTTACGGCCACAGCAGCAATATAACAGCCTCGCAATGGGCAAAATGGAGAGGTGTGGTTTGCGTTGAAAATGAGACCGAAGCGTTGGCCCCTCGTAGGTGAGTATGGAGCCATTTCCAACGTTGATCAATGCCACTTGTCGTCACGGTTCCAGACTACCTGACTCGTACCTGTGATGTTGCCGCCGTCGTTGAGGATAGCCAAAACGGAGGATTCTCGGAGTGAAAACCACGTGAGTCGAAGCCCCACTCGGTGCCGAATGAGCCCGAACACCGACGTCCATTCCAAACAGCGTCTCCACCTCTCTTATCTGCTTACCTCATCACGCTCATCTCAATGATGAAGTTGGCCACTATCTCAGTTGACTCACTCATGATAAAACTGAGCTTCACTTGAGCTAACTCGTAAAAATCGCGAAATCATCAGAAAATGGCAGTGACGGAATCAACTCGAGCCCAAGTGGTCGGGGCATTGGCTTGTCAACAGAACTCGTATCTTCGCACGCTAGAAGCAGAGGTCATCTCATGTGCGAAGAGACCTCCACCAACAGCAAAGAAGAACGGCAAGAAAAACACTGCGGAACCAGCCGCCGATAGTTGCGACGCCGACGTGTGGTTGATCGAATTTGCCGACTCCGTTCTCTTTCCCGAAGGTACCGCACGGCATATATGAGTGAAATTGGCCTTTGAGCTAACACGACTGGACTTTCCTTTCCAGGCGGCGGACAACCGTCTGATCATGGATCAATCACGCCTCTCTCAAGCCCAGATGCAACCGCCATCCCAATACAGTATGTCGAACGTGTTGGGCTACGATGCGTCTACCACTCCCCCCAACCTCTGAGTCCTGGTGAAAAGGTACGCCAGGAAGTCGATTTCCAGCGCCGATGGGATCATATGCAGCAGCATACGGGCCAACATCTCTTGTCCGCCGTCATGAACACCCATGACTCCCTCAGCACTCTCGGCTGGGGTATGGGAAAGACTGGGGCAATGAACTACGTCGATATCCCGCGGAAACCTTCGGATGCGGAACTCCAGGCCATCCAGGCCCGATGTAACGAGATCATTCGCGCCAGCTTCCCAATCACAGTCGAAACTCCGGACGATGCCAAGGTCCATAAGATGCCGGAGGACTATGATCAGAGTAAAGGAGTTGTCCGTGTAATTCGGATCGGTGACATTGACCGCAACACGTATGCAAGCTTCCATCCCATCATGCTTTTCATAAAAAGTCTTGACTGCTGACACTTAGACTGGAGATGTTGCGGCACTCACCTTTCCCAAACATCCCACATCTCACTCATCCTCGTCCACCACGGTGAGCCAGTCCACGGGAAGAACTACCGCCTGTACTTCTCCGTCGGGGATCGAGCCATCAACCTCGCCACAGCCTCTCTCGGTGCAATGAGCTCCCTCTCAAAGCTGCTGTCGTGCAAAAACACGTCCTATGAAGTAGTTCAGACCGTGAAGACTGTGCAGAGCTCCGCGACGGATCTCAAGAAGAGGGAGAAGAAACTGCTTGCCGATATTGCCGAATTTGAAGCAGACGCCGCCAAGACCAAGCTGCAGTCTACCAAGAGTGTCTGGGTTCACCGAGCGGATGGCAACGCAGACTTTGTGAAGTGGGTTACCGTCGGCGTCAAGGACGCTGTGATGGCTTGCGGTGGGGTAATTGTCTTGGCTACTGGCGATGATGGTAACAGCGGACAAATCTCTGTTCTTGGTGGGAAGGCTGCTGTTGAGGCGCTGGTACCAAAAATCAAGGACGCTGTAACCGGGGTAAAGGGCGGCGGTGGTGGGGAGAAGTGGCAGGGAAAGGTCACAACATGGGAAAAGGGGAGCTTGAAAGCCCTGAAGGAGTTAGTGGAGGCACTTTAAATATAAAGACATCTTCGATTTGGTCCATAAGAGATCTGGCCCTTGATCTGTCATGGTCCTCTCACCATCCCGATCCTCGAACCCAAATATCCACGATCTCGGTCTTGTTTGACTTGCTTGAGTCAACTACGAGATACCACCCATACAGGGCACCGGTAACGCACGCATGATTCGGGTAGATCCTAACAGACTGACCAACCTCGAGCGGGATCGGTGGCAGATCGGAGCCTTCTCCGGGACCAACCTCCCACGAGAGAATCGAGTGCTCCTGGCTAATCCGATCCACAATCAGCCTCCGTTCTCCCGCAATCTCCAACCCCGGCTGACACCCGACAACACCCCAGCCTGGGTAAGAAGGGCAAGGCTCCCTTCCGAGACCCAGCACGCCAACAGCAACGAGCGCCTCTGGTTTCTCCCGCTCGCCATCATTGTAGACGCTGCACACCTCTGCTACAACAAAAACGGCAACCTCGTCTTTGTAGCTCCCTAAGGCCTTCCGCGAGCGAGTAGACATCTGCTGCATGTCGAGGAAAGCGTATACGCCAGCGTGGAGTTCTAACGTAGACTTCACCGTCGGCGAACCATCTCTAACCTTGCTGATGGCTGCCCGGAGACGCGATTCACCGGATCCGTTTGCCGCAGTAGCACCCATAAGGTTTTCAATAGCAGTGACTTGAGGAGACGCCCCGACGCTTATGGTGATTTCTCTCGAGGCGTTGGCCGCGAGTAGACTCTCGTTGGCGTGGAGGGCTTCCAGGCAGCCTTCGATTTCCTCGGCGAGGTTGTGCATCGCCTGGTCGGCGGTGTCATCCTTATAGCTGAGACTGCTGTGTGAGTACAATCCCACCAAGACTGCTTTGCCTTCCGCGTCTAGCTGTATGAGTTGTCCCAGTAGGCCGCCCTTGTTCAGAGCCGTGGCTGGAAGACCTGCTCTGTGATAGCCTGTGTCTACTTTCAGATAGACTCCTACCGAGAGACCACTCAGATCATATAGGCGGCGGATTGAGTCTAGTTGGGAAGGGTGATCGATAATGACTGTGAGTCCATCTTCGCCGAGTTCCTTGCTCAATAAAGCGAGACGCTCAATCTGAGAACCGAGGAGCGGAACACCGTAGAGGACGTTGACGGGGCGACCGGCTTGGGTGTATTCTTTGAAGGTTGGCAAGAGGTGGTCGATCTCTGCTACAGTTGACACAATGCAGTTGATCTTCTTGGTATCCTCGCCTGCCTGAAGCTTTGTGACTTCCTTGGTCTGGGGTAATGGTCAATTTCTGTGTATCTCGTCCACAAAGCTCATCTTACATGTACACATCACTTGACTAAGGTATTGAACCACATACCTTGTGGGTCTTGACGTGAAAGCGAAATCCAACCCCCAAGTCATCGACAGCTTTCAACATTGACTGGCAGTGCCTCCGGACCTTAGCCACGTCCAAGACCACCGCCGGCTTGGGAATGTCTGTCACATCCTTGCCGACGTAAAACTCTCTCAGAGTTTCACTGGACGGAGCGATTCGCTGCGGGACAGCCATTTCATGGACCGATACTTGAGAACGTCCTAAAACTTGTGACAACGTGATCTGTTGAATACGCGCATTTGTTGTAAGTGCGCTTTGGGGGGTGGTTTGTTGATGTTTAAATAAGATTATGATGTCAGATTCGGGCCGCGCTTAAACGATTAAGCGATGGAGGAGAAGCTGGCGCACCCTCGTGTTCGGAGGTCAATTTTCGCAAGCTCGATTGGCGTTCAGTGGAAAATGACTCATTGAGTCACATTTGTCCGAGCATATTCCTCTTGCACACTTTTGACGGAATTTCGTTTTACGTCGGGTTGAATCGAACTCGACAACTTTTCAACCCTATCTAGAGAGGTCATTCCATCGTTCGAAGCTTACCTCAAGTGTTCCATTGCTACCTTGACCGTCTTATCAATGCCTTATTTATAGCAGTTCCTCCACGATTTGCCGCACTGGATATCAGACCCTAGCTAATTGAAAAATTACACCTGGCTTTTCTTGGATGTAAGTCTAGAACGGAGCATACGGCCGAATTAAACTCCTCTATTCAACTCGGCCCAAAGGCGTGTTTGAGACGACAAGAAGCGGACAACCGGCGAACGAGGTTTGCATTCCCAGACGTTGTATGGTTACCTTATTAGAGATAGCTACAAAGTAGCTGTGCTCCAAGAAACTCATGCGTTGAAGAGGTAGTCAGTCTCACAGGGGGCACTTCGATAGCAAATAGCTGCGAGCGGGAGGATTCTTGCACGAGCCTGTGCTGTCATCAGTGCAGGGACACTCCGCTCAAACTTTAGTGGGACTCCCGTAAATCTGGTTCAAGTGGAAAATCATCAAACAATAATAATGAACCAGGGCTGATGGGTTCAGCCAATCCAGATCGAGCAATATGACGCTTGCAGGTGCTTCCAGTAAGCTGATGCCTAGCACAGCCCTACTGGAACTGACTGACAAAAGTCACTTCTTTAAAGACAAGACGAGTTTAGGAGCCGACATATACCGGGACCGTCTTCCTTATCCCTAGAGGATTCTTTCTGGTCGCAAAATCAGACATAGCAGTCAGGTGGTGTCTAGTTCTAACCACGGCTACGCTAAGATAAAATGGCAACTTATCCCTACCGGCCTCTAAACCTCCCTAACGAAACCCGCATCCTCACCGTTCAACCCGGTAACTTTGACGACAAGGTTATATGCGGCATCTCGCACCTCAACCTCCTCTCACCGGACGCGCCGTACGAGGCATTGAGCTATTGCTGGAGCAAAAGTATTGATGCCGTTAAAGAGATCGACCCAGAGTCTGATATCCCCTGGGCCGTCTACGGCACAGACGACGATGGCAACATAGTTTCCGAGTCTGGCACGTCCAAATGGAAAGACCTGTGCGACCACCCCTACCACGGCGAGCAGTACATCCGAGGAGGTGGCCGCATGCCCGATGCCCCCATCACATGTGACGGCGTGGAGATCATCGTCGGCGGTGAACTCTTCCGCGCGCTTCGAAGAATGCGAAGCGAAGAGAGAGGAGAGCCGCTTCGGATTTGGGTTGACGCGCTGTGTATCAATCAGCAGGATATCAAGGAGCGGAACGAGCATGTTCAACTCATGGGACGGGTGTATGCTGGTGCGGTAAGGACGCGGGTATGGCTGGGCGAGTCAACGGAGATGGACTTCCACGCTATCCGCACGCTGTATGCTATTTCGGAAGTGTTTGACGACATCTTTGTTAATCGTAAGGTTGTTGATATGGCGAGCGTGGCGATGCAAGAGGTCCAGTGGCATTTCCACAACAATGCAGATACACGTCGGCTTGACTGGGGGCTCTTGGCTGATTTGCTGAATCGGTCATGGGTAAGTATCAGCGTGCGATGAAGACGATATTTCTGCTCTTGCTAAAGGCCTTTTAGTTCAAACGTACCTGGATCATCCAGGAGGTCGTCAACTCTCGCGAGGTCATGGTTCATCTTGGACCGATACAAATTCCCTGGCACTTTATGGCGGTCGTCATGCTCGCTCTATCAGACTTCAAACTACAGACACTGATTAGCGAATGCAAGGGCTTCAAAGCCATTGGGTTCATGGAGCAACTCCGCAAAGAACGTGTGGATGAAGCGGCGATGTTCACTAACACCCCGCTTCTTACCTTGCTAGAAGAGCTGAGAGACTTTCAAGCGACGATCCCTAGCGACAAGATTTACGGGGTGCTTGGCCTCATCAATCAGAAGGGAGACTTTATTGTCGACTATTCTCAGACTTCCGAAAAGGTATTCACTGACTTTGCGGTCAAGAACATAAAGACCGGATCACTGGATATTTTGACTCATTGTGTTGAGTCGTCGAAGCCAACGACCCTGGAACTTCCGTCTTGGGTGCCTGACTGGACTTGTCCCGGTTGGACTGAGCCGCTCCGCATCCGTGGGCTGAAGGCCTCGGCTACGGGTGATAGCAAGCCGATCATGCATATCGATGAGGATACAGGGGTCTTGCATATCAAGGGCAGGATTGTCGATGTGGTGGCTCAGGTGGAATGCAAGAGACAGATTCCTGGGCCGAATCAGCAAGGCCCGATGGGAGGCGGCAGCACCGATGAAGTTGAAAAAGGCGTCGCAGAAAATCTAGGCAAACCTAGCGACTCAAAGGTCGTAAAGATGGCAAAGTACGGCGGCCCAATCTTCAAATACGAGAAGGAAAACGATCAGGATAGAGCGGATGGTAGCAGGGCTGAGGACGACGTCGAGAGACCCAAGAGCCCCATTAACGACGCCGAGTACAGACTCAACGTGACAGTAGAAAAGATGGGAAAACACGCAGAACAATGGTACCGCAGCGTGACCGCCGTTGCCTTTCCAGACAAGACGGCTACCCCCAAGACATGGGAAAACCTTTGGCGGACCTTCATGTGCAACCAAACGCGGGATCACAAGCGACCTGACGAGGATTGCGCGATTGGCTTGGATATACACTACAGTATCGCCTTGGAACCGGGTAAGGGACTTGCTCGCATTCTCCAGGAGCGGACGGATCACGAGATCCAGTTTCACGGGTTGGCGCCGCAGGATGGCGTTGCGCACTATATGAAGGAGAAGGAGATTGCAGAGAAATTTATTGGTGCGCATTCGAAGTGGACTTATGATCGAAGGTTCTTTCGCTCGGAGGAGGGCAGGTTCGGGTGGGCTGTGGATGGGGTAAGAAAGGGTGACTTGGTTGTTGTGCTGTATGGGTGTGACTATCCCATCATTGTCCGTGCCGATGAGCAGAAGAAGTCACGGATAATCGGGGACTGTTATATCCATAACCTGATGGACGGGGAGGCCATGGAGGAAAGTGCTGCATTTGCGGAAACCGAGTTTAATATTGTGTAGAGCTGAGAGCCATGAAGAGCCAGTTGTTGCTATGGTGCATTAGGTACCTGCTTCAACCTTTTGAACCATGCTCAGAAATCCAGAACATTCTTTCAACTCCAAGACCATGACCTAGGAGGATAAAACAACCTGTTTCGCCTTGGCCTTAATATCGCGAGAGCTGAGGCCGACGCGCAACTCAATTGATCCAGTGGGAATTACCCACGTCTGTGACGCCACATCCCAATAGCTCAAATCACGACGCAATAACTCGAATTCGACCGTCTTGGACTCCTTTGACTTCAGAATGACTTTCTCAAAACCACGCAAAGCTTGAATTGGAGTGCCCTTGGGAACAGAGTCCTGCGGCAAGGCTACATATAGCTGGGGAACAGTAGCGCCGGGTACGGCGCCGGTGTTTGTCACACGAGCAGTGACGCGCAGGACAGGCTCCCAGAGCTCTGGGTTGCCTCCGGGGGAGTTCGGGGTTGTGGGGTCCGGCGTGGCGGCAACGCTCTTTGCTAGCTGTTTGATCTTCAGGGATGCATCCAGGTTGAATGTGGTATAGCTGAGACCATAGCCGAACTCATATCTGGGGTTGATGTCCTCAGCATCCAGTTGACGGTAGTCGATGAGAAGACCTTCTGTGAAATCAGCTTGCCATGCTGTAGGGGACGTGATTTCTGCCTCGGTGAGGTTGACAATGGGGATATCGGTGTCTTTGGCATCGAAAGCAATAGAGTAAGGCAACTTTCCAGAGGGATTGACGTCTCCCCAAAGCACATCAACAATTGAGTTTCCAGACTCCTGCCCTGGCAAGTGCGCAGCCAAGATCGCAGTGACGTTTGGATTGTCTGCCCAGGGCAAGGTATTGATACCGGCCGAGTGTGTAACAACAACAGTATTAGGGCACCTTCGTGCGACGTTCTCGACAGCCAGCGTCGAGTTCCAGTCGGCTTCGTGGCTCGTCCTATCATAAGCCTCCGACGCGAACGTGTTGAGAAAGACGAGACAGACTTCGGGGGTAGGATACAGGCTGCTAAAGTCACCAGCAGCCAGGACCTTGTTGTCAAGTATGTACTGCACGCGGGAGCCTGTCGTACGCGCTTTGGCTTTGATTGCTTCGAGAGGGGAGATGAGGTAGGTGTGACGTCCCGTGCCCGAGCCGCCGCCGACGGAAAGCGTGCCAATTTCGAACCCGGCTCCGAAGACGAGGCCGTCTGCTGGGTCGGCAGCGTCGTTACCGAAGACGCCGATATTAGTTGGCTTCTTGAGAGGGAGGGTTCCATTGAGGTTCTTCAGGAGGACTGTTGCTTCCGCACCTAGCTTGCGGATAAGCTTGCCGTGATCTCGTTGGACATCGCGGCTTGGTGGTGGCTCGAAGGGAAGCAGGTCTAGAAGATTTGACTGAGCTGCGATTGTGAAGACGATGGATGGATCGACAGTGGGATAGTCGGAACTGTCTTGGTCGAACAGATAATATTGTGTCATAATCAGCCGGATCATTTCATCAAGACGGTCTTCTGTGACTGAACCATTCTTGATCATATCGGTAATGTTGGGTCCCCAGTATGTCTCGCCCGAGACAATTTGGGCATGGCCGATGGGCCCAGGCATATTCATATCCAACCCGTTGTTGATAGACTCGGCCCCCGAATGCGTCGCGAACCAGTCGGACATGACGTATCCCTCGAAAGCCAGCTCCGTCTTAAGGATGTCATTCAGCAAGCCCGAATTCTCGCACGCATAGGTTTGATTGAGCCTGTTGTAGCTGCACATTACGCTGGCAACCCCGGCACGGACGGAGTCTGCAAAAGGCCACAGGTACAACTCATGCAAAGTACGATCGTCTATGTTGGACGAAATCGCTGCAATTTCTGTGCCATTTGCGAGCCACGAGTTGGTTCGCTGAGTTTCTTGTTCGTTTCCGATGAAGTGCTTCGCGCACGCTTGTACGCCTGCTGATTGCATTCCTTGAATGGTAAGTTGCATCGCGATGCCTGTGAGGTAGGGGTCAACTGAGAACCCTTCCCAGTTGCGGCCTCCCAGGGGCTGGCGTCCAAGTGGACCGGCGACCGGGCTGCGCAGCTGATTAGTATGAATGTTGAGCTAATGTTGAAGGAATGCAAAACTCACCCAAGTCCAACATGGACGCCTTTATCGTGGAACTCCTCGCCAAGCGCCTTTCCGCGCTGGTAGATGAGCTCCTTATCCCAGCTCGCGGCTGTGGTGAGACCGGCGGGGAAGACGCTGACGAGATCGGCGCGGTCCAGCGCCGTAGGGCCGTCGAGCAAGCAGAGTCCGGGGAATCCAACGCGCTCGATCGGCACAATGTTGCCGATGCAACCGCCGGCCTCAAGCCCGAGCTGGCCAGTGACCATCAGAGTCTTTTCGGTGAGGTTGAGCTGGGCCACAAAGGCCGTCGCCTTGGAGGCGGCCGCATCCCAGTTCCGGACTGGGGAGGCTGGTGAGACCCGAGAGGGCGGAGAAGCAGCTGCTGGCGCCGCTGGCTGTGCTGGTCGACGGGCTAGCCAACTGCCGGCGTCGAATAGCTTGCTGGCAGAGTAGGCCGAGATTAGGATGAGGCCCGTGAGGTACAACGCGAATGCGCCTGTAATCCATGGTCTCGAACATCTTTGCAGCCGGGGAAAGAAGGTGGCAAGTCTGGTTGGTTGTTTGGGAGTAGGGTGGTGGTGCTGTTGGCTGGCGTAGTCTGCTTCCTTGGATTCCTTGGTAGCGTGAAGAAATTGAGTCTGATCGGGCATGATTTCGTCGGTCGAGAAGCTGCAGGGCTGGCCATTCAAATGGAGAGAGATCTTCTCATCTTCTGCAGCTCGGGGATGCGAAGCATTGATGCACGTTGGCTCCCGGGCCCCCGAGTCCATGATGGCGGGATCAGTCCTGCCCATTGTCGTTCGTCACTTCAGCAAGAAGAAGTGCACAGCCTTGTCGATGTTGAGCGATGCTTTAACACATGGCAGGGCGAGAGCACATCCGGGCGTGGGTTGGTTGATGTGACCGGGTCCAGGTTTCAAGAATCCGGGGTAGAAGCAGAGATGGCCGGCACAAACGTTCTATGCCTTTGAGCTCGACTCTCCGTGGCCGTTCGTAGGAGTTGGGGGCATGTATTGAACAAGGCGTGTTCGAGGGTAGAGGTCGTGATGGAAGGTTTCCGGATGGAATGGATGTTTTAGGAAACGGAGAGTAGAAAAGGGCTCCCGATGGGAGAATTAAGGCAGAGACAGACGCCTCTCCCTCGGCCGGCGGTCAGGGTCATTGCGTGACACTCAGCTTTGCCTACCTTGGGCTGCCACTGGGTGACACGAGTGAGAAGCTTTCCCCCTTGATAGGAGCGGGGGACTTGTGCCTGGTTCCTGGTGCGACTCGAGCCCTGCAAGGTCTGGGGGAGGGCCACATGGCGCGCCCTCCGGGACTGGGAACCGTCGCGGAGTGTCGGGTCCGGATCCGAAGGGAGAACCTGGCACCATGGGGCTTTTGCGACGTCATGATTGTCTGGTGGTCTGGCTTCACGCGTATGAGTTGCTATGCTCTTTGCTACTTCATGCTGGGCTTTACAGATTACAGACTATGTACCTTGATCTCTTTACTTAACTCTTTTGTTGGATTAAGGCTTCTGCTTACTGCTTACGGAAGGTAATGCCGAAAAGCAGCGTGTTAACACAGGCTATCCATCGACTAGGTTTACGATGATTGTTCACTCGGATGTTATTCGCCCGATGATAAGTGACCAGTCAATCAACCCCCAGCACTCACAGAAAGCCGCCGTTGACGAATTTCAAAAGACGAAATCGTCATACGTCTTGAGATCAGCAGGCTGCTCTTTTCTACCTTAACACTGCTTATCCAGGTAACAACTCGATACGAACGCTATTAAACCCGAGATGTTCCCGGACTGTCTTGGCAGTCTGCGCAAAATACCGAACACCAACACCCCCCCACCCCGCGTTATCAAGACGATTCTTGAGATGACTCACTCACGACTCCACCACTGAGCTCCATAACAAAAAAACTCTGCATCTTCATCATCAAATTCACATGGTCGGTTAGCTCAGTTGGTTAGAGCGTGGTACTAATATTTCACCTGGAATGTTGAGTGATGCCAAGGCCGGGAGTTCAAGCCTCCCACTGATCATAGCCTTTTGCCACTTCACGTAATAATGCCATAGATCCTCTCTTTTTGCTCGCGAGCCATCGAAGTGGTCAAGCGGATAGAGCCAAAAATGGCACCGTCTCACTTTGATGGCATACGAATTGTCAAAAAACGTTGACAGACCTCTCCAATGTGTGGGTTGCTCACGATTTCAGAAGACAGTCTATCTGATCTGGGCCGTAGGGAATTTGACGCGTTACGACGACTCAATCGCCGAAACAAAAGTATGAAGTCCATGCGAGATGCAAGATCGTCGTCTGATGGTCGTCAACTCTTTGCAAGTCTTTTTCCACGTTGCAAGTCTAAAGCCGTTAGATCTTCTAGATCGCGAAAGAACACTGTGGACCTACATCAAGTTCGATACCAGTACGTGTGATGTCTGATCGAAGTCATTCTCACAGAGCGTCTTCTTAGTTTCAACCGTCTGAAGCCATAATCTAGACATGCCCCGAGCCAATATCGTATTCTTATTGTGAAAGCAATGATCTTTTCGCTTCACGGTCCTTCCGAAGTGACCTCGCCACGGGATAATAGCTAGCCCCAAACACCCTCGCAAGCTCGCAGGCGATGAGTTAAGATGAACTTGACAACTAGTGAAGTTTCGACAAATAGACCGCCTCACGCTCAAGACGGCCAGATATTGTACCCCTGAAGAACCTGTCGAACCAGTGAGAGATCAAGGCTCAACGGTCGTGCATGCCGAACGCCTCAGCGTCATTGGGCCGCACTGACGTGTGAAATGGACTTTTTCGCGATCGCTTGGTCGATGCAGCTGTGGTGTTTGTGCTATGCCGCCAAGAGACGAACGTGTTTCTCCAGTTGGTCGGCGAGGGCAGACAAGACAGACTGGCAGTCGGCAGCACGCCGTTTGTTTATTTTCAGCTCGGGGACGTATGTCTGCGTCAGTTTTGTTTCACCAGAATGACAAACGGATGTCTCTTGTTCATGACGGGTAAGCCGTTGCCATCGAGTGGTTCGAGCCTGAGCACTGTCCAAGCGTTCACTAACTGCACGAAAGCCAACGATCAGGACCCCAAAAGAGGTATGGCAGGTTACTGGTATCTTCGGGGACCACACCGGCGGCAGCTGTGAGAGAGTTGATGTGGATGATGACCTGGTCGTCCCATGAAGACAGCTGGGGCCTTGGCCCGAATTCCCACCAACACGCCTGGGCATAATGGTTCATGCTGACGGGTTTCGCGAATAAAGGCGGGCAACCCCCTCGCGACCCGTTCGTCTCGCAAAGATCATCATGGGGTCTGCTCTGGCTGTTGCACGAACTTGCACGAACTTGCACGAACGGCATGATGGCCGTTGCTTAGAGGAAAGAGACGATATGTCCTGGATTTAAGCACTCAGTCGTAAACTTCCCTTTGCCCCCGTGCAACTTTTCGGTCACCGAAGAACTTACTATCATGCTGACTTGTGATCGCATCGCAGCTAAATGCGGATGTGGTAGGCGTTTGAGTACGACAACTACCGGTATGTTGACGACGCAACGGAAACTAATACTCAGCCTAGAGCCAATTTCTATGCAAAATTTTATCGTTGGCTGATGTGATAGCCAGCTCTAGACTATCACATCCTCTGTATCTCGATGTACGATCTGAGTTGGAAATACTTTCTTCTTCTCCACTATATTATTTTTTTTTCGATTCCAGAGGATATTTGAGGCCGTCGTTCCACATTTGAAAGCCAAAATCGGCAACTACAGTTATGTTCAAGTCGATGGCTTCCTTCACAAGCGCTTCTTTGAATGATCGTGCCGATTAGCAACAAGTGGCTTCAGTCTCCCTTGCTGAACTGTCAACTGGCCGCAACATATGGAATTGTTGCACAGAACTTCAAGTCGTGGGGTTTGAAGAACTGGGACCCGGGGGATGATCAGGATAATTGGGCAGATATGAAATCTGAACATGTCAACATCCGAATTCCAAATGCGATCTGAGGCTGTTTTGCCTAATTCACTTCTGAAGATTTGTAAGAAAAAGAAAAAAAAAAGAACTGATGACGAACGTTGCTTGTTAGATCAGGAGTTGATTACAGTTACCAGTTTTTAATCACGATGTTGGTAGGTTCACCCTCATCACTCAATCAGCCATCGCTATCATTGGTTACTGCGTACATATGACTTTCCACCTCAAGCGCTTTGAAAGCTTTTCCCCTTTCCTGACTGCTGAAATCCGAGGGAATTTCTTACGGTACATCTAGTCACCATTGAGTGCACGCATGTGATTTCTGGGGAATTGGCCAGGGCATTGGCGGACGTTGGCTCGCCGTGCACTCAATGTCTTCCAGGTTCGAGTTTGTACACCAACCAGATGCAAGAGGCATGATGTCCTATTATGTGACTGACGGGGGACATCCTGTCACCAGGACAATGTCAAGGTACTGACTTGCATCTACAAATGTGTTGTCTCATTTCTCCACCCAAACCGTCATGAACGTTTTCGTCCCGAAGTGGTCCACCCATGCAGGAATGAGGCTAGAAGCAACCTATCATGAATAACACTCGAGCTCATTGAGGTAAGTGTCGACCAAATCCGTCAGCAACATGCAAGAAGGAGAGGAATGAAACAATTCCAATTATCACATGCAGAAGCGACACAGGGGAAACACGAGGGATTATGGCCTGAACACCGCGATGGTCTGAGGTATTTGAACCGGTTCAGTGACGTCACGATGATCAGCGCATGTGTGGAAATGTCTTAGCTCACGAAGCTCAAGATAGCATGATATATGCCACCATAAACCAGTCGCTTTCTAAGCTGCAAGTTCTGGCTGGCTCACATTTCTCCCTTTACACCACCCATCCAAGCGTTGTGACCATGGCCACCCTCGAGGATCATAACTATACGAAGATGGAGAAGCCACAGAAGCCACAGAAACCGGCTCAGAAACCGGCTGAAAAGCTGGGAGAACCTGTCGTTTGGTCGATTCCGGAGGTTCCGGTCACGCAACAGCGCAAGCCCTTCTTGCAACCTCAGAAAGATCAGAAGCTGGCACATACTGGTATGATCACAATCACATCTCGCCAGAGCAGGCCACTCATGAATGGCAGGTACTCCTCGGGCGAATATCGCTGCTACCTATGAGAAGCCCAACGGGACGACGGAACATGGCTGGGCGCGGAGACACCGTCATCAAACGGTTTTGCAACAGCACTGCGAGTTCTTCGATAGCGTAAGCTCTCTATCTTCTGGTTCCGGACATTAAGTGAAACTAATCGAGAATTTCAGGACAAAGATGGTGTTATCTATCCCACTGACACGTTTTGGGGGTTTTACGCTTTGGGATTCGGAATTATTCTCTCAGTTCTGTCCGTCTTCATCATCCACGGCAACTTTTCCTATCCGACTGTGAGCGGATATCTGCCGGACCCTCTCTTCCGCATCTTTCTCGACAGAGTTCATAAGGACAAGCATGGTAGTGACACTAACACGTATGACACTGAGGGCCGATTCAATCCTCAAAAGTTCGAGGACATTGTTGTTGTTGTTGTTGTTGTTGTATTTAACGCCGTGGCGGCCGGGCTAGAGCCCTTACCGCAGACCTCCCGAAGGGTATATGGCGTGGAGGGCCGTGAGCCAAGGCTACCTACTCTACAGTACGTCGTCTCTTTACATCGTCCTCCAAATCATGCCTTGTGGCCACTACGCGTTCTGTCTGTCCCCGGTTCCCGCTGGTGCCCCAGTTTCATTCTTTCCCAAATCGTCCCTTGGAATCGGGAGGTTCTTTGTAGTCCGCACTCACATCTACGTAGGTGTGGATGCTGCTACCGCAGACAGATCTTCTGGAAGAAGTCCGTCACGCGGAGAAAGGCCTCGAAGCCTCGTGGGTCGGTGATTAATCTCTTGAAGTAGGCCTCGAGAGATCCCATAGGGCCTATGGGCTCGGGCATACTGCGAGAGTGGAGGGTCGGCCACCGTTGCCTCCTCGCCAGCGTTAGTCGACAGTAGACCAGGTGGTCCACGTCTTTTGCCTCTCCACAAGAGCACATCATTAGAGCGTCGTCGTGGTTGAAACGTCGGTGATATTGCTCGAAGTCCCCGTGACCCGATCGTGCCGCCAGCAGGTGATGTAGCGTAGCCCGCGGCAAGGCCAGTTCAGGAGGGCTGGATAGAGCTGCCTCAAGCCCCAAGTCCGCGTACCGCGGCCTTCGCTCTTTATACCACCATCTCCTGTGCTGGCTTTGTAATTTTTCCCTTGCAAGCCGCTTGATGCCCGCTAGTGTTGCCATTTGACCCATCCGCGCCGGCAGTGTCGTTCCTTCTTTGGCCAGCCGGTCCGCGGCCTCGTTTCCTTCGATGCCCTGGTGTCCCGGGGACCAGTGCGTCCGTATATCAAATATCCTGGCCGCTTCTTGGATTTCGAGGAACGCGTCTTGTGACGAGTCCGGCGCCTTGCCGCGGATGCCTTGTATAACGCTGGTGTTGTCGATACATATGTGGATTGGATGACCGCGATTGGTGAGCAGAGCCCTTCTGAGGCCGGTTCGCGCCCCTTCGACCTCGGCGTCGAACACTTCTGCTAGTCCGAGTCGGCCGCACCCTTGTGCTATGCGTTTGGAGTCTCGGTAGATGACGAAGCCGTACCCCACGGCTCCGTTCGTCGCCCTGGAGCCGTCCGAGAAGACGATCATATGGCTTTCCGGTACTGTCTTTAGCCAGCGCTCGAAAGCTTTCGCAGCCTCTTCTTTGCATTGAACTACTATCTGATCCTGTGAGCTTGGCAGGTACTGTGATTGAAGGAACGCTGGTCTTCCGCATCTTGGCAGAAGTTCAGCCGTCCGTTGTAGTCTCGTCTGTTGCTGTCCCTGCTGGGAGAGCCGCGCGACTAGCGGGTGTCGGCGATCAATCCTCTGTAGTCGGACTGCGGCCCGTAAGCGGACGCCCTCTAAGGCGACTTTGGCTGACGGTAAGCCGGCGTCTCGGAGGAGGCTACTGGTTGGCGTTGTCCTCCAGACAGCAGAACGGCCCTTGCTGCCGCTGTAATGACGCTGTCGATCTTCTGCACGAGCCCTTTTGGCCTGTGTTGACGGGTCTTCCTTGGAGAGGCGGATTCGTGTCTGTCTCCGCTTGGCGTCTCGAAGCCGGCTTCGTGATACCTGCGTACCATGTTTCGGCGCCGAAGAGCGCGATCGGCAGTACGCAGGAGACGACGGCTTTTCGCACGGCGGCCGCTGGAGTCCCTCTTTGTGTTCGTAAGCTGTCTCAGATGTTGAGCTGCCTCTTTGCTGCAGCTACTTTTGCGTCGACATGGTCCGGAAGGACAGTCTCTTGTCGAACCAGACACCCAGCCAGCGTACAGGTTTCGTCGAGGCCTTGACCACCAATCCCCGCCCGACCTCTGGCAGCTCCGCTGGCTGGCCGTGCTTCTAGTAAAGTGGATGACCTCGCACTTGCTCGGGTCAAAGGAGACCTTGTTCTCCAAGCCCCATCTGAGAATGCCGGCTGCGCTTCGGTTGAGTATTGCGACGTTGCTCTCCAGGGAGGGGCTGATGGCCAGAGTGGCGATGTCGTCCGCGTACCCGAATCGCGCGTTCGGGTCGTCTTCAAGTATCTCTGCGATGTAGAGCAGAAAGGCAATGGGAGATAGTGGTGACCCCTGAGGCAGCCCGCATGACAGCGGAAAGTACTCCGTTGTGCTTTCTTCCAGTCGGACTCTAGCGGTGCGGTTGCAGCAGAAGCTAAAGATCAGTCTGGTCAGGCCATGTGGCCATCCCTGCTGACGCAGTCTAATGACGAGCCGGTTCCGAAGGACGGAGTCGAACGCCCTTTTACGTCCATAGTCAGAAGTGTCGCCGTGAGTCCCTTTTAGGAGGGCCATCTCGATGTCGTGGGTGAGGCAGGTCGTCAGATCGACGGCTGACCTGCCTTGTAGAGCCCCGATCTGTTGCGGACTGATGATGCGCTCGACAATCGCCAGGGACGCCATCCTTCTGGCTATCAGTCGCTCTAGTCCCTTGCCCAGGCACGAGAGGAGCGCGATCGGCCGCCAGGACCCGGGCTTGGAGGCATCCCTGCCGGCCTTCTGGATCATGACCACCTCAGCTCTGCGGAAGGGCAGAGGAAAGTGGCCGGCCCGCATACAGGACTGGAATAGCTGCCTGACCGGTTCCGAGATGACATCCCCAGCATGCCTGGAGGAGGCGTGTTGTGATGCCGTCCACACCAGGGGTCGTTGTCTTTGTTAAGGTGGCCGTCTTCACTTCTTCT